TGTGCTGTCGCTTTAGCCCTGACATGGTAGAGTTCTAAGGGGAATTCTGAATGATTTCCTTTTTTTTTGTTCCCCCTTCTCACCCCCAACCGCACCTAAAAAAGGGGTTAGTCAACCAGATCAGTTAGGGAGTTTTGGACTAGAACAATGAAATTTCATATCTTACTTGTCAAACTGTGAAACCATTCTTGAAGGAGAAGATTGGAAGTGAGAGGAGGAAACAGCTCTCGTCCATTCCCAATGTGAATGGCAGTTGCAGCAGCTTTAGGGAGAAGGAGTTTGGCAAGACTTGATAACATGAAATGTATATACATACCTGTGATCCAGCAATTTCACTTTTAGGAACTGCTTCCAAAGAAATCAGAAAGCCTCTGCTTAAAGGTATAAGGACACAAAAACATTCATTCACTAGTATATATGCACCATATTATTCTTGGCCGCACTTAACACAATAGCTAGGCTATAAAATCGACCTAGTTGTCCAACAGCAGATTGTGAAGGTGTGGTGTATGTACATAACAGAATACTATACAGCTGTAAGAAAAGATGAAATCATGCAGTTCACTGCATCTTGAATGGAACTGGTATGTAGCAAGTTAAGTGCAGAAAATAAGAAGGACAAAAACAGGATATACTTGGGACAGGAGCAATAAATAGTACAGCAGAGTGGGCATTCGCCCTGCACATGGCCAACCCAGGTTCAATCCCAGGCATTTTATATAGTCCCTTGAGCAGAGCCAGGAGTGACCCCTCAGCATCATCGGGTGTGACCCCCCCCCAAAATAAAAGCAAAAAAAAAAAAAACCCAAAAAACCAAAAACAGGATGATCTCACTTATGTGTGGTGTATAGAATAATAGGATGAGGGAATGCAGTATGATAATGGAGGGTACCTAGATTACCCTTGACGCTAGAGTATAGGAAGAAGGACAGGGAAGGAAAGAAACTTAGGGGTGGGGGAGTAAGAAGTCAGATGGGAAGTAACAGGCAGTGGAGAGCGGCCTAGGACACATTGGTTGGGTAGAGGTGTGGTTTATCTGTATCTAAATCACGGAGCCAACAACACTGAAAGCACAAGATGTGAGCTATAGCAACCAAACTCAAAACTGTGCTTGTCCTGGAGGCAGGCTCGAAGGTGGAGGGAACCTGTGACACTGGTGGTAGAATTGATGCTGAAACACTGTGTGATTGGAACTCAACTGTGAGTAAGCATACATCATAGTGACTTAATAAAATTTTTTAAAAAAGGATACACCCATGAGCATCTTTATTGTAGGCATAATTTGGTGAAAAATAGGATAATAAAAATGAGGAGCCAATTATTTCATATTTACATCACAGAGTACTATATAGCCATCAAAACGTTTCTATTACCCAATAGTGGTAGGCAGAGGTGTGGAGGGTGGGAGGGAAACTGGGACCATTGGTGGTGGGAAAAATATACTGGTGAAGGGACGGGTGTTGAAACATTATCTGACTGAAATCCAGTCATGAACTACTTTGTAAATGTGTTTATCATTGTGATTCAATTAAAAAAAAGTATCTGTTACCAATCGGGAGAGGATATTCATGAGTTTTGAGGAATGGGAGAAATGAGGTAGAGAAAGGTATAATCTCTAGTTATGGATATATGAATTATTTTTCTATGATTGACTATGATAGAACAAAATCTTAGAGGTATTATTAAGTTATGAACATCAATTAATATTTTTTATATATTCTCAGCGAAGTTGGAAGGCAAGGTAATGCCGGGAATTGAACTCAGAACATGCTCTATTGAACTCAGAACCATTTCCCCAGCCTAGAAATGAATTATTTTGATAGGGATAAAGTCAAATGAAACATGAGGGGAGGGAATAGGATGGAGAAGCAAAACAAAAGAGAGCAAGTACACGTAAACACAGTCACTTTTGTATTCACGTAAGAGACTGTGTATACAGTGTGTACATATGTTGTATATGTTGTCTTTATATTACATCTTAAGAGGTGAAAAAAAGTGTGGAATGGGTTGACCTCCAATGGAGATAAATCCCATCAGAACTTTCCCTTCTTCCCCTTTCACTTTTGAGAATGCTTATTTTTTGGGGGTATATTAGTTGAGGATATCCTTTGGGAAATTCCTTATACATTCTGAGCAAACAGAGTCTTTTTTTTTTTTTTAATTAGTGAAACACCTTGAGGTACAGTTGTAGACTTACAAACTTTCGTGCTTGGGCTTCAGTTATACAGTGATTGAGTACTCATCCCTCCACCAGTGCCCATTCTCTACCACCAATGATCCCAGTAGCCTACTCACCCCTTCACCCGATCCCCCCCCCCAACCTCATCCCACCCTGCCTCTGTGGCAGGGCATTCCCTTTTGCTCTCTCTTTCCTTTAGGGTGTTGTAGTTTGCAATAGAGGTATTGAGTAACCATCATGTTTGGTCTGTAGTCTACTTTCAGCACGCATCTCGCATCCTGAGTGAGTCCTCCAAACATCCTTTACTTAGTATTCCCTTCTCTGTCTGAGTTGGCTTTTCCCCCAGCATGTGCTGCCGGCTTCCAAGCTGTGGAGCAGTTCTCCTGGTACTTATCTCAACTATTCTTGGGTGTTCGACTCCCATTCTGTTACTTTATATTCCCCAGATGAGTGCAGTCTTTCTATGTCTATCCCTCGCTTTCTGGCTCATTTCACTTTGCATGATACTTTCCTTGTAGAACCACTTGTATGTAAATTTCATGACTTCATCTTTTCTAACGGCTGCATAGTACTCCATTGTGTAGATGTACCCAAGTTTCTTTAACCAGTCATCTGTTCTCAGGCACTCGGGTTTTTTCCAAATTTTGGCTATTGTGAACAGTGCAGCAATGAACATATAAGTGCAGATGTCATTTCGATAAAACAAACAATCTTAAAAGTCATTTCATCCTTCCAGTTGGAGGGACCTTGTTCAGATGTTGTTCATTCTTCCTGCCTTTTTTTTTTCTTTTTGGGTCGCACCTGGCAATGCACAGGAGTTACTCCTGGCTCTGCACTCAGGAATTACTCCTGGCGGTGCTCAGGGGACCATATGGGATGCTGGGAATCGAACTTGGGTCGGCCGCGTGCAAGGCAAATGCCCTACCTGCTGTGCTATCACTCCAGCCTCTCATTCTTCCTGCCTTTGCATTTTCAAGGCCTCGTGGTTCAGAGGGCATCAAACCTTAGAAGGTTAATGAAAGTTATCTGGGCCCAGATTTGATCATTAAAAAAAAACTCACGAAGATTGAATAGGACTGGAAGACGGAGTATACATGAGTGGGAGGAGCATACAACTGTATTAAAAGGAGAAAAGTAGTTTGAGGGACTAGTCTGTGTTGACTAGCTTAACTCTGAGTTTTATCTTTTAGTCTGTTGTGCATGACCGCAAATACCATATTTTCTTGAAAAATACTGTTAACTTGTAATGATATGAGGTTTCATAAGATGAAATTAAACAGTGCCACTTTCTTCACAATTTGAAGAAAAATTAGATTAAGAGATAGAATTTTTGAAAGAAGAAGTTCACCCAGGTGTTTCGCTTAAGCTGCTGACTCGGGGTGGAGAATCACTCAGTGAACTGAGCACAGGCTTTATATGCAGGAGGCCCGTGTTCTATTCCTGGCCCTTCATGGTCCCCTGAGCACTGCTGGGAGTGACCCTTGAGTACAGAACTGCAATAGCCCTTGCGTACTGCCAGGTGTGGTTCCAAAATAATATAGAACTGCTGACGGGCAAACATTGCAGAACAAATGGTAAATGGAATGAACAGAAATTAATGACAATCTTTGAGTCTCCTTTTGAGTATGACATTTATGATGGTAATCATTTATATCGTATTCATAGCAGTAAACTTTCCTTGAACTTTCTTTTTTGTGTGGCAGACTTTGGTATTATTTCCTTCTTTTTTGGGGGGGTGGTTTTTTTTTGTTTTTGTTTTTTCTTTTTTGGGTCACATCCGGCGATGCACAGGGGTTACTCCTGGCTCTGCACTCAGGAATTATCCCTGGCGGTGCTCAGGGGACCATATGGGATGCTGGGAATCGAACCCAGGTCGGCCGCGTGCAAGGCAAATGTGCTTCTCTCCAGTGCTATCTCTCCAGCCCCCTATTTCCTTCTTTTTGTGGCCGTATCTAGTGGTGTTCCTTGCTTTGGGTCATTCCTGACGATGCTCCAGGAACAATGTAGTGCTGGGGATCAAACCTGGGACTCCTGCTTGCAAAGCATGTGTCCCACCTGGTTACTCTCTCTCTCTCTCTCTCTCTCTCTCTCTGTCTGCCCCTCCCCCCCGCCCGATAGAGCTAAATGGAGCATATACAGCACATGCCATGGAAAATTAGAGTAAGGGGAAGCAGTGCATGCCATGGTGGAGAGCAAGAATCCTGGAGGCTAATAGATGTGTGTTCAAAACCCACCTCTACCATGTTGAAGCCTCAAGTAGGAAGTGCACCTCTGTACTCAATTTTTTCATCTGTGAAACAGGGATAACATACTTCATTTTCATGAAGTTGCTTTGATGATTGCATGAGTAGCAGGGAGCAAATGCTTAGTAAATGACAGCTCTTAATAATTTCAAGTATTCCATTACAGTTTGTGTGCCGTTGCCGGGGATGAAATATTCTGAAATGATGTGGTACCTAATTAGGACATTGATGGAAAATTGGCTGAAAAATCTGATTCTTCGATTACAATTTCCTTTGCCTGTCTCTCCTTAGTGTCCTTCATTCGTCTTGTTTCGGATGGTAGGATGAGGAAATCGGCTTTGGTATTCCATCCCCCTGAGAATACCAGACTTGATCATTTTAGTCCCCTGCGCGACAGCCATCTGCTTCTTCTCTCGGCCTTTTGAGGGCTCTTTTGGGGAAGTGCTGAGAGAACTGTCTCCTTGCCTGATCTCACTATGTGTGCTTTCAGTTTATCTTGCCATGTAGGATAAACCTGATTTTCACTTACTTTATTATGAGAGTATAATTTGACGCCAGGTTCTCATTTGTCTTTTCAGGTGCCGTTTGTATAGTTCTTTAGTGACACGATGTACTCGGAGTGGAGGTCGCTGCACTTGGTGATCCAGAATGATCAGGGCCACACGAGTGTGCTGCACAGCTATCCGGAGAGCGTCGGGCGAGAGGTGGCGAACGCAGTGGTCCATCCTCTCGGGCAGGCCTTAGGCACCCCTTCAGTGGCTGGCAGTGAGAGTCTGTTAAAAACGGACAAAGAAGTAAGTGTCCCTTCATTTCTTTCTACTATGAAAAAAAAAATGTCACTGAAGAATTTGATGTTGCTTTAATTTTAATTTTTTTCTTCTTTTTTTGTTTTTTCCTTTTGTTTTGTTTTTGGGCCATACCTGGTAGTGCTCAGAGCTTACGCTCAGGGATCACTCCTGGCAGTGCTCTAGGGGCCATATGGGGTGCTGGGGATTGAAACTGGGTTAGCTGCAAGCAAGGTCCCTGCCGGCTCCCGCTGTTGCTTTTCAAAATGAATTTCTGCCCAATTTAGTGTGACTTTTAATTTAGATCTTGTATTTATGGTGGGATTGTGAGGGATTATAAGGAATCCATTGTCCCATTGTGTTCCTGGGAGTTCATATATCCAGATTCACTTTTCCACTTGAGCTGTTTGCCTGAGCCAGACTTTAATGTCAGGCCCTTTCTCCTAAATTCTAGTTATGGTCTTCAGCTTTCTGTTTGGTGGAGTATTTGGTGTGCTCGGGAGTAATTCTCAGCACATATAGGAAGCCGAGAATCAAACCGGGGTCAGCTGCATGCAAGACAAGTTAGAACAGCTGCTGTTCTAACCCTCTGGCCTGAGGAGGAGTATTTGGAAAGTCATGGTTCCTGCTTCTAAATAGCCTCTGTGTGCTCTGTGTGAAGTGTTTAGCTTGACCTCACCTTAGTGGTTTGTCCCAGAGTTTTGTCTGAAGTTAATTTAAACTTTTCAGTGTAAGGGCCAGAGAGATAGTACAGCTGGTAAGGCACTTGCCTTGCAGGTAGCTGACTAGGATTCAATCTTCAGCACCCCATAAAATCCTTTGAACACAGAGCCAGGAGTAAGCCTTGAGTACTGCCAGATGTGGCCCAACTCCTCCTCCCCCCCAAAACCCCCCAAACTTTTACCGCAGTATACGGAATTTGTAATGTAGTTTATTCAATTAATGCAAATTGGACTGTTTCCCCTTTCTGGTCTTTACTCATCATGTGGGCAGGTAGTGGTTCAGTCTCTTTAGAAAGTACCCTCAGCTACTAGAATGTGACTCAGGTTTTTTAGCAGGCTGGAACAGTTAAATGATCATTTTTGCTTTGTGGCCATATCCGGCGGTGCTGTGGACTTACTTCTGACTCTATCCTCAGGGATCACTCCTGGTGGGACTCAAGGGGACTATATATGGTATTGGGGAATCTAATCTGGGTCAGCCATGTGCAAGGCAAGTATCTTACTTGCTGAACTGTGTCTCTGGGTCCTTAAGTGCCTTAAGATCTTAACCAATTTCAGAGTCTTATTGCCTTGTTCTGTTCCATTTTGAATATTTTCTTCAGTGGAGAAAATAATCACAAAATTAGAATTAAGCAGTTTCATTTTCCTTCTGTTATTTGTTGGCATTGCATAATCTGGAAGTAGAATGTGATTGAATTTATCTATATGCTTTCATAAATGACACTCCGATGGAAATTAAGTAGAGAAAAAAATAATAAAAAATTTCTATTTCTGTGCTTTCAGTCTCCATAGAAAACAAAGGCAACCTGTCCTTTTTCTTTCACAGAGGAAGCAGTAATCATGTCTGAAGATAAAAGGCAACCTGTACTTGCTATTTAGAAATAAGTAACTTTTGGGCCAGCGCAGTAGGATAGTGGTAGGGTGCTTGCCTTGCACAAAGTCAACTTGGGTTTGATATCCGGCATCCCATATGGTCCCCCGAGCGCTGCCAGGGTATGGTGCTGAGCAGAGGCAGACTAAGGAAATCATAATCTAAGAACCAGATTTTTCAATTAGCAGTTTTCAAGCAATTTTCTATCAATTTCCTCATTAGAAATTAATTTTTAAAAACCCAAAAAACAAGCAATTTAAAAATTTTTTTTTCTTTTTAAAATCTTTTCTTTATGAAATCTCCAAGTTTTTATATATCTATACATAGATAAATACATACTTCAGAATATATCTGATAGGTATTTGAAATCAATTCTGTCAATTAAGAATTTTGTTTGATTTTTTGGGCCACATTCAACTGTGATCAGCGCTTACTCTAGCTCTGTGCTCAGTGATTACACTTGGTAGGACGTAGGAGCGTATATATAGTTTTAGCGATTGAATCTGGGTCTTCTGAATGCAAGGCGAGCGCGTTTTCTACTGTACTGTATTTCCGACCCAATAATTTTTTGGTATAAAACAGGTTAACATTTTTAAATGGTATATGTGATATAGATAGGGATATATGATAATTCTGTACATGTATTTTCTTTTGCTTAGGTAAAATGGACCATGGAAGTAATTTGCTATGGATTGACCCTTCCATTGGATGGAGAGACTGTAAAATATTGTGTTGATGTATATACAGACTGGATTATGGCTTTAGTGTTGCCGAAAGATTCTATTCCTTTGCCAGTTATTAAAGAGCCTAATCTGTATGTTCAGAGTATACTAAAACACTTGCAAAATCTTTTTGTACCAAGGTAAGGTAAATCCATCTGGCCTGTTACCCTAATCATTACAATATTCATAAATGTTACTTTTTTGTATTTTAAGTGCTGATTTCATTGTCAGTCCTTTAAAATTATTTTCTTTAATTGAGGAATCATGATTTATAAGAATGTTAACACTAATGTTTTGGACATACAGTGTTAACTGTACCTCCTACCACCAGCGTGCCAGTATCCTTTCTCCAGTGTTTCTGACTCTCTTCATCTGTTCAGATACCCCCATCCAAATCCCCCTAAATTTTCGAACCTACCTGCTTACAGATTAGGTTCTGTTAGTAGTATCACAGGGTTTGTTTTCATTAGCCATTGCTTGTTCCCTTGATTTGATTCTTTGTGTTCCACATAGGAATGAGATCATCGATATGAGTGGGATCATCTGGTATTTGTACTTCCAACATTCTTTGCTTAACATTATACCCTCCAGTTCCATCCAAGTTGTAGCGAGTAGAATTCCATTGTGTATATTTACCATATTTTCTTTATTCACTCATCTTTTGTTGTGCTCTTGTTTTTTCCCCAGATGTTGGTTATTGTAAATAGCACTGCAGTGTGCATTGATGTGCATAATCTTTCTGTTTTGTTATGTTTTTGGGCTATACCTGGTGGTGCCCAGAACTTACTTCTGTCTTTGCACTCAAGGATCATTCCTGGAGTGGTTGAGGAGACCATATTGGATGGCATTGGGGATCTAACCTGGGTCAGCCACATGCAAGGGAAGCTCTGTACTTTCTCTGCAGCTCCTTAAATGTCTTAAGATCTTAACCAGTTTCAGATTCTTCTATTCTTTTCCATTTTGAATATTATCTTTGGCAAGCACATTGCCTAACAGATCTTTTTGAATGGATGTTTTTATGTTCTTAAGATAGATAAGGAGTGGAATTTCTGACTCAAATGGAAGTTCTTTCTTTGTTTTTATTTTGTTTTGGGGCCATGCCCAGCAGTGCTCAGAGGACCTGATGTGGTGCTGGGTACGAACTGGGTCAGTTGCATTCAAGGCAAACACCCTGCCCGCTGTACTTGCTCTGGCCCCCTCATCTGGCAGTTCCATTTGAACTTTTTGGAGATGTCTCCATCCTATTTTTCATGAAGTCTGAAACAGGTAATTGTCCCATCAAATGTGGAAGGAACAAAAATTCCTTTTCACTGGATCTTTGTTAGCAATAGTTGTTTTGGACTTGGTTTCCTTTTCACTGATCTCTGCTAGTTGTAGTTTTTTTTTTGGACTTAATTATATTTTTGTGTGAGGGCGTTGTTTGGGCCATACATGGCAGTGGTCAGGCTTAGAGATCACTCCTGGTGGTGCTTGAATTCTAGCTAGCATTAGTCACATTCATGGAAGGTGCCTTCACCCTTATATTATCTCTCTGTCCCGTTTTGGATTTTTGTTTTTGGGTCACATCTGACTGTGCTCAGGACTTACTCTTGGTTGCACTCATTCCTTGTGAGCTTGGGGGACCATAGGTGGTGCTGAGAATTGAATCTGGGTTGGCTGTGTGCAAGGCAGGTGTCTTACCAACTGTGCTATCTCTGGCTTCTGGATTTTTAAAAATATAAGGCATTTTCACTGATGTGATGCGTTTTCACTTTGATTTGCATTTCCCTCCCTATTAATTGGTGATGGTGGGCATTTTTTATACTCCTGTTGACCCTCTCTCACCTTTGGGAAGTATTTATTTCATTCCTCTCATTTTTGATAGAGCTGTTTGGTTGTTATTGAGTTTGTGAGTGCCTTATGTATTCTGGCTATTAGTCCTTTGTCAGAGATCAGAGTAATCACCTTACTATACAACTTCAGTGCAATCCCCATCAAAATTCCTATGGTATGGTATTCTTCAAGTGCGTAGACCAAACACTACTAAATTTGTATGGAATCATAAAAATCCCCGAATCACCAGAGTAATTCTGAGAAGATGGGGGACATTACATTTCCTGGGTTTGTTTATTTATTTATTTATTTTTGTGGGGGGCACATCCAGCTATGTTCTCTGCTCTGCATTCCCTGACTTTATACTAGACTCCAAAGCTGTAGCATATAGTAATGAAAACAGTATGGTCCTAGATTAAAACAGATTTTCAGACAAGTGGACCAGACATGTGAGCCTGGAAGTTAACCCTCAGATGTCCAGAGGAAGTTCACCCTCTGATCAAACATGTTAGATGCATTATGCGGAACAAGGAAAGCCACTTTAACAAGGGGTGCTGTGAAAAACTGGTCAGATGCCATCAAAAGATTGAAACTGGACTACTGTCTCACACCATCTACAACAGCTGGTTAAAAAATAAAGACCTTTGCTTTTAGGCCATACCGTAAAATATATCAGGGAAAACTGGCAGAACTTGCCATGATATTGACCTCAGAAGAGTCTTCAGTTATTAAATCTATTGACAAAACAAAAGCAAAAAATAAACAAAGAGGACTGCATCAGACTAAAAAAAATTCTCTGTGCTGCAAAATAAACAGCAGCAAAACTGAAAATGCATTCCATTGACTGACAGAAAATGTTCAAACTTTATTGGTCCTTTGAATTTGTGTATGTGTGGGTGGGGTATGTGGAATAAGCCAGGAGTTAAATGCAGGACCCACACATGCAAGGTAAGTGCTTAACTGTTGATCTACAAAGGGCTGCTCTGCCATGCACCTTGAACGAACTTTCATTGCTTGCTCAATAGAGTTTTCGTGGCATATGTGAACAGTAGAGCACTTGTGTGGTGCTGTGTTCCAACCCTGGCACTGGGAAAAAAAAAACAAAAACCAAAAGAATCAATATATGAATGATCAGATTGTTGGGCTTAAATTTCTAGGAATTTTTAACAGATATACTCATTTTTTTAAAATGCTTTTGGCCTTCTAAGGACTGATCATAATTCAATAACGTCTTTCTCTTCCAATTCAAAAAACATAGTTTTATGCATCATAATTCTTGCCCATAGTCTTTTTTTACTTTTAGTTGTTTTTTAATTTTAATGAATCATCGTGAGATACAGTTACAGACTCACAAATTTTCGTGATTACGTTTCAATCAAACAATGTTCAAGTACCCATTCCTCCACCAGTGCCCATTCTCCACCACCAATGTTCCCAGTGTCCCTCCTGTCATCCTTACCCTTTCCTACCCCCTGCCTCTGTGGCAGACACATTCGCTCTTTCTCTCTCCTTTTGGCTGTTACGGTCTGCAGCTTAGGCACTAAGCAGCCATCATGTTTGGTCCATAGCCTACTTTCAGCACGTATCTTACCATCCCGAGTGATCCCTTCAACCATCATTTGCTTAGTGGTCTCTTCTCCATCCCACCTGCCTTTTCTCCCAGCACATGAGATCAGCTTCCAAGCCATTGGGCCACTCTTCTGACCTTTATCTCTACTATCCTTAGGTGTTGTTCTCCTATTTTGTTACTTTATATTCTATAGATGGGTGCAGTCATTCTGTGTCTGCCCCGCTCTTTCTGATTCATTTCACTTAGCATGATACTCTCCATGTTGATCCACTTATATGCAGATTTCATGGTTTCATCTTTTCTAACAGCTGCATAGTATTCCATTGTGTAGATATACCAAAGTTTCTTTAACCAGTCATCTGTTCTTGGGCACTTGGGTTTTTTCCAGATTCTTTGCCTATACTTTATAAAAATAAATAAAGGCCCTCCCGTTGATCATCAATTTGCTCGAGCGGGCCCAGTAACGTCTCCATTGGAGACTTTGTTGTTACTGTGTTTGGCATATCGAATACGTCACAGGGAGCTTGCCAGGCTCTGCTGTGCGGGCGAGATACTCTCGGTAGCTTGCCGGGCTCTCCGAGAGGGGCGGAGGAATCGAACTCAGGTCGGCCATGTTGACTGCGTGCAAGGCAAATGCCCTACCGCTGTGCTGTCGCTCCAGCCCTATACTTTAAAGACATCTAAATCTATCACAAGGTGCTGGAGCGATAGCACAGCGGGTAGAATGTTTGCCTTGCACGTGGCCGACCTGGGTTCAATCCCCGGCATTCCATACGGCCCCCAACACTGTCAGGATTAATTCCTGAGTGCAAAGCCAGGAGGAACCCCTGAGCATTGCTGGGTGTTACCCAAAAAGCAAAAATAAATAAATAAATCTATCACAAATAGTTACCTTTCCTGTGAGAGAATAAAAAATTTAAATAAGGAAACTTGAAATTATCACAGACAACTTTATTTGTGTCAAAAATTTTTCCTTTTCATTTTTTTTTTAAAAAAAATTGGTCTTCGTTCCACAACTTGTGGTGCTCAGAGCTTATGGCTGTGCATTCAGGAACTACTCTTGGAGCACTCGGTACTTACCATCTGGGATATTGGGGATCCAACCTGGGTCAGCCACATGCGAGACAAATACCCATTATTCTACCACTCCAGCCCCATCGAAAGATTATTCTTAACAGTTTGTTAAATATTGTAATGTAGGATGTTTTTCTTCTTTAAATGTGTTAGGTTGGCTCTTTGTTTTGTGATGAGGTTGTTTTCTTGTTGTGTTTGAAGCTGAGTATTCTCCATACTAAATTATGGAGTTATTTCTCGTTGTTGGGAGTTTCAGGTTTTGTTTTTCTTTTAATTTATGTAGTTCACAAATTAGTCAAGTTCATTAATTAAAGAAAGTGATGGGGCCAGAGAGATTGTACAGCTGATAAGATGCTTGCCTTGACATCAAAGTTCAGTCTTGATCCTTGACACCCCATATGGTCCCCCAACCCCACCAGGAGTAAGCCCTGAGCACTGCCAGCTGTGGCTCCCAAGCAAACAACACACAACAAAAGTGATACTTAATGGAAACTACCACATAGCTAGAGATTAAGTTTAAGTGGGTGTAATTTTTCTCTTTTGTCTATCAGTCCAGTAGGCAGAGAGTGAACTGTTTTTCAAAACTGAGTGTTTTTACTGCCTAAATATATTGTACTCCAAAAAATTGATCTTTCTCTAAAGCAGTATTTGGCAAACTTTTTTTTGTTTAAAGAGCCAGATAGTAAATATTTTAGGCTTTGTGGACCATATGGTGTCTGTTGCAGCAATTCAACTCTGCTGTTGGCGAGAAAGCCATAAGACAGTTTACGCATGAAAGAATGTGATTTGTTCTAATGAAAGATTAAAATTTAATTAAATTTAATTTTTTATAGTTTTTTTTTTCTTTTTTTTTAATTCCTTTTGTCTGGTGACCTGAGGGTTGCACATGCTTGTTTGCGGTGCTCTCATGACTTGGCTATTTTCTCCTCCCCTTCCCTACCCTATGTCCCTCGACCTACCCTCTATCTCTGTGACTTTATTTTAGGGAACCCCTTTGAACCCTTTAAAATATGTTACCATACCAGGTCCTTTATCAAAGAGTTTCAATTTTTCTAGTCATGGTCCAGAATCTGATAATTTTTTTTTTTCCGCTTTTTGGGTCACACCCGGCGATGCACAGGGGTTACTCCTGGCTCTGCACTCAGGAGTTACTCCTGGCGGTGCTCAGGAGACCATATGGGATGCTGGGAATCGAACCTGGGTCAGCCATATTCAAGGCAAACGCCCTACCCGCTGTGCTATCTCTCCAGCCCCTGATAATCTTAATCTTACGGTTGGGATAGAAATTCTAGAGGGATTCACTTCATTTTCTGGGTTTCTTGAGGAACTTTTTGTTTCGTTTTCTTGGCCATTCCCGTTGGTGCTCAGGGCTTATTTCTGGCCCTACATTCAGAGTTCATTCCTGGTCGACTTGGGGGACCATATGGGGTGCCAGGGATTGAACTCACGTTGGCCGTGTTTAAGGCAAGTGAGCTGCCTGCTATACTGTTGCCTAGGTCCTCCTGTGGAAATTTTGTACTCTGATTGAGCCTGTCTTAGATCAGTTCTTAGTGCAACAAATAGAAATGACCTCATGGTTTACTTCAGTAATATTAATTACTTGGATTTCACTTAGGAGATTTGTGGATCAACTGATAATTCACGCAGGCTGTGAATTTCCTACTGTTCTCAAAAATCTCAAATTACCCTCTTTGGTAATTGGAGATAAGGGCTGAGGCATGAATATCTAGCTTCCTCTTCAGTCCTAGCACTGATATTTTGTTCTGTTTCATTCTCTTGTGAAAAAAGATGAGCCCATGGACTTAAGAATTATAAAATCATTCTTCTTGGGTATTTGGGACCTTAGGAGCCTTCATCTTAGGCTAAGTTACCTTTTTAAATGATAGCAGCAGCAAGTGATTTTCTTTTAGGCAGTTGTCTTCATGCCTCATCAATTTGGGGGACCTATGGGGATTATTTCCCTGGATCTGGAGGCTCTTCTTTAGCAGACCTTAGTTTCAGAGGGACTTGTCAACGCTATAAAAGAAAATGTAGAATGTTTGTGAATGTGTGCTTAAATTTTTTTTTTAAAAGAACGTGAAGATGGGCCGGAGTGATAGGACAGCAGGTAGAGCACTTGCCTTGCACTTGACTGACCTGGGTTCGATCCTTGGCACCCCATATGGTCCCCTGAGTCAGGAGTGATCCCTGAGTATAGAGCCAGGAGTAAGCTCTGAGCATTGCTATGTGTGGCCCAAAAATCCAAAACAAAGAATGTGAAGGTCAAATCACTTCCATGTGAGCGAGGGAGTAGCAGTCGGTATATGGCCGTTAATACAGTAGAAACGTATATAATGCCGCAGAGTGCCTAATAAGTTTCAGGCACATTTTATTTTATTTTTATTTATTTATTTTTTTAAATTTTTATTAGTGAAACACCATGAGGTACAGTTGTAGACTTATAATTTTTTGTTAGGCACATTTTAGATAGAAAGTCCAAGAATGTGATCTACGGGGGGCCTTGGGCCACACCTAGTGGTCCTCAGGGCTTCTGGTTCTGTGCTTAGGGATCACTCCTGACAGATCTCAGGGGATTACGTAGGGTGCTGAACCTGGGCCAACCATGTGCAAGGTAAAATGCCTTACCCGCTTTTTTACCTCTCTGGTCGGTCCCAGTAGTCTTCTCTGATGTTGCTGCTTTCTCTCGTCGAGGATTGTCAGTGATATGTCTGTCTTCTTCAGACAGGAACAGGGCTCCAGTCAGATTCGACTCTGCTTACAGGTCCTGAGGGCCATTCAGAAACTGGCCCATGAGTCATCCATCATGGCTCGAGAAACTTGGGAAGTCTTACTGCTGTTTCTTCTGCAGATTAATGACATCCTTCTAGCCCCACCAACCGTCCAAGGTTTGTTCATTTTTTTTATAATTTCTTTCTGAGGTTCAAACCCAGTTCATGTTTAAACTTAAGAAGTAATAGACTTAGTGGAGATTTAAATTTTGGACGATAGTTGACCATCTAAAAATAGAAACCCTCGAGGAACAATTTGAAATACCTTCATTGATGATTTTGCCGAGTAGGGAAGGACGTAGTAAATCAGTGTATTTTTGTTAATGATAAGAACAGTACTTGTTTAGTGTATTTGTTTAGAGCCTGTGTAAGAAACGATTGAATAAGAGATTATTGATAACTTATCTGATGACAAAGTAATTATCCAAGTAAAGTCTGGAAATCTGATTTCCGTGGATGATATTTTTGTTCAGTAAATGAACCTTCATAGTCTTGAAATTTTCTATTTGTAGTGTGACCATACACCATTAATTATTCAGTTTTATAGAAGAAACAAATAAGAGATTATTGATAACTTATCTGATGACAAAGTAATCATCCAAGTAAAGTCTGGAAAGCTGATTTCCGTAGATGATATTTTTGTTCAGTAAATGAACGTTCGTAGTCTTGAAATTTTCTATTTGGAGTGTGACCATACGTCATTAATTATTGCTTTTAGAGAAGACTTGTGTTTTAGAAGCTCTGCTTTGACGTTAACAGCACAGAGATCTGGGCTGCATGTTTATATTCCAGTTCCAGTTTCCTTGTGTAGTGTCTTTCCTGTCACAAAGGTGACTACTTGTGTTTTCACAAGTGTATAGGAAAAGTTGTAAGCTGCCAGAATTTCAGTATTGGAACTTACCATATAACAGAAATGCCTATTTGGTATTCACAGTAGCTAGCTAGTCATTGATTCATTGATTGTCTGTTACATACTCCCTATGCTAGAGGTTCCAATATCTAAAGTCAGATAGTGTCTCCTTTTCTGTTGTTCTTTATTGTTGAAGCTTTGTTTTTGCTTACTTGAAATACACAGTCTTTTAAATTCTCGTATTCATCCCAAGTTTGTCTTCTGGAGCTTTGGTGAGTAAAGACCACCGCTGTCCTCCCTCATTGCAGGGTTCAGAGGAGATGAACAGCTCTGTTGCCCTAGTTGAGGCTCTTCCTTGCCCAGCTCCTCTATTTTGCTCTCTGCAGGTTGTTCCCCTTTCTCTTTAAGGTTGCCTCTCAAACACATTAAGCAATTTCTAGCCTGAGGTTGGGGTTGGATATACAAAGACCTAAGTATTTGCTGTGATTTCTTTACTTACTAAGACTGTATGAGTTGGACAAGTTACTTAAGTTTCCTGAACCAAATGTTTTATCATCTGAAAAATGGGTATAATTGAGAATTGGTAAAAAATTTATCTTGCAGAGTTAACATGAAGGTCTTGTGAATGGTCTGTTTGGCACAGATGAACTCCTTAGTATATTGGCACTCTCGTCCGCATTCATTTTCTTTCTTCTCCCGTGTACCTGCCCTTTTTTTCCCTAGAAGATTAAAATCTTTAAGAACTGAGGGGGGTGAGTTAAAAGCTTTCCAAGTAATAATCTGGTGAATCTGTGATTTCCTTCATAGGTGTGTCTAATAGTAGATTTTTTAAAAAAATTTTTTCATTTATGTGTTTTGGAATTTGTCATAATGTAGACAGAAGCCACAACTGTTGATACAACTCAAGTTGAAATTGATTAGATAACAAAGCTCTGTTTTTTAATGTGAAAATTGTTATATGTCATCAGGGGGTTGTTAGACCTTGTCAAGAATTTCCTAAGCTCTTGATAGTTGAACCTCCTGTGTAATTGTTTTTGTTTTTTGAGTTTAGTTGGCTTCAGCGTTACATTCCCATCTAATTTGGTGTTTCTACTGGAATTTCAGAATTGAGGAATTAGGAGGTATCTAGTACACCACCATGTGGTCCAGAGACCTCAGGGTCTATAGTTTGGACCAGTGAGCTGACATGGAAGCGGCTATGGGAGGTGGGTGTGACTGTTTCCACGCTTGAGAGGCCCATGTTCTTTTTCTTTTTTTCTTTTTGGTTTTTGGGCCACACCTGGTGGTTGCTGGAGTTACTCCTGGCTTCCTGCTCAGGGAACACTACTGGTGGGCTTGGAGGACCATATGGGATGCCCAGGATTGAACCTTGTGCAATGCAAGCACCCTGCCTCTTTTTTTTTTTTTTGGTGGGGTGGCTTTTTGGGTTACTCCTGGCTTTGCACTCAGGAATTAACTCCTGGTGGTACTCAGGGACCATATGGGATGCTGGGAATTGAACTCAGCTTGGCCGCATGCAAGGCAAATGCCCTATCTGCTGTACTATCGCTCCAGCCCCACAGTATTACCATTTAGGTCCTGCCCGTGTTCTTTCTTGAGTACACACTTCTCCTTCTCTCTCCTTCCTTCCTTTTCTCCTTCCTTTCTTCTGTCCCCCCCATCCCTTCCACACAGGGCTTAATTTTGGCTCTGCACTCATGGATCACTGTGGGCAGGTTCAGGGGACCGTATACGATGCTAGGGCTCAAACCCTGGTCAGCTGTATGAAAGGCAAATGCCCCACCCACTGACTGTCTCCAGCCCCATCCCCTCACTTCTTTCTAAAGAAGTTTCAGTATAAACTATTTGCTTCACACAATAAATAAATAAATAAAAATAAGTATACCCAGTGTTTGAGGCCCTGTGTTCCGTCCCTGGCACCATATACAAAAAGTTTCCAAAGACATGCTTTCTTTTTTTTTTTTTAAGGTGGCATTGCTGAGAATCTAGCAGAGAAGTTGATTGGCGTTCTCTTTGAGGTGTGGTTACTAGCTTGTACGCGGTGCTTCCCAACACCTCCTTACTGGAAAACAGCGAAGGAGATGGTGGCTAACTGGAGGCACCACCCGGCAGTGGTGGAGCAGTGGAGCAAGGTCATCTGTGCACTCACTTCCAGGTAGGTTATCGTCATTGACTTGCCATTTTTCATCTGTGTAGTCTTACATGCTTTTCTGTAGTTGTGGCCTTTCTGGGATTCATATGTATATAAAACTTATCTCTATTATACTCTCAGATATAATTGAGTTACTTTTAAAAATTGATTCCACTGTTTGACAAGTATCTGTTTAATAATCTAAAACTTTTAAGAATAGGGGTCAAGGAGGGTACCACATGTAGAATGCTTGCCTTGTACGTAACTGACCTGGGTTTGATTCCTGTCACCCCATATCGGCCCCTGAGCACCATCAGGGGTAATTCCTGAGTGCAGAGCCAGGAATGACCCCTGAGCATCGTGGGATTTGACCCGAAGTAAAATGAAACCTTTAAGAATAAACAGGTATCTTGGAGAGGCAGACTGTCAGGCTTTGTCAGACTTAATTTTTCACTTCAAATCTACATATTTTATTAACTAACTCCAAAAGTTAGTTATTTTTTGCATCACACCCACCAATGCTCCGGAGTTACTCCTGGCTCTGCACTCATGATTTACTTCTGGCAATGCTTAGGGGAACATGTGGGATGCCAGGGATCGAACCTGGGTCAGCCCCATACAAGGTCAGCCACGTACATCTGCCCAGCTGTACTATTGCTCTGGTCCCCATGATGAGGGTTATTTTTGAAGCATGATCATCAGTTTTATTTTATTTTATTTTATTTTCCTTTTTGGGTCACACCCAGCGATGCACAGAGGTTACTTCTGGCTCGTGCACTCAGGAATTACTCCATGCGGTGCTTAGGGGACCATATGGAATGCTAGGAATTGAACCTGGGTCCGTCGCATGCAAGGCAAACTCCCTACCTGCTGTTCTATCGTTCCAGTCCCAGTTTGATTTTTAAAAATTTTTCCACTTATTTTTCTTTTTACATGGGACAACCATTGAATCAGAAAACAAACAAGGTTAAAATATTGCTCTTAATTAATGTGCATTTGTTTTTTACTTTATTTTTAATATTTTTGAGGGATAGGGGATTGAACCCAGGCTCTCATACATGCAAAGCAAGGGCTCTTATCACGGAGTCACATCTCTAGCCCACATCTATTTTATACTTTAGTTTCCCAGGTGCCAGAGCAATAGTATATCAAGTAGAGTATTTGCCTTGCTGGTGACTGACCGGGGTTTTATCTCCAACACCCCATATAGTTCCCCGTACCAGCCAGGAGTAATCCTCAGTGCCGCGTCAGGAATAATCCCTGTGCATAGCACAGCATGGCCCCAGAATAAAAACAAAAACAATAAAACAAAAATACTTCAATTTCCCATGTGTTCATTTGTAAATCTTTTTTGGAGAGGTGGGGGCATACCCACTGGTTGGGTGCTGAGGGCGTGCTCCTTGCTCTGCGCTTGGAGATCATGCCTGGTGGAACTCAGGTGACCATATGGGGCACTGGGGGTTGAACCTGGGTTGACCATGTGCAAGGCAATGCCCTACTCACTGTACTGTTGCTCCAGCCCCTCATTTGTAATTCTTGTAATTGTTGAAACTGGACTGTTTGACTTTTCAGTGTTTCTTATTCTGGATTTTTCTAATTATGTTCTACTTAGTTATGTTCCCCTTCTGTATTTCCTGTCAGTGGGTAGTTAGATCTAGAGCAGAGGGGTTTTGTTTCCCATTTAGTACATCTCTGAAACAGTATCAGTTTGAGGAACTGGAGAAGTAGTACTGCAGGCAAATGGCTTTCTTGAATGTTGCTGACCCAACCCAAGGTTGGTCCCTGGCACCACATATGTTTTTTGTCCTCTGAGAATAGCTGGGTGTGGCCTCCAAGCCAAAAAAAGTAAAATAAATTTGAGATTTTATATAGCATTACTGCTTTTTTTTTCATTCTAACGTATGTCTTGTGACACTTTTGGGGAAGTGATGGGGGTGGCCTTATCTAGTAGTGATTATCTGGAGTGACTCCTAGTGGTGCTTGGGGGTTCGTATGTGGTTCTGGGGTTTTGAGCCTGGTCAGCTGCATGTAAGGCCTTTCCTCCTGTACCATCTCTCTGGCCTGAGAGTGTAATTTGAATGGTTGTTGGGTTTTATTATATAAGGGAAATGTAATTAATTCTATGATCTACTAGTTTCGATATTGTATTGCTCCCAGTATTTTTACTTTAAAAAAATCCTATATAAATCTTTTATTTGGGGGTTACCACACCTGATAGTGCTTTGGGGCTATTGTGCTGTACTTGGTGAACCTTTCAGTGCCACAGATTGAACTTAAGAATTCTTAATGTAAATCATGCAGTCAGCCCTCTGTGCTGTCCATCCCTTGATATGAATCTTTATGCACCTTTGTCTGTATTTTGGCTGCTCTGTTAAGCTGTTCCTCAGTTGAAGGGCTTTAAACAGTTTGATTATGTTTAGAATATTTTTAGTTGAACTGTTGAATTACTTTTGGGGTTTACCATGAATCTGAACTTCATGTAAAGTTCTGTGGTAGTTAGCATTTTGAATACATTATAGCTCACTGTGTTGAGTTTGTAATGGGGCAGATAGTTCAGTGGGCTGGAGCACATATGCTGCATCTGGGGGGCCCAGGATTGATCCCTAGCACCTCCAGGTTCCCTGAGTGCTGAGCCAGAAATAATTCCTGAATACCACTGAGTGTGACCCAAGGAAACCCCCAAATTATGACTAAATTCATCGTTGTATATGTATAATTGCATATTATGATTGTATAATTTTCGTGACCTAAATTAACAACTATAATTAAAAATTAATATATAGTTTTATGTGTTATTATTATTTTTTTTTTCTTTTTGGGTCTCACCTGGTGATGCTCAGGGGTTATTCCTGGCTTTGCACTCAGGAATTACTCCTGGCGGTGCTCGGGGGACCATATGGGATGCTGGGAATTGAATCCGGGTCGGCCGCGTGCAAGGCAAACGCCTTCCCTGCTGTGCTATTGCTCCAGCTCCTATGTGTTATTATTAATGTATAGCTATATCATGTCATGTAATATATAACTATATTACATACAAGTAAAGATTACACCGAATTTTAAATATATAGTATTAAATATTATATATGCTATTCTTGCAGAACTATGTTGTGTTGAGATTGAACTCTCAAGCATGTCAGACTTGCACTCCAGCTCCTGAGCTATCTCCCCACTCAAAATTGAAATATTTCAAATAATTAGGAAGTATTTTGCAGTTTCAATTCATGTATATTATAAGTAGTGGTTATCATTGGTCAGTCATTTCAGTAAGGCATTTTTTTTACCTGTTTTATCATATTTTATAGTTAAACACACTTTTAGAAATGAGCTTACTGGTGTGTATTTCTTATTTTCTAGGTTGCTGCGCTTTACATATGGTCCTTCATTTCCTCCATTTAAAGTTCCTGATGAAGATGCCAGTTTGATCCCCCCTGAAATGGATAATGAGTGTGTCGCACAAACATGGTTTCGCTTTTTACATATGTTAAGGTACGGTCATTTTATTTATTTGTTTTTTTGGGGGGGGTGCCACACCTGGTGGTGCACGAGGCTTATTGCTGGCTCTGCATTTGGAGATTGTTCCTGGCAGGCTTGAGGGACCACATGTGGCCAGGGGTTGAATCTGGGTCGGCTCTGTGGAGGCAAGCACCGTATGTGCTCTATTATCTCTCTGGCCCTATTTTAGACTGCCATGTGCTCTTTATCTGGTAAGTGTCCTAGGCAGAAACCATGCTTTTAACTCATGTATGGCTGCTAAAACACTTGTCAGTGGAGCCAGATTGTAGAGTGTTAATACACATTATGCCATTTGCCTTCTACTCCCTGACCCAGCTCTGTATGGCTATCCTTGTCACTGTCACTGTCCTCCCGTTGTTCATCAGTTTGCTCGTGCGGGCCCAGTAACATCTCCATTGTGAGATTTGTTGTTACTGTGTTTGGCATATTGAATACGTCATGGGTAGCTTGCCAGGCTTTGCCATGGGGGCCAGATACTCTCGGTAACTTGCCGGGCTCTCCGAGGGGGGGCGGAGGAATTGAACTTGGGTTGGCCATGTCGGCCGCGTGCAAGGCAAACGCCCTGCCACTGTGTTATTGCTATCCTTACATGCTTTTTTTTTTTTCTGGTTTTGTTTTTGGCACCACACTGTCATCAGTGCCCAGGGCCTGCGCCCAGCGCTGCAATCAGGAATCACTGCTGGTTTTCTCAGGGGGCCATATTCTCGGGGATAAAGCTCAGGTCAGACTTATACAAGGCAAACTATTTCTCTGGTCCCACTTGCTGTTTCTTGAGGGGATGCCAGGTATCAAATCCAGAGCCTTATTTGGGAACTGTGTGCTCTGTCATTTGGTTACATCACTGGCCCCTCCCTATTCTAAATCACTCTTGTTGTTTTGTGTGATTCTTTTTTTTTCTTTTTGGAGAGGTGAGTCACACCTCATGGTGGTGCTTTGTGGACCACAAGATACAGGGGATTGAAACAAGATGGGCCTTATGCAAGGTCAGCTGCTCTTATCGACACTGGTCAGGCATTTGTTCATTGTGGTAGATGCAGCATTTGTTCTCTGGAAGCTGCAGCCTGGAAGAGCATGTCTGCTAGAAGTTTGTCATATTCTGAGGTTACTGGCGACTCTCTTGCTCTTCTCTCAGGTCAAAACTGGCTGGTCAGCCTGACACTCAGGCCCTGTCCTCTAGTAGCTTTGTTTGTTATTTTACTGAGATTGGGGCCAAGGATAGGGCATTAAGCAGTGGAGCATATGCCTCGCATGAGAGCTGCTTTTCGGATCTGGGTGCTTTGACACTGCCAGGTGTGGCCTGGTGGTTCCTTTCACTAAGGGTTACGCCCTAATATTTCACAGAATAAATTGTTACATCTTACTGTTTTCCTTAATGGTAATTCTATTTAATGCCGTTTCATTACTTCCTGCCTTCCTGTTAGCCCCAAACTGTGTTCTTTTTCTTTTGCATACTTACTGTAGTCTTTCCCCCACACCCTTTTTGGTTTTGGGAATATTCCTGGCAGTGCTGGGGGCTCCTGGCTCTGTACTCAGCCATTTTTTTAAGCTGTCTTCTACCTGCATGTCATTGCTCTGAACTTTTCCTTGTATATCCTCTTCTGGTTTGACAAGTCTCATTTTCCTATCTATGTACTAGTGGTTCTCAGTATCTCTTGACAACCTTTTTATAAGTTAGGGATGTTAAGCATTTTTGAAGTTTTTGTAGTTTGTGCCCTTTTTTAGTGATTTCATTTTTGTTTGTTGGGGTGTGAGAGAGTTTGGGCCATGGTGCTCAGAGGATCAAATGTGGTGCCTGGAATTAAACCAGAGTCAGCTATATGCAAGGGAAGTGCCTTAATCTATCTCTGTACTGTATCTCTGGCCCTGAGCTTAGATACTTAAAGGAAAAAAAAAATTTTTTTTTGGTAATATTTCCTTTCTTTAAAATTAGAATGTATTGGGGCTGGAGCAATAGCACAGTGGATAGGGTGTTTGCCTTGCACTTGGCTGACCTAGGTTCGATTCCCCGCATCCCATATGATCCCGAGCACCACTAGGGGTAATTCCTGAGTGCAGAGCCAGGAGTAACCCGTGTTCATCACCGTTTGTGACCCCAAAAGCAAAATAAATAAATAAAATAAAATTAGAAAGTATTGAGGCTGGAGCAGTAATAAAGCAGTTAGGGTACTTACCTTTTACGTGGCTGACCCAGATTCGATGCCTCATGGTCGCCTAGCCCCCACTAGGAGTGGTCCCCAGACGCAGAGCTAGAAGTAAGCCCTGAACACTGCTGGTTGTGGCTCAAAACCCAAAACAAAACTTAGAAAGTCGATGCCAGGGATGTAGCTTTGAACATGTAAGATGCCCTGGGTTTTATCCATGATGCTTACACATTTACACACCCACAAAGAACGTTCTTTCTGTGGGTGATTGGATACATATTTACCTGTGATTTCTTCTGACTTTATTTTCTTTGTGGTTTTAAGTTTCTATTTATACCAGATTTTGTCTTTGGGTTGCTTGTTATCTATTAATCTCTTCATTCTTTTTTTGTGTCTGTTTTTTTGTTTTGGGGAACCATGCTGAGGTGCTCGGGGACCTTATGGGTTGCTGGGGATCGAATCCAGATTAGCTGCATGCCAGGCATGCCCTACCTGCAGTACTGTCTCTCTGGCCCCTCTTCATTTATTCTTGTATGAGATTCATACTTTTTTTGCTTGCTCAACAGCTTTATTGAAAACAGGGAGTAGGCAGGCTTCCCTTGTCCCCACAGGCCTCAGGCTTGCGAACTCTGGGAGCTCTGCAGGTTAAAGAGGGGCCGAGGTCAGAGGTTGCAGGCTCTGTGTTCTTTTTTTTTTTTTTTTTTTCTTTTTGGGTCACACCCGGCAATGCTCAGGGGTTACTCCTGGCTCATGCACTCAGGAATTACTCCTGGCGGTGCTCGGGGACCATATGGGATGCTGGGAGTCGAACCTGGGTCGGCCATGTTGGCTGCGTGCAAGGCAAACGCCCTACCCTCTGTGCTATCGCTCCAGCCCCAGGCTCTGTGTTCTTGCACCAAAGAATTGTTGGTGAGCTGAGAGGCACCTTGGGAGTCACATTTTCAATTCCCAGGGGCTGGGTCTTGAAGTGGGGGGTGTGCTAGGGAATCGAACCTAGGTCTTTTACACATGCAAGGCAAGTGCTCTGCTGCTGAACTACCTAGTCAAAATTCATAAATTATATTCATTTTAATTATATGGATGTTTTATTTGGTAGGCTAACTGCTCTTTCTTCTTTTCCCACTTCTTAGACTATTTTATTTATTTATTTTTAATAATGTAGGAGTACTGGTTTTTATTCAGCCATTGATTAAGCTGATTGAATTGGGCATGAACTCCACACTTCTTAAGCTATTTAAACAAAAAAAAAATTTTTTTAAAGTTTCCTATTGCTATTGTATTATTTAAAAAGTTTGTTTATTGTTTTTTTGGGCCACGTTCAGCAGTGCTCAGGGCTTACTCTTGGCTCTGTCCTCAGGGATCATTCCTGGCGGGGCATGGGGGACCATATGTGGTGCTAGGGACTGAACCCAGATCCACTGTGGAAGTCAGCACCGTACCCTCTGTACTATCTCTCTGCCCTAAACCAAAACCCTTGCCTGTTTTATATTTCAGATGAATTTTTGGATCAGTTTGGCAGTTATAAGCAAAGGAGCTGCAATCTTTTGGAGTTTAGATAATTTATTATGGTGGAGAGTATCATTTGTTTTAGCTAATGACTTGAAAATCATGGTGGTTTAGTAGAGTGTAACTGTGGTCAAGTCTGGGGTCCACTTAACAGAATGCCTCAGGGACATAGATTGACAAAGGCTCTGCCATCTTCAGAAAATGGCTTTAGTAGGGCCAGAGCTTTGTAAGTAAGAACCTTTGTGTCTGTGTAGTGGATAGAGAAGAGAAAATAGGAAATCTCCAGCCTTGCTTGGTCCAACCCCAAGCACTGCCAGAGTGAGGCCCTGAGCAAGAGCCAGGAGTAGCCCCAGGACTACATCAAGTCAGGGGCTACACCAAGTGTGGCCCCCTACCAAAACCTCACAGAAAGCCTATCAACCTGTTTTCTAATTTCTGAACGAACAACCTACCGCAACTTCAGGCATTGCTCTTAGTTTTTATCTTCATTAGCCACAAGATGAACTGCAGTCCTATTGTTATAATGAGCCATACAGACGCCAGATTCCACATATTACGTCCCTATCCACATTTGCTGTCGCTTCGAATAAAGAAGTGATTCCATGGAGGGAAAAGAGGTTTCAAAGGGCAGAGCATTTGTAAAGCACTGCTTTTTCTTTTCTTTCCTCTAGCCTACTTCGTGTATCTAGTGGAAATTCTTCTCAGGTACAATAGGTTAATTATCTGTATCATTTTGAATTGGAGAGGTAATTTAATGGATAACTAAATAGACCATTTCATGTGAAAATGTAGATATTTTTTATGGAAGTGTTTAAAATGGCACATAAAAAGATAACGCAAGTCCAAATAATTGGTTTTGAAATGTATGACTTAGTACTTACACATCCTAGTCCCTATTTTCATAAATAGGGACTTTATTTATTTTTGCTTTTTGGGTCACACCCGGCCATGCTCAGGGGTTATTCTTGGCTCTTCTCTCAGGAATTACTCCTAGCGGTGCTCAGGGGACCACATGGGATGCTGGGAATCGAACCCGGGTCGGCCGTGTGCAAGGAAAACGCCCTACCTGTTGTACTATTGCTCCAGCCCCAAGGGACTATATTTAAAAAATAAAAATGAAATATTTTTTTCCCAATTTCTTGTTGGTTTACTGTTGGTTGATTTACTTACAATGTTACAATTTTGTTGCTTAGTTGATAACAAATTAGAAAAATATCCATGTATACTCTTTAAAAAGGAAAACTTTCAGGGATTGGGGAGCAAGTTCAGAGGACTGGAGCACATTCCTGGTGTGAAGGAGATCTTGAGATTAATCCCCAACACCCTGTGATTCCCTCCCAGCACCACCCTTTGTGGCCACCTGTCCCCCAGTACTGTTGTGGCCAGGCAGTATGGTCCAAGCATGGGACCCTCCGAGTTCTATAGCTGTGCCCTTATTGCTGGGTATGACGTTGGGGTACCCTGAGAACAGTGAGAGTCTTCCTGCCAAAGTATAAAAACTGCAGTCTCCTTTTATTTTCATTTTCTGAATAAGTACCTTTCTGTAGACAGACAAGTGCAAGTCTTCCGAGAAAAATGTTGTTTGTGTCCCCTAATCTGTTAAATACATACCAGTCTCCTCTCTGAATCAAAGAAATGGGCACAGACAATCCTGTGAGAGGACATCTGTTTATTACTAGAGACTTCTAAATGTATAATTCTTTCTCTCTCTCTTGATAGTAATCCGGTGGATTTGAGTAATCCAGCTATTATAAGCTCTACTCCCAAATTTCAGGAACAGTTTTTGAATGTGAGCGGAATGCCTCAAGAATTGAATCAGTATCCCTGCCTTAAACATCTGCCTCAAATATTTTTTCGTGCCATGCGTGGAATCAGCTGTCTGGTGGATGCATTTTTAGGTGAATTTTATGTTATGTTGGTAGATGTTTGAGGAGCTGCATGTAGATAAATCTAGTGTTTAATCTTAGAATCTATTTTGGAGAGCCGTAAGAAAAGGATGAACAAATTGATTACAAATAACAGACGAAGAATTATTTGCAACATAGGTAATATCTTAGATGGCTTTTGTTGTCTTTTATATCTTAAACATTGCTAAAAAAAGACAATTGCCTGGTAGATAAACAGATGAAGGAAAAGAATAAATGCTTTAAAAAGAGAAAGGTGGTCATTCTCATTTGTAACTTAAAAAAAATGCAGATTAAGATGCATTGATTTTTAAGTACATAATTTTGCAAATGTGATTAATACAATGGGAGTACAGTGCTACCTTCTCTGAATTATTAGCAAAATTATACTTTCTGTAAGCAGTTTCAAACTTTTTACATCTAGGGATATAAAAGGTCAGGATTGTGTAACTATTGAAAGCAACAGTATTTAATATCTTGTTTTCTACAACTTTTACTATGTGTACTTGTTATATATTACATAGTTGATATAATTAGTTTTAGCTTGGTGGCCCCATAACTTCCAAAATTACCAGTGTTTTAAACATAATTAATTTTCACATGATAAACCCAGAATTAAACAACTGCTATTGCAGTTCCATATTGTCACAGGCCCAAGACCCTTTAATTTTGTGACTCTTCATAACTTGTGACTGTCTCATGGGTCCATGAGAGTTAAATGAGTTCCAGCTAGCCTGTTCAGGATTAGGAAGCACGGAGAGTCTGATTGAGCCTTTTGGGGGAAATTTCTTAGATAATTCGGCCAGTTACCATTCTCTTCGGAACATGGCTTTGTCTAGCTGTAGAAGACTTGAAAATATAGTTATTTTTTCTTTATAGCTATGATCAGCTAAAATTTGTGTTTTATAACCCAAAAGAAATGTTGACTAGATACTCGGAGGCAACTAGCAGTCTCTGCTGTAGTCGTATTATGAACAATGCTTGAACGTTTTCTGCTCTCATTTTAACTATGAAAATAATTTCATTTGTATTTTTAAAAAGGCATTTCTAGACCCCGATCAGATAGTGCCCCTCCAACGCCTGTGAATAGACTAAGTATGCCTCAGAGCACTGCAGTCAATACAACCCCCCCACATAACCGGAGGCACCGGGCGGTTACTGTGAATAAGGCCACCATGAAGACAAGCACAGTAAGTTTTCGCCGCTATTATTTGTGCAATATGAAGTTGACTTTTTAATCTGCCATCCATTTTTACTTATGACTATTTGGGGGTGGGATTTGGGGCCATAACTGGTGGTGTTTAGGGAGGGAGGCAGGCTCAGGGGACCATGTATGCTGGGGCTCAGACTCAGGGCACCAGTTTATAAGACATGTACTCTAGTCCTCGGAGTTACCTCCCTGTGGCCATCCTCTTAAAAAACTCTCCTGTTCTCTCAGACTTTCTAAGTGTGACATGTTCTTATTTTCTCCTAATAGGTTAGCACTGCTCATGCCTCCAAAGTTCAGCATCAGACATCTTCCACCTCTCCTCTGTCAAGTCCAAATCAGACTAGTTCAGAACCCCGGCCACTGCCTGCCCCCCGGAGACCAAAGGTTAACAGCATCTTGAATCTCTTTGGATCATGGTTATTTGATGCAGCATTTGTTCACTGTAAACTCCATAATGGGATAAACAGAGACAGCAGCATGACTGGTAAATATTGCTCAAGAAATATGTTATCATTTTTTTCTTTCCTTTTTTCCTTTCTTCCTCTTTCCTACCTGCAAGATTAATATGTATTTTAAAAAGCTCTCTGTCTCTGAACACCAATGTCTTGTGCTTAACCCCTTCCAGCTGACATAACAGAATTTTGGAAGTTTTTCTGCTTGTCCTTTTTTTATGTGTGTTCTATGAGGTTTGACTTTATCTGGTTTATTAAATGCTTCAGATTAGCTATTTTTTTGTTGAATCAAATTCCTTTCAGTAGGTGACCTGGAAGTTCCCTTCATGTCAGCCAGGATAATAATATGATATAGGAGCCAGAGTAATAGCACAGCGGGTAGTTTGCCTTGCACGTGGCCAACCTGGGTTCGTTCTCCGGCATTCCATATGGTCCCCCAAGCACTGCTAGGAGTGATTCCTGAATGCAGAGCCGGGAGTAACCCCTGAGCATCTCTGGGTGTGACCCAAAAAGCAAAAAAATAATAGTAATACTGATAGAAAAATTAAGTATTTGATCAAGAAATTATTCACAAGAAGTGTTTTCTTAGATTTTTATAACCATTCATTCATTAATACATATAAATATACCAGAAAAATTTTTGCTTCATAGAAAATTTTGAATTATTTAAAACCTAGATTATGGGTCTTAGTCTAGAGAACTTTATTTTAAGGGGGACATTAAAAAATAGTATTTATTCTATATCTAACTAAGACTGATACAGAATTATTAATGCAACTAGGGTATTTTAAATAAGATTTTATTATAGAAATGAAGCACTAATGAAATCTGATTTATTTTTGTCATTTTACTGTCTCTTGTGTTTGAAAGTAAAACCATAGGCTGCAGGTTGGAAGACTGAGGTGGTGCAGAATTAGTGAAAACTTAAGACATGTTTTTATAAGAGCTGAATAATAATTATGGCTAACATGTATTGAGTTGCAATTCTATATCCCAGGCACTGTGTTCTATGTATTAATGAGTGTATTGGTTGTTTGGTGAGAAAACACTTTTCCACTGTGGTTGGAAATAGGTGAAGTAAAACGAAGCTTAATTAAAGCTCTTGGGAGAATGCTGATTAAGGAAAAAACTTGCTTAGTGCCTGTAAGGCAGAGAGATGGTACAGTAGGAAAGGCACTTGCCTTGCATGCCACCAACCTGGCTTTGATCCCTGGCATTGAATATGGTCCCCTGAGCCCTGCCGAGAATGATCCCTGAACACAGACCCAGGAGTAAATCCTGAGCACTATGGTTGTGGTCCAAAAAAAAAATTAGTTCTTGGTTATTATATACACACATAAAAGGTGTTCTAAATTTTAAAAAATAATTTAAAAATATAGATATTTTCATGATTATAATTTGAGATTGCATAGTTTTAATTTAGGGATTTCTTTTGTTCAAATTTAGGTTCATAGTTTTACATCTACACATTATATTTTATTTACAAATTTGAAACTAGTGCACTTAAGGATAAGTAAATGTATGCATGATGACTAAATGAAAATTTAAAAAAAGTTTGGATTATATTTATGTTCATGTGCCTTATATTTTGAGTTTTCTCAACCATGCTTATATTTATTAATTTGTATTACTTTTTTTAGAATGAGTTTTTATGTTTTAATTTATTACTATTAAGTTGAAAATTTTATATTATAACTTGAATATCAAGCTGTTGACAGAACTAAAGTCATGAATTCAGACTAGTTCAACCTGCTGTCTTCTTGGTGGGCTTGCTTAAAGGGAATTTACAGATCTTCTCACTCTAAGGTGTGAGCTGCCTTACAGCTTTATTTATCTCATGCCAAAAGATCGTAACCAGAATTCAAGGCTAAGAGAGAGCACAGCAGGTCAAGCACTTGCCTTGCACGAGGCCACCCGGGTTCAGTCTCCAGCACCCCATATGGGCCCCTGAGCACTGCCAGGAGTGATTCCTGAATGCAAACCAGGAGTAACCCCTGAGCACAGCTGGGTGTGGCCCCCAAACATACAAAACAAATAAACAAGTAATCTCAGGATTTAAATCTTGGTGGGCAAGATTCTTTAATACACCAACATTTTCCTTAGTGATGAATGGATGGAAACCCTTTGTGTTCAGAAATGAGAAGGGCTGTAACATTACTGGGGATAGGAAATACCCAAATAGTTAAATGTTTTAGAGTTGGGTAATGCTCTTGCAAGTGGTGGGAGGTTTTGGAATATTAACACCGTTAGTTTTCCGAGTACTGGCTGCCATCAAGGAATTCTGCCATGTAGTTCACCTTTAACTTAAAATGTTTGCTTCTGTGAACTGGTTAACTTTTAGATTTAGTGACAATACACTGTGTTTTGTGAAAGTAACATTGAGCTGGGAAGGGTTAATGAACTGAAATTTTAATGCACGTTATGGGCAGTTGAAAGCCTCAATTCTTTGTAGTAATGTAATATCTTTGTTCATTGTTTTTGCATGATACAGAAACCATAATTTTTAATCTGAATGCACAATTTCTTATGTTTTTTTGAAATAGCTTGTGATATCATAAAGCTTTAGCCTAACTTTTAAAAAGCTATAAAGCTTTCTTGTTGTAAAATTTCACCATCTTTAAAAGTATTTTATTATTATTGCTGTCCTTTGATTTGTTTCCATTTATTTCTATTATCTTGCAGCATCTTTTATCCAAATTCTTCTTTCTTATAAATCTTGTAAGTAGGAACCAGAAGCTTTTCCTTAATTGCAGTCATGTTTTTATTTTTTTCATAATTCCATTAAAAAATTTGATTGTCATTGTCTCTTGTAGTTTTTGCACTTGGGAAGAAAAATACTTTTCTGTGTTTTGAATGGGGAAGATTGTTGGCAAAAGCAAATTAATCTGCCTGAATCAGTCCCATTATTTCTGTACACTAGTCTGGTCATGTCATGAATTTCAGGACTTTGCACTAACTGTGTTTTGGCTCTTTTTTTTTTTTTTTAAAGCTTTAAGCTTTTATACAGATTTAGTGTTTGATTTGTATGCATTCTGCATGTAGTGTTTTTCAAATGTATTATTGCTGGATAGCTTATTCAGGACTAAAAATGGCTCATGGGAAGTTGCATAAAGATTTATGCTTGACTCTGCATCCTATTAAACCTATTATTACAAAATAATTTAAACATTTATGTTGAGTGATAAAAGATTTCAGAGTGATTTTCAGTACACTAGGAAATCTTTTGTTAAAAATAAAAGCAACTCTCGAAGGGCTTCTGTTTCAGTGACAATGAATGACAACGATAATCTTTCTTACCAATCCAATTTTCTCATTTATCAACCTCAAGTTAGCTGCTGTCTGTGGTTGTTAAAATTCATTCTCATTCTGCTTGGTTGAGCATTCTTTGGTGTGTGTTTTGGAGTTGGGTGGGGGGTGGGAAAGGTTTTTCTTCCTCCTTACCTATTTCTCATTGTTACCTTGCCCTTCCCTAAAGTATACAAACTGGTATGGGATGGCCCATTCAGTTATGATGTCCTTTTTGGGTAATGTGTGAATTGCCTCAGCTATTTTTCTTCATGTTTAAGCTCATGCTATAGTGGGAGGAAAAAACAATAGAAAAGCCGAATTTTTTAAATCATATATCTGTGCTTAGATACAGATATATACAAGTGTACTCTGTTGATCAAAAATTCAGTTGGAAATGCTTTTTTGTAGAATCTGTTTAATTTTATCACTGTAAATTTTACATTTTATGTAATCCATTTTCAGAGAGCCCTTTTTAAAAAAATTAAGACATAGTTGCTAAACAAAAGCATTATTGGATTCAAGTAACTCTAATGATACCAACATTTGATCTTTGTGTCCAGGGTCCCATGAGCCTATTTACAAATAGACAAATATAATAAAACCCTCCTTTTCTCTCCCCAGCCATCACAACACAAGCTAGCATGGAGTTTCGACGGAAAGGGTCCCAAATGTCCACAGACACCATGGTTTCCAATCCTATGTTTGATGCAAGTGAATTTCCTGATAACTATGAAGCAGGAAGAGCTGAGGCTTGTGGGACACTTTGTAGGATTTTTTGTAGCAAGAAGACTGGAGAAGAGATTCTGCCAGCTTATTTATCCAGGTCTTAGAACTTTTTTGTTTATTCTGCCACTTTATAGAGTTTTGATAGTGAAACTATTAAAGCATTGCTTGGTAGGCTGAATTGTTAAGTATATGTTGATCTGAAATATACCTGCAAATGCCTTGTAAGTAATTGAAATTTTTTCCATTTTTACTTGCGTCAGCAGATTTGGTAAAGACTTTTATTTTAGAACATTCTTTATGCTTAGTTTTACTTCTATATATGTGGAGGGATTTGGAAGGCTTACACTAATTTTTTTCCTCCCTTCAAATTTGAGCACTGTGTTAGCCACTGTGGGGAGAACTACTAAAATGGTAATATTATCTGTAAGTACTGCCTCCAGGAAACTAAGCAACAATGACCTGTTATTTATAGGAAATATGTAGGAGATAGGCATCAGATGGAGAAGCTGCATCCCTCATACTAGGGACTCAGAAAAAAAATTTCAGAGAATTGGATGAGTATGCTGGGTTTATAAAGGTTGTGAAGTATTTAGGCTGTGTTTGAGCAAGTTGAGTAAGATTATCTTAGCCAGACTTCTTGCTGTAGGCATCTTTGTGAATGACTGTGGTCAGACCAGAAATTTTGATTCATTTTAGATTCTTCTCCCTCTGTGTCTACAGTTGGTCAGCTAGCTTTTACCTTCTGCCACTTAAGTCTTTTTCTGTCAGAAAGAGGACAGAGTCCTTCTAACTCTGGTCTCTCTCTGATTCTTCAGGTTTTATCACTTTTTTCCTAGAGTAACTTACTCTGTGCTTTCCTCTTCTCAACTAGTCATTCATTCAGCTGCTGCAATGGTGTTAGTTTCAGCGAGAGCACTGAGGGGGTCTGTGTACCTGAGAGAGGATGACATTAATGAAATGGGGGGGGGGGGGGACCATGTCCTTATAGGCACAAAGCAGAATGGTCCATGCAGGATCTCTCTCTCTCTCTCTTTTTTTTTTCCCGCTTTTTGGGTCACACCCAGCAATGCTCAGGGGTTACTCCTGGCTTTGCACTCAGGAATTACTCCTGGAAGTGCTTGGGGACCATATGGGATGCCGGGGATCAAACCAGGGTCGGCCACGTGCAAGGCAAACGCCCTACCCACTGTGCTATCGCTCCGGCCCCCATGCAGGATATCTTAATCACAGGCTTTTGACTGTAAGTAACAGGGGAAACCCTCGCAATCTGATTTAAGCACAAGAGAAATAAGTGATGAGAAACTAGTGCTCTTTAATTACCTCCTAAGGTCAGGACCTGGGCAGCGGACCCATAAGAAAGGGGAGAATCCAGGGGAAGTGTTTAAGAACAACCTCCCTCTTTTCCACTTTCCTCTTCATAGTTTCCCAGAACTCTTTCATTCTTCTTTATAGCTTATTTTCTTACTTTGCAGTATGCTTTTTTTTCTTTTCCTTTTTGGGTCACACCCAGCAGTACTCAGGGGTTACTCCTGGCTTTGTACTCAGGAATTACTCCAGGCAGTGCTCAGGGGACCATATGGGATGCCGGGGATCGAACCCAGGTCGGCTGCATGTGATGCAAATGCCCTACCCGCTGTGCTGTTGCTCCGCCTTCTGCAGTATGCTTTTAAGTTTCCAGTTTCTGTGGACTTATTCTAAGTCACTAGCAGGGCCAGTAGCATCTCTGAGTTTTAATTTCAGATTCCCAGCAAAGCCAGGCAGATCACCTCTGTGCTATTCCATTGTGCCTATCACCATGGGCCACTTGGAATGCTGGAGCACTCCTGTTCTGGAGGGAAAGCACATTTCTCACGAAGGAAATGATGGGTTGGGTAGATCCCTCAAAGGCATCAGTAATAGTAAAGGAAAACTGTGTGTACATGAGCTCCCTGCCTGTCTGGAAGACTGCATGGGGAGTCGGATGACTACCTCAGCGAACAGATTTGTGAGAGGTGGTAATGATCAAACAATGACTTTGGTTTTGAACCTTTTGAACTTGTGAGTGTTAGATATTATTAACTATTTAAGTGCCTACTTTATGTCAGACTGCACATGGAGTATAGGAGTAAGCAGTGGATACATCCTACCCTAAGTATCATCTTTTGACTAAGTGGATCTGGAGCTCAATTGAGTAATATGGGCTAGAGACTAGTTTGATTATATTTGGTGGCTTACACAATGTTTAAACTAGAACTAGAGAAAGAGATAGCTTCAAACTCTAAGGTTCACTGATATTTGCCTATCTATAGACCGAGGATTAGGTGTGGCATAAGAGGGTTTGTTAAAGGAAATAGCTGTAGAGTTGTCAGAGAAGAATAGGGAGAGAAGGGAGAATTTGGAGGACTGAAAGATTTTAAAAAGCAGAATGGGGCTGGAGCAATATAGTACAGCAGGTAGGGCATTTGCCCTGAACATGACCAATCCAGGTTTGATCCCTGGCATCCCATATAGTCCCCTGAGTACTGCCAGGAGTAATTTCTAAGTGGAGAACCAGGAGAATTGCCAGGTGTGACCCAAAAAGCTCTCCCCCCCCCCCCCCCCCGCCAAAAAAAAGGCAGTGTAAGTTAATACTTTGACATGTCTTCTAGATTGAGCAGTTTAGAGGCTATTAGTTACTTACTTCTGGGGAGAGAAGGTAGGTTGAAATGGGTGAACAATGCCTGGGGAAGTGAGGAAGTTATTTCTGAAAAGCTTTTTAGTGAACAGTGCTTTAGTTCAAGTGTACCAATAAAGTTACATAGAATGCTTAGTTGTTGAGTGTTAAGGCGCAGGGTTAATATACTCACGTATAATTCTAAAAGGGGTCTTTTTCAGAGTGACATTCATGTCATAATAGATGAGGGACTGACTGAGGTTTTATTGTCCCTCCAAAAAATAACGGGGAAGGGGAGAAAAGGCACAAAAAGATCTTCCCCCACCAGGAATTATGAAATCCTACAAAATTTTACTGACATTTAATGTTTTTTATTCTGCAATGTTCTAACTTCAGTAATACCTTTTAAGGGTTAGTAGTGAAAAGTGGAAGTAGACTTTCAGATGACTAGAAGATATTATTAATTATGAAAAGAGTTGATCAGCTTGTTTAAAATGTTTTTTTTGCTTTCCTAGATTTTACATGCTTTTAATTCAAGGTTTGCAGATAAATGATTATGTATGCCATCCTGTCTTGGCCAGCGTTATTCTAAACTCCCCTCCTTTGTTCTGCTGTGACTTGAAAGGGATTGATGTTGTGGTTCCTTACTTTATTTCAGCTCTTGAAACCATTTTGCCTGACAGGTAAGCAATCATTTCTGTATTAGCGTCTCAATTGTCTGGTTTAGCCTGGCTTATTTTGGTGCTTCCTTCCAAATTTTCCTCTTTATTCTGTTCGGTTGTATTGGGGACCACGAGGGCTCAGGCCACATTAAATGATTATAGAACATAGAGATCTACTTATCCTTACACTCCTTCTGTTATGATTTGTTCATGAGGTTGTTAAATCCTTTTTTACCTGATCTAGAGGACTACGAGCAACGTTAGCTATGTCCTATTTCTGCAGACTATTTTTGTAATTATATTTGGAATCCTTCAATCAGATTCCAGTTTTAATTCCTAACAGATCATCATCCAGATAATTCATATACATGCCTGTGACATACATACTCAAATTGAAAATAGGAGCCCAGTGGAAAGTTACTGCTAATAGTATTCCTTATGAAACTAACCCTGTGCTTGAGTTATGAAACATTGGCTTGATATATGTTTGGCAATAACCGAAAAGTTACCTTACTTTAAAAATACTAATAGCTTTTTTTTTTTGGCAGAGAACTCTCAAAATTCAAAAGCTATGTAAATCCAACAGAACTGAGAAGATCTTCCATTAATATCCTGCTTTCTTTGTTGCCCCTCCCTCATCACTTTGGCACAGTCAAATCTGAGGTAATTTTGATGAAGATTTCATTTACTGTTCTGCTTTGTGTGCTACTTCAAATCGAATTGTATTTAAAGAATTAGAACAGGAAGTTTTAAAAAAAAAAATTCAAATTATTCCAAAGTTGATTAGTTGCGATGTTTCTTCTGTCAGCCTGCCAGCCTACTTTCTATCCTTCCAGGTGGTGACAAGCTAGTAACATCCAACAACATATGTTATGTGAGTTCGTGACAGACTTCGCTCAGTGGCTATTAATAGATTTAAAGCCTTTTTGTTAGATGGTTTTTCTCTTTGTGCAAGTTTAGCAGTTTCTAGCTAAGCGTGATGAGACGACATCCATTTATGTTAAATATTATTTGTTTTTTCTTTCCTAGGTGGTCCTGGAAGGAAAGTTTAGTAATGATGACAGTTCTTCCTATGATAAACCAATAACTTTTTTGTCTTTGAAGTTGAGACTTGTGAATATACTAATAGGTGCCTTGCAAACAGAAACAGACCCCAACAACACTCAGATGATACTAGGTTTGTGTTCACATGTTGTGGGTTTGTTGTTGTTTCCGTGCTGGGGGCCATGCTTGTTTGAGGTGGGAGGGGACCACGTGCTGCTGGTGATTGCACCTGGGGCTCCAGCATGCAGAGCTTGCACTTCAGTGAGTCATCTCTTCTGCCCCCACATAACTTTTTAAGTAAAATTCCATAGATTAACGACCCTGATGTACTCAGGGTAGGGATCAGTGCTGGCTGCTAAACGTATTTTGTTCTGAGTCAGAATCAGAACATGTTTACTTTTATATGTGGATACAGTCGGGAAGTACAACCCTGCAGTTGTGCTAGTAGATTGTTTTGCTTAGTTTTATGTGTAGCTGTTGTCTCTGCACTGTGGATAAGTGCATTCCCTCAGTGTGATGAGAGTGTGGTAGGCTCTGCTAGTTTCCGCCCTAGTATTTCTAAGGCTGTGAGTTCCTTCATAATTACTTGCAGTATGTCGTCATAATGTGCATCCGTGGACAGATCCCGAGCCATGGGACTTTACTCCATGCTTTAAAAGCAGTCTGGTCAGAAAGATACAGTTGGAGTTTCTATTTGATTCCATTCATTTATTTGATTTTTGTGTTGCTGATGGCTGAGCCCGTTCTTACAGCTGCAGGGCCATGCACTTTTGCTTCCTAGCCACATTCCTGGCCTCCAGTTTCAGCTTTTATTTTCTAACCTTTGTTTTACTTTCAAATGGTCAGAACCAGATTTTAAAATTGTTTTAGAATATCTTCAATAATTTTTATTGTCCTTGAAACTGAGATGCTTACATCTGGCTTTTCATGTCAGTTAAAGGAGACCTGATAAGAAACACTGGGATGCAGCTCAGTTGGTAGAACATTTGCTTTACATGTAAGTGTGGTGCCCTGGATTTGATTCCCAGTGCCACACAAACAAAGCTAATAATGGACAGACCTTTCTATATGTCAGTTTGACCTTCAGAATTACGTTAGGGAAATGTATTTTTGAAACTCTGAAGCAAATTAGAATTAGCATGTTTATTTCTTTATTTTGAGCCCCACTCTTGCAGTATTCAGGAGCTATTCTAATGTCTTCAGAGTGGCCTCTGGTGGTACCTACTCTGGATACCATGTGTAGTACCGGAGACTCAAACCAGGGTTGGCAGGATACAAAGGTCAGTGCCTTAACTTCTTCACTATCTCTCTGGCCCTAAACTTAGCATTTTTAAGCAGTATCTTTTCTGACTAATCATCCGATTTATTAGCAATTTAGATAAATTTTGGGAGCCTGGGGGCCAGAGAGAGAGTGTAGGAGGTAAGGCACTTGCCTTGCCATTTGACTATCCTTGGTTCAGTCCCTGAGCCCTGCCAGAAGTGATTCCTTAGCACTCCTGGATGTGCCCCCCCCCCCAACAAAACAAAACTTAGTAAAATTTCAGGAATACTTGGCTAAAACCACTTCATTTGAAATTCTTCAACCTTTTGGTATTTTTGCCATGCATTTTGTATAAATACATCTTTTTGCTGTTTCAGGGGCAATGTTAAATATTGTTCAAGATTCAGCACTTTTAGAAGCCATTGGTTGCCAAATGGAGATGGTAAGAAGCATAATACACCTAAACTGACAGAGAATATCAGCTTCTGATTTTATGTAATTTATATTCCAAAATATCTGTCATTACGATTGTTAAAAGATCTTATTTGTAAAATCAGCTTATTGTTTAGAAGGTTCAGTTTTTATTGATGATTTTTAAAAGTATTTTTGGAGGACCACTCCCATTAATGGGGGGGGGGGGGCGCGCATGTGGAGGAGAGTTCAAACCCAGGACCTTGCATATGCAAAAACATGTCCTTAACCGTTTGAGCCACATCACTGGCCCAGGATCCTATTTTCAAATACCATGTATTTTGTGGTTTCTTAGCTTGAGTACCTCATCAGTTATCAGGTCCCTGAGAAATTTTGTGATGGTGCATTTCCACTTTAAAGGAGTCTATGTAGACTCTGGCTTTGCCATGCTGGAGACAGACTATCCCTAGTACTTTCCGTCCCTAGTAGATCTCATGCTGGCTCTTAGCAAGCATCTAGTTTATTTATTTGTTCTCTGCTCATCAGTGTTTTCCAAAGTTGGCTAAATCGCCCCCCGGGGAGCCCTGGATCACTGATGGGTGTGGATGGGGGGCTAATAGTAGGCACAGTTGCAATTTTGTGTGTTTTCTATTTGTTCACTTAAAGAAGGTAGATTCTTGAAGGGGGTGAACCCCTTCTCCCTCCAAATGGGAACAGTGAACCAAATAAGAACCTTTGTTCTAATTGAAAGTTTGAAATACCACTGTTCTCCCAAACACTAGTGCTTTGGGGCGGGGGGTGGTGGGGGACACAGCTTCTCAGAGACAGCTGGTCCTCTGTCTTTTTTTTTCCCCCCTGATTTTTGGGCCACACCTGGTGATGCTCAGGGGTTACTCCTGATTCTGCAGAGGAATTACTCTGGTGGTGCTCAGGAGACCATATGGGATTCTGGAGATCAAACCCTGGTCTGCTGCATGGAAGGCACACCCTACCTGCTGGACTTATCTCTCCAGCCCCTGTTTTTATCTTGAAGATTTGATTTTTGTTCATGGAGTAGAAGTAGGGGGAGGCAGAGCGGATAAGTAAGGGATTCATAGATTATACTGGGGTGGACTGGGTGACCAAATTATGGTTAGTAAAATTATATCAGTTAATAATATTCTGGATATAATGAGAATATATAATAGCACTGTAGCACTGTCCTCCCATTGATCATCGATTTGCTCAAGCGGGCCCAGTAATGTGTCCATTGTGAGATTTGTTGTTACTGTATTTGGCATATCGAATACGTCATGGGTAGCTTGCCAGGCTCTGCCGTGAGGGCGAGATATTCTCGGTTGCTTGCCGGGCTCTCCGAGAGGGGTGGAGGAATCGAACCTGGGTTGGCTGGGTTGGCTGCATGCAAGGCAAACACATACCCGCTGTGCTATCACTCCAGCCCATAATGAGAATATATATCTTTGTTAGCTCTATACATGTAGAAGTTAATCTTTATATTAAAGTAATCTGTGTTATGCTGTAACTTGAACTATGTTTGAAAATAATTGATATTAGTATGCAATTTTTTAAAAAAGATGCTACTCATGGGGCTGGAGCAATAGCACAATGGATAGTGCGTCTGTCGTGCATGCAACTGACCCAGGTTTGAACCTCGGCATCCTATACGGTCCCCCAAGCACTGCCAAGAATAATTCCTGAGGGGCTGGAGCGATAGCACAGTGGGTAGGGCGTTTGCCTTGCACGCAGCCAACATGGCCGACACAGGTTCGATTCCCAGCACCCCATATGGTCCCCTGAGTACCTCCAGGAGCAATTCCTGTGAGTGCATGAGCCAGGAATAACCCCTGAGTATCGCCGGGTGTGACCCAAAAAGAAAAAAAAAAAAGAATTCCTGAGCACAGAGCCAGGAGTAACTCCTGAGCATCGCCAGGTGTGACCCAAAAAAGGAAAGAAAAAAAAACCTACTCTACTGTTCTGAAGTTTCCTTTGGAGGTTTTAGTGTATTTAGGAACCCAGAGTCATTAGCTAGTGAACTTTAGCGAAGCTGGAAAAAGCTGTGGGCTGCCCTTTGTAGATAGGAGCCAAGAAGATTGGACACATGTAGTCAGTAGACTCTGAATACCTTCCAGTAGATGGTGTCTATTAAAACAACACAGCCGTGTTAATCCCATGTCAGTTTTTATCTGTATCACTTGGAGCTCGGTAGTTGGCATGTTCCACTAGCCTGGTTTCAGTGATTGGCCTTTTTCTGTTTGTAAATTATAGATGTAGGTCTCAAATGATTGATTGATTTTCATCTGACTAGGGTGGGGGTGAAAATAACCCGAAGAGTCATAGTCGCACCAATAGTGGAATTAGTTCAACAAGTGGTGGAAGCACAGAGCCCACTACTCCTGACAGTGAAAGACCTGCACAGGCTCTCCTAAGGGATTATGGTAAGCTGTGTTTTTGTTTATTTTCAGGTTGAAACTTTGCAGAATGATCTTTTTGGTGGGAGAATAGGGTCACACTGACAATGCTCAGGGATTACTCCTAGTGACCTCGGGGGACCATGTGGGATGCTGGGGATCGAACCCAGGTCAGCTACATGTAAGGCAAGAGCCCCACCTGCTATTATCAGTCTAGCCCCTAGATGATTTTTTAATGCACAGATGTGTGAGCACAAAACATTTTAACAAAATACAGTGCTCATAATTTTTAATATATTATATAGTAAAGAGGATATTAGCCTAAAAAATAAAGATTCACTTCTATAGCTTTTAGTACTTAGATTTTAGGTAGTTTATTAGAGTTTATGAATAATATATGGGTGGATTTTGTACCCGTTATTGTTGTGTGATGAGGAGGGCACAGTGCATTAGATGGGAATCTAGAGCTCGGTTGATTTTTATGTTATAACCTATATATCTCAGGTCAGAGAAAATAGCTCAACAGGCTGAAACAAGCTCAGGTCCAATCCCCAGTACTGCATGGTCTCCTGAACACAGAGTGGGAGTAGCCCTTGAGCAACACAGTATGTGGCCTCCAAACCAAAATAAAGTAAAATTAAAAAAAAAAAAAAAGACCCATACCTATGTAACGTTAGATTATTCACTCACCAGCTTTGAGCATGAGTAAGGAAACTTTGATTTTCTTCTTTGCAAACAAAACACTGCATCAGAGTACCCTATGGACATCCTAAAGAATGTCTTACCTTATGGGTTCTGTGCATTTATGGATGTGTTAATGTTTTTAAATACTAAGTCTGTGAGTGTTGAATCTGTGAATGTTAACCCAACTAAATTGCAATGAAATCTAGGTTCTTGATGTAAGTTTAATTTTTCAGTTATCTGGAAAATTCATGAGCCTAGAATTCCAGGCGTGTTTCATGGTTTAAGTTTCCTATAATAACGTGGAGCATGTCAGGTACCCAGGATCATTAGGTGGATACTCAACACTTTTCAGTATTGCATTAATAAATGAGTTATTTAAATTGTTTATCTTGCTCATTGAATTTGTGGGTTAAAATATATTATAGGTTGAAATTATGTTTATATATACTTTTTAATTTATGAATTTATTTATATACTTAACATTTTTAAATTAAAATTTTGCATAATTGCATGTGTTCTAATGTAAGTGTTTGAAGTGATTATTGTTTGTTGGCACTTTGCACTGGTGTTAGTGAGTTCTGCTTGTAATGTCGTAAAGTATTTTTTTATTAAATCCAGAGTTGTGTTAGTGTCGCTTGAATGTCTCTCTTTAATGATCATTCCTTTTTCTGTTGTCACTGCCCTCTTTCTGATAGGATCGACAGGTATAATGTCCCTAAAGCTTCCTATATAAATTAAATATATTTTATTCTAGTTTATTAACTGAATAATAATTACTTTTAAATGTAGAATTGCAGACCAAATAAAAACAGTGACTTGGTTATTTTTATTTATTTCCAAAATATAAACTGGAAAAGTAAATGTTTAAATGCATTTGAAAAGGCATTGCATGTGATGATTTAAATACTGAAAATAATCTCAACAAATGCTACAGGTTAATTCCTAGCATCTGAAGAGATTCTAAAAGTGGAATTCGTTCATTTATAAAACTCTAAGGAAATAATTGATAGCCTTTTCAATTAAAAAAAAGTAACTGAATTCATTCCAAAATTTTAATTTTGCCATTGTTTTAATAATGACACGGAAACTGCCAAATCCCAGTGGATGTCTGTCTGAAAATACGTGGGCTGGGATCTAGAAATACTTGAGTGCAGTGTATGCCCTGCGCACTGCTCAGTGGGACTCGGTGCTCAGGCCAGTGGGGCGGGGAACATAGCACTGTGTGGGTGCCCATCGTGCTCACTGTGGCTCTGTGGTCTGTGCCTGGTGGAATGCTGTGCTTCTTGTTACTAATGCTTAGTTGTTTTCCCTCCCTGTGGGGTGTGGCATTGGGGTTATATCCTAGCTCTTAATACAGATTCAGCTGCTGGACTCCTGATTCGCAGCATTCATCTCGTCACCCAGAGACTCAACTCCCAGTGGCGGCAAGACATGAGCATATCGCTGGCGGCTCTAGAACTGCTCTCTGGCCTGGCAAAGGTGAGACGGACAGGCGTTTCTGTTTCGGCCTGCAAGGCTTGAACCCCTGGTTTTCCTCTCTCCCTACACTTGGGTGTTTGTTCTGTTCAAACACTGTTAATATCCCAAGTATGCAGAAATGAGCATCTAATGAGGCCTTACAAAATGAACCTTACATTCTTCAATGAATTGAAAGAGTATGGACAATAGTTTGCCTGTTAAATTACATTAAGAAATAGTCTGGCAGTTGCTATTGATATACCTACTCGTGGCCTATTCTATATGCCAAAAACAGTAATAACAAGTCTCACAATGGAGACGTTACTGATCTCCATTACGCCACAACGAGCCGACAGTGCTACAGTGCACATAGTAGAATGCACATCGATCTGCATTTGTTTTAAAATGCCTTTAAAATTTCAACATATTATGGTATCTAATTTTAATAAGTATAGATTTGGTTGAGGTTTAAAAAAATAACGCTCTTTTTAGAAAGAGTAATTATGGTAAAATATGCAATTTGGACTATCTATGACTCATTCCCCATGAATAGTAAAAAAAAAAAAGTGAGCTTACAAATTTCCTCATGGCTGTTATTTTAATTCTCTAGACCTCGGTGACAATTTGTCCTTCCTTTTTCAACTGAGGTGAACTTCATATAATATAAAATTTTCTATTTTAACGAAAATCAGAGCTATTAGTACTTTGACAATGTTGCACGATATGACTTCTGATTTCTAAAAGAAGCCTGATGTGCATTAAGTAGTTGCTTCCTGGCCCCCTGCTCCCCAACAACAGTCACCAATCTGCATTGCCGTCCTGGATTTCTATTTGGAACGTTTCCTATAAATTGGAACATGAAACCTGTACCTTTAAATCTGATTTCTTTGACGTAATGTTTTTAAAGTTCATTTCTATTACAGATGGTGTCAGAATTTTATCCCTTTTTGTGGCTAGATAAATCGCGTTGCGTAGTTTGTCTATACATCGATCAGTTGATTTATATTTGTATGGTCCTTTTATGAACAGTGCTGGTTTGAATGTCTGTTCAGTTCATCCAGTGTCTGGATACCAGTTTTCAATTCTTTGAGTAGTTACCTGAGAGTAGAAATGCTGGATCATGTGATAATTCTGTTTAACTTCTTGGTAGGCAGTCAAACTTTTTCTAACAGAATCACTTTGCGTTCCCACCAGTGATGTGCAAGGGTTCCAGTTTCTCTGTATCCTCATTAGCATCTAAGTATTTTTTCAACTATAAAATGGACAGGATTATCTTGTGTATTAATTCAAGGTGTTAAAAGGATGAAATAAAATACGTCAAACTAAAAGCATAAATTAAAAGCTGATTGCATACATAAGGTGATATTCGTATCTGAAATTAAATAAGGCTCAAGCCCTTGTTTTGCAGATGTGGCACAGACAGATCAGGAGAGACTGTGACTTACTTAGCTAAGTCATGAGAAACCAAATAGACGGGAAAACCTAAAATGCTTTCACCACCGCCTAGCACTTACTTCAGATATCCCCAGGGGTTGATGTAATGGCCATAGTTTGAGAGGAGCAATTACTGGTCGGAAAGGGAGCAATGCTGGTCCCTTCCTGCTCATGAGAGCAAGGTACACCTTCAGTAGTGAGCAGTGACTAGCCCCGATGAGGAGCTGCTGTAGATCTAACAAACACAGAAGGGCTGCCAGCACCTGATTTCCAGGTTTGCTCAATGGTTAGGGCACGTGCCTAGCACGCCCCAACCCAGGTTTGATCTCTCACCACCCCAGCACTGCAGGACCTAAATTTACATATAAATAGCTTTATGTATAACTGCAGCTATATAGCTGCAGTAATTATCAAAACCATTTGGTATTAGGTGTCAGAGTAGTGATATAGTGAGTAGTGTGTTAGCCTTGCATGCAGTAGACCTGGGTTCGGTCCCCAACATCCCATATGGTCCCCTAAACAACACCAGAAGTAATTCCTGAGTGCGGAGCCAGGAGCAGCCTCTGAGCACTGCCGAGTGTGGCCCCAAAAGTAAAACAAAACAAAAGAACTATTTGGTATTAGAATAGTGTTAGACAAAAATTCAATACAGTAGTAGAAGTAGTCTAGGAATAGAGCCGCACATCTGAATTTTTTTTTTTTTAAACAAAGGTAAAATGGTAATTCAAAGGAGAAAAAATAGACTTTAACAAATGGTGTTAGGGCAATCTGCAGGGCTGGAACCGTAGCACAGGGGATAGGACGTTTGCCTTGCATGCGGCTGACCTGGGGTAGGTTCCTTCGTTTCTCTCGGAGAGCCCAGCAAGCTACTGAGAGTATCCTGCCCCCACAGCAGAGCCTGACAAGCTCCCTGTGGCGTATTCAATATGCCAAAAAAGTAACAAGTCTCACAATGGAGATGTTACTGGTGCCCACTTGAGCAAATTGATGAACAACGGGAGGACAGTGTTACAGTGCTACAGGACAATCTGATACTCATACAGCAAAAAGAACTTTGAGTTATACTTTACATTGTTAAAAAATTTAATGACAAATGCATTACAGACCAACATATAAGATTTAAAATTTCTACAAGTCACGGGAAAGCATCTTTTATTTTGTTTTTGGGCCTTACCCAAAAGTGCTCAGAGCTTACTCCTGGCTCTGCACTCAGGGATCACTCCAGGAGGGGCTCAGGGGACCATATGGAATGCCTGGAGGCAAACCCAGGTTGGGCATATACAAGGCAATGGCCCTACCCACTGTACTATCTCTCTGTGTGGAAGAAAAAATGTTGTGACTATTTTACAAAGACTTATTAGATCTTATGCGATAAAAAAAAACTGCTTTTCTATAAAGAAGCTTTTACCCAAATGGTGCTCAGGACTCACTGTTGATTCTGGTTGCTCAGGAGGCTGGTATTGTGACTGAAAGGAGTGGGGGGGTTGGCCATGCAAGGAAAATGCCCTTAAAAACACTCAAGAAAATAAGATTATAAGTTACGGACTATGACAAATTTTTTGCAGAGCATATATCTGATAATTATGAGTAATATAAGACATATTTCAAAACTCGGTAATAGGGATGTGACTCAAGTGGTAGGACACATGCCTGGCTTTGGATTCAGTCTCCAGCACTGCCCAGAGCAGCCCCTATAACAGAAACCCCAGCAGCTGAGGGTTAGCCTTTCTTCCTGGTGGTGTGCATTTCTGAGAAGGGGAGATTGGTCGTCCATAGCATCTTAACACGTTGAATTGAGTGAATTCCTGGCTCACAACTTTGTTGAAGATGACCACTGTTGGTTTAAATTATACCAACTCTAGCAGGTCGGAGGGAACCTGGCGTCGATGGTAGAGGGAAGTTCATGTTGGTGGTGGGATTGGTGCTAGAACATTATGTGCCTGAAACTCCGCTATGAGTGACGTTGTAAATCACACATCCACTAGATCAGAAGTTTACTTGGCTCTTCAAGATGCAGAGTGTTCATGGTAACAAAGACCAGCAGATCTGGGAATTGGCTCGTGTAGCTTAGCAGCTGTTTGGCTTACCTGAGGGCTAGATAGTGGTTTTTGTTGGAAAGATGCTCCCAGAAGGGCCATGTGCCATGCCCAGAGATCGCTGCTGTAAGCTCCTAGGAGGGCTTATCGGGTGGAAAAACTGCTTCATCGTGGAGAGTGGAGCCAAGGACCAAGGCTCCAAGGTCATGAGTATCTCCAGCGACAAGAGATGAAGTTTATGACTGGTGTGGATTGAAAGTGAGAACCATGTTAACGACTACATTGATAGCCCCATGCTCTGTTCATGCAGAGTGTGCTGGGATCAGAGTAAAGGTCATGCTGCCCTGGGGTCCAGGTGATAAAAATTGCCTGACTTTGTAAGCTTTGTGGACCCTAAAGATGAAGTACTGCTCACCAGCTCCATCATGGGACAAAGATTAGGAAGTCACAGTGATTGGACACAGTCATGCATAACAGGGTCTCATTGGCACCTGTGTCTGTGGTCTATGTGTTGCTTTGTAAAAATCTTTATTAGGTCTTTGCAAAAGAAAAGTAATCACCACCAATAAAAATTCCTAATAAGGGAAACCCAATTTAAAATCAGGCGAGAAATCAGAACTCTAAAAGAAGATACACAAATGGCGAATAAGCAATGAAAAGATGCTCAGAATCATCAAGTTATTAGAATGTCATTAAAACCGTAAGGCTTATGACAGCAGAACAGTGACTAAAATTAAGACTGATCATACTAAAATGTTGGTGAGGATATGGAAGAATTGAAACTCTAATTCTTATATGCTGCTTATTGGAATGTAAAGTCATTTAATAATTTTAAATAGTTAAATACATAAAATAGCTTTTTCCCAGTTCCTTAAAAAGTTGAAACATTCATTATGTGATCAGTTATTGTATCCTTCAGTCCCAGAAGACAAAATAGGGGATATGAATACATTGTATGTGAGTATTCATAGCACCTTTGTTTGTGATACCCAGAAGTGAAAACAGCTAGGTTTCCATCAGTGAGTTTGATATGATTTTATTTCTGTAAAACCCTAGGAACTGCACATTTATCTTCAGTGGCAGAAAGCAAGTCAGAGTAGCTGGGTGAGGGAGGAAGGATTGCAGTGATGCAGGAGATTTTGGTGGGGGGTTGGTTATTTTCACTGTCTTGACTGTGTTACTTCACAGGTGTGTATTTATGCCAAAATTCATCAAGTTGTACACATTGAATATTTGTAGTTAGCTGTGTCTTAATTAGATTTCTGAGACCGCTGTGCAGAATTTCATTTTATTTTTTTTTGGTGGTGCCAGGGATGAGCTCCAGCCCGGCCCCACCCATGCAAGGTAAAGTGCTGTGCCAGAGAACCGCTCACTCCAGCCTTTCTCTGCAAAGCTTTGTTGTCTGTGGAGCATGTGCGGGATTGGATTAGTGTGCTTACAAAATATGCATATGTTCCAGTGTTTCGTTGCCAGCCCTGTTTTTTGTTTTGTTTTGTTTTAAATCTCTGGTGATGAGTTGATCCCTCCCAGAGGTTTGGGTTTTCTTTAGATCATGAAAAATCTGCTAAAATGAAATACTGGTTTAGGATTTGAAAAACGCTCTCTTTTGATAAAGCACTATAGTACATTTGAAATACTCTTTTCCTTATAAACAGTATTTTTAAAAACAAGGCTGCTACAATACATTCTCGGAAAGGTTGGGCTTCGACACAGATGTCTTGAAATTGGTATGGTATTTCCTGACTGTGTTTCCCTCTGAATATATTCAGGTGAAGGTCTTGGTGGATTCCGGAGACCGGAAACGAGCCATCAGTTCTGTGTGTAGCTACATTGTCTACCAGTGCAGCCGGCCAGCCCCTCTTCACTCCCGAGACCTGCACTCCATGATAGTGGCAGCCTTCCAGTGTCTCTGTGTCTGGCTGACAGAACATCCTGATATGCTTGATGAAAAGGTTCGTTCACTAGAATTTTTTTTTTTAAAGAAAGCTTTTAATAACAAGAATTTAGATCTTCAAACAGTAAGTCAAAACAAAAATGTGCTGGGAAAAGGGTTTTAGAAGAGATTACCTAAATTTAAATGCAATAGTGCAGGGTTTGAGTTGAATATACTTGTTCTGTTTTGGTAGAACAATTATTATTTTGAGCACAACTTCAAAATTGTCATCATTCTTACCTTTGGTTACAAAATTACTCATATAGGGAAGTTCTTTTGAAAAGTGGGCCTTAGCTAATTTCTCTCAACATCAGAATTTTTTTTTTTCCTTCTTTGGGGCCTTTTTTGGGCCACACCTGGCAATACTCAGGTTTTACTCCTACCTCTGCACTCAGGAATAACTCCTGGCAGGGCACAGGGACCATATGTGGTATAAGAATTGACTACACGTGGTACAAGCTTGCAAGGCAAGCATCCTACCCTATTATTCTGGTCCAGGAATACTCATTTTTGTTGATTAAATCTTACTTAGATGTCTAAATTATGATACCAGAAATGTCTTTAAAATGTAACTAATGGGGCCAGAGAAATAGCACAAGGGATGAGGCACTTGCCTGGCATCCTGCCAGCCCTGAGTTGAATCCTGGGCACTGCTGTGGTCCCCCAACCACTGCTAGGCATCACTCCTGAGCACAGAGACAGTATAATCTCTGAGCTCTCTGGGTATGGAAAAACAAAACAAAAAGTAACTGATGAGTTTCCCTTTGCATAACCTAACATGTTATAAATCATGCAGGTTTAAACAAATTACTGGTATAAATCTTTCACTTGAGCTTTTCATGATTTTTAAAATCTGTGGTAAGAATTTACACTCTGACAAGAATTATGACTGAAAGAACTAAATTGAATTTATCATTACTTGGTAGTTATTATTCAGTTTTATTCTTTAAAGTGAAATGGATAGTAAATTTATTCTTATATATATATCTGTTAAAATGAGAAAATAAAGCCCCATAAGCCATTAGCATTTGATGTGAAAGGTGATGAATATCTCAAGCCATATTACTAAACCCTATTTATATTGTTTTTTTCCCTCTACATACATAAATTTCCAATATGAAGTTTAACTTGTAAATTAGACATTGTAAGAGAATGAAAGAAAATAATAAAATATAACAATTAATAATTAAGTAAATATGGCCACTCTACTCCACCCCCCACTCAGAATATCTTAGAATATTTAATATTTTTGGCTTTGGTTGACCTTGAGTAACTGAAACCAAGAATAAGGGTAATGTATGCGTTTCCTGTCTTTTCATTGAGTTAGCTACCATTACAAAAACTTACCTACCTCTCCTGCTTCTAGGACTGTCTTAAAGAAGTACTGGAGATTGTGGAACTGGGTATTTCAGGAAGTAAATCCAAGAACAATGAGCAAGAGGTCAAATACAAAGGAGATAAGGAGCCAAACCCTGCATCCATGAGGGTGAAAGATGCTGCTGAAGCCACTCTGACATGGTATGAGAGACTGCACAGGGTTTGTGCCAGTCATTGGATGGGGTTAGCTGGTGGGATACACTGTTTTATCTCCTTTTTCTGCTTTAATGATGTAATTTCTTTAGGATATTATTTTCTCCTGAAAAAAGGAAATGAGAAAGTTTTTTTTGTTTTTAAAGCCACATTCAACTTTACATGAATGTGGCTATTCAAAAACTTGCTTCTTATTTCTAGTAACCGAAGTACTGAGTACTAAAAGTTCAAGCCATGTGGGGACTGAGGTAGACAGAAAAAAAATTTGAAAGAATGAAGACTTGGGCCAGAGTAATAGTACAGTGGTAGGGCACTTGCCTTGCACATGGCTGACCCATGGTTTCCTGAGCCCTGAGCACCGCTGGATGTGGCCCCCAAACCAAAAAATTTAAAAATTAATTTTAAACAATGACGACTTGTGACCAGAGCAATAGTACGGCAGGTATCGTGTTTAGTTTGCATGCAGCTGACCCTGATTTGATCCTCAGTGTCCCATATAGTCCCCTGAGTACTGCCAGGAGTAATTCCTGAGGGCAGAGCCAGTAGTAACCCTTGAGCATTGCTGGGTGTTTCCCCAAAACAACAAAATGAAGACGATGTATCACAATCATCCTGTTGTTCGTCAATTGCCTCGAGCAGACCCCAGTAACGTCTCCTTCATCCTAGCCCTGAGATTTTAAAAAGTGCCATATTCAAGGCTCTTTCAGGGTTAGGAGAATGAGACCCATCATTGTTACTGGTATTTGGCATATAGGGTACGCCACAGGGAGTTTGCCAGACTCTGCCGTGTGGGCAGGTACATTCGGTAGCCTGCCAGTTTGTCCAAAGTAAGAATGAGATAATAAGATGTCATGCGGCCTCGAATGTGATGTATGCTTTGAATTAAAGATAAGAGAAAGGGGAAAGACATTTCTTTTTTTTTTTTGGAAAGACATTTCTTACTGGGGTTGCTACATTATGCAGAAGTTGGTTTGCTTTATCCTAGCCTAAATGGATATGTTAGAAATAGATTGGGTATATGCTCAGAATGCGTAGAATGAAATAACCCTGTGATGCCTGCCCCCCCCACCCCCCCGACCCTCGGCTAGCCAGTAGTTACGTAGATGGTTCATCTTTCTTCTGCTTTTATGTCTTTTGCAATAGTAGTGGTATTCATTGGGTTGTTGTTATACGTAAATAAAATACTCTGAAGTTTTAGGCCAATGCCTGACATATTTTATGCTGTGTATGTTATTGTCCCTATTTTTTGAATGAATCTTTTTATAAACTTTTCTGATTATGAAGGCTTGATCATTTGAACTCCATTTTTTCTTACGTTCTCATTTAATAATCACAATGGTTCTGTGAGATGTAACTATTGTGCATTGGGGTCCTTATATATAAAATGAGACAATCTACTCTTGACTACACATGTGTTTCTGCTTTCTTAATGATCACTTCTCTTTTTTTGAGACTAGGTATTCTGAGGGCATTTGTCCCATCTTTTGATCTTTTCTAGATTTGGAATGTTTTATCTATATTGTAAACCTCCTGAAACTTGGAACACACAAAATTGTTTAGTGCATCTTTTGGGAACTTAATAATTTGGAAGTATGGTTAGTCATATTTCCTGAGGCAAACTCACAGAACAAAGTCTGCTTGCAGAATGTATTTTGGAAAGTGCCCTTGATAATTTCTTGAGGGCAGTAAAGGAAGCCGATTGCACAAAGGAAACCTAAACTGTAATGCAGTTGCAGCAAAGAACTTTCAAGCAGGGTTGGCCCTTCAGAGTTCTCCCAGATAGGTGCAGGGAAACTGGGACTGTAGCTGCTTCAACCCTCCATTGGTTACAGGCTGTCCCAGGAGGAAGCAGTGATCTTGGGTGAGCCAAGTTTTGGAGAGGAATTTGTCCTTCATGTTTTTGGACAAATGAACCTTCCATTCTGGAAGAGGAAATCTAGATAGCACACCACAGCATCATCCCAGTCTACTAAATGCCTGTCGAGAGGAAGCATGGCAGTGGTCCCTAAACATTCAGGAGTGCAAGGGCACATATGCATGAGGGGAACCAAGGGTTTTGCTTCAGGAATTAATGGTTCTCTTTTCCATTCTTCTTAGTATTATGCAGTTGCTTGGCGCATTTCCTTCACCCAGTGGTCCTGCCTCTCCCTGCAGTTTGGTGAATGAGACCACTTTGATTAAATACTCCAGGCTGCCAACCATAAACAAGCATAGCTTCCGGTACTTTGTCTTGGATAACAGTGTCATCCTGGCAATGCTGGAGCAACCTCTTGGAAATGAACAGAGTAAGTTACCATTTTGGATCTTTTCCACTGCAATGTGTTCATCGATACTGATGAAAGCTGTGCTGATCTTCCCAGATTAGCAAAAAACAACTTGAGTAATTTTATGTCAGTTCAAAGGACTTTCAGCAAAAGAATGAAAGCAACTGAGAAGTAGAATCAGAAGATGGAAAATACAGATTAAATAGAACCTTCTGGGTGTTCTTTTATGTGTTTCTGAAATACCTGAAAAAAGTGCTGTAGTTTTCTAAAAATTATTGTAGATCAAAATTAGTTTCTCTCTCAACTTTGGATCCTGCCCTTCTCCTCTCCTGTCTCTCACTCCTTGTTCTTTTTCAGTTATTGGTGCCAATTAGATGACTGGAAACTTGAGACTTTTTTGCCTGCTTCTTCCTGTCGCTTCCTCATTTAATTATTTTCCATCTCTAGGATGACTTTGAATCTTTGCTTTTCTCAGCGCTCTCCAATAGAAATTTCAGACTTTTCTATTAGTTAGATTATTGCAGTGTCTTCCTTTCTGATCTATATTCCCATCCCCTTGCCATCAGCAAAATTTGTTTACCCTTTCCTTCATCCTCTCTGCTGTTTCCCGTCAAATACAGATCTTACCCTTGCCAGGCTCTACTGAAAATGTTTCTGTGATTTTCCATTCACTCAATGTGCACTGTTTCCCTCCTCTTCGACTCACCAAGTGTAAACCATGTTAAGGTTTATGATTACCACTGCAAGCTAAAACACCCATATATTCTTATATATTCTCCTGATGGGAAATAGAATCAGCCAGTATGCAAAGATGCATATTCTCAGAGAGATCCTTATTTCTGGGAAGGTGAAGTTTCAGACAATGGTTATAGAATCTTGAGCATAAATGGAATCTGGTGTGAGGTCCCTCATTTATAAATGTAGAAAAGAGACTCAGAGAAGGTTTGTCACTTGAGATTATTTTGTGGCCTTGAGAAGTGTAAGGGTTTTGTGTGTGTGTGTGTGTGTGTGTGTGTGTGTGTGTGTGTGTGTGTGTGTTTTAAGAAGTGTAAGGTTTATTAACTAGAACCAGAACCCTACCCTGATTTTCTCAACCCCATACTGTTCCTTTGTGCTACCATTGTCTAATGATCGGCTTTTCTGTGATTAAAGAAGTATTTTCTTACCTTGGAGTAGACAAGACTTAAATTTCCATGCAAATTTTCTTTAGTGTATTAAATAGGATCTCATAAGTCCATAAAATAAAAGGGAGACATCTCCTTATGACTTAAATATGAATGACCACCGTCGGGTTGCCATCATTAATGTTAGGGTAACAATATAGTGACTGTAGTTTAAAATAGTTGGTTGTGTCCCTCATTGCCCAGCCCCAGAAGTGCTGGTTCCAGATATTTCCTGCAGATGCTTCTTCCTTCTCCACCCCAGACTAGAGCTCACTTAGTTTTCTTCCCTGGCTGGTGCCTCTCATAAAATGATTTTTTTCTGGTCTCCTCCCCCTGTAGCAGTCTGCCCTAGCTCAGTATGCACTTCTGATTTACTGACCTGAGAGATTCCGTTTTATGCTTTTACAGCTTTTTTTTTTTAATTCCCCTATTCATGTTTCAAGTATTAAAAATCTACCAAAAATAAAGGTGCTGGAATTTTATAAGTTTATGGGATATGTTTTATGTTAAGCTTAGTATCTGAGGTTAGAGAGCTTTGAGCTAGTTTGACTCCCATAGTAGAGACAAAAAGAATTGAATGAGAAAAAGAATTTGGGTCACTTAGGAAGTTCCTCCTCCGCCCCTCTTGGAGAGCCCAGCAAGCTACCGAGAGTATCTCGCCTGCATGTCAAAGCCTGGCAAGCTACCTGTGACGTATTCGATATGTCAAACACAGTAACTAGTGTCACAATGGTGACATTACTGGGCCCGCTCGAGCAAAATCAGTGAACAACGGGAGGACAGTGAGAGTGACAGGAAGTTCCTAAGGGTCACTTGGCAGCTCCAAACTCTGTATGTATGGCTGCTGGATTAGGTGAGGTAATGGTAGTAGTAGTTGGTGAGTGTTATGTATTTTTTTTTTTTTTGGGTCACACCCGGCGATGCTCAGGGGTTACTCCTGGCTCTGCACTCAGGAGTCACTCCTCGTGGTGCTTGGGGGGACCATTTAGGATGCTGGGAATCAAACCCGGGTCGGCTGCGTGCAGAGCAAATGCCATAACCGCTGTGCTGTCGCTCCAGGCCTGGTTTTATGTATTTTTTTAAAAAAAAAAACCCAAAAACATTTGTTTTAGAAACACATAACAAATCAAATTCATGGTTTTCTATTTCAAATGGAGCTGCGTAATTTCTTTTTAAAATAAACTTTAAAAAAAATGACTGAAAACCAATCATGAACAACTTTGTAATTGAGTATCTCATGGTGATTCACTATTTAAAAATAAGCAGATTATGTTTTTTTTAAAAAAAGTATTACCCAATAGTTAACCCAATCAATAATATGTTTATTCATTAAAAACAAGAAAAAGAAAAGGAAGCGGTTACTATAAAGTAAGGTAGCAGTTGTGTGGATATGAATATGGCACAAAATATAAGAACGTTTTCTTCACAAAGGATGAAAATTAGGGAAGCACCCCATGAGTTCTGAGTTTCAGAAGCTTTGCAGTTGATAATAGGTTTATTTTAAATGGTGGTTGTCTAAAAGAAAAACTATTTTGCTGTTGTTTTATTCCAGATGATTTTTTCCCCTCTGTCACTGTGCTGGTTCGGGGTATGTCTGGAAGACTTGCTTGGGCACAGCAGCTTTGCCTTTTACCCAGAGGAGCAAAAGCAAATCAGAAGGTATGCCAGGGTCGAGGAAATCGTCGCAGGGAGAAAGAGGGGGAATGATGAAGGGAGAGGCCGAGGGTTAACATTCAGCTAACAGCACACGTTGTAACAGCTGTTGAAAATGAGCTCTAATTGACACTTGGAATAAAATATGCTTGTTTGGGGGTCATACCTAAAGGTGCTCAGATACTATTTCTGGCTGAGAAGTGGCCCCTGCTATTGCTTGACAGACTGTATTTGGGGGCGGGGATGCAAGCCAGAAGGCTGCATGTAAAGTAAGCACCTAAGCCCCTGTACTCTCTCTGGCCCAAAATAAATATTTTTCATCTGCGTCACTGGGTTGATTTATTTATTTTGTTTTTAGGGTCTCTCCCAGTGGTGCTCGGGGGCTTACTCCAGGCACTGTGTCCAGGTGTCACTCTAGGCAGTGCTCCGGGGACTGTAGTGGTGCTGAGGATCAGACTGGGGTTGACTGTTTGCAAGGCACGTGCCTTAACACCTGTACTGTCTCCCCAGCCTCTGTGTTTTGTTCTAATTTTCATTTTATTGGGTTTTTGGACTGCACATGGTGATCCAGGAACTTGTTCCCAAAGGCACTTAGATAGGGGACCATGCAGATTCTGGGTATCAGACTAGGGTTGTCTGTAAGCACTTGGCTTTAAGTACCTGTACGTTCAGACTTTAAGGCTGGAACATATTTTAATTTGTTTTATTTTAACAGCTTTTTGTGCCTGAACCTCGTCCAGTTCCTAAAAATGATGTTGGATTTAAATACACTGTGAAACATCGACCATTTCCTGAAGAGGTGGATAAGATTCCTTTTGTGAAAGCAGATCTCAGCATTCCAGATTTGCATGAAATCATCACTGAAGAAGTAAGATAAGTAGCTGTTTAAAGAAGGTCTCTGAAGTGTCTTAGCTTCTGGGGTCAAGGCACTGTTTTTAGTGTTGTTAGTGTCCCTGAAGGGACTTCTGGGTCTCTGGGATTCATGTAGTTACTTTGTAATAAGACAAGTATAGATTATGGCTGATTTAAAGGGGACTGGATATGCCTGGCTTGCTTCCTGGTTGGTTTCAGTGGTGTGATGATATGCTCAGATTCTGTTGGAGGATTATTCGGAGAAGGATTAGTCCTTGTAAGAGAAAGGAAGGACTAGCTCACTGATTGTTGACATTTAAATATATGTATTGTAAACAAAGATGTGGGCAGTTTGGGTTTGATAAGAAAAGGAAAAGGGGGGGGCTGGGGCGATGGGGCATTTACCTTGCACGCAGCCAACTTGGGTTCGATCCCCGGCATACCATATGGTCCCCTGAGCACAAAGGAAAAGAGACAAAGAACTTTGTTATATAGTTACATATATGTGTGTATATATTTGGTTTAGATTAACTTCTATAATTAACTAAGTGATTTTTTTTAAATTCAGTCACCACGAGACACACAGTTACCAGGTTGTTCATGATTGGGTTTCAGTCATACAATGTTCCAATACCCATTCCTTCACCAGTGTACATTTCCCACCACCAATGTCCTCAGTTTCCTTCCTACCACCCTCCCCATCTGCCCCATAGGGGAAAAGAATTTTAGGAAGTAGGGGACAGTTATATCAGGGCATAAAAGAAAAGTAGGAATGGAGACTGCCCATGATACCTTATTTTAAAGAGATCAGGAAGAAGAAACAGTAAGAGAAATCCCCTGGATTTTGTCTCAGATTAGAGTTGAGCTTGAAAGCAGTTTCAAAGGTTTACGATGGAAGATGTTCTAAGGAGATCTTAGAAAAGATATATGAAGAAAAGCCAATGAGTATAAGGTACACTGTTAATAGAAAGGTACAGAATAGATAATAGTATGAAGGAACAGCCTCGCCAAGACAAAAACAAGGTTAAGATCTTTGGTTTGTATTTGGTTTTCAGTTCCTGTATAGGGATATCAGCATGCTTAGAAGTTGACAGGAAGGAGTGGGTGGAGAAGTATCCGCATCTCCCAGCACTATTGGAAGGATAAGTGACAGAGGACATAATGGAAGCGATGAGGTCAAGGGTCTCTGTGATTGTGGTTAGAAAAGAGATTCTTCTGGTAAGACTGGAAAGGAGGAGAGAGTGGGTAGTTGTTCAGAGATAATTAGAGGAGGAAGGAGGGAAATAGAGATGGTTTGTAAAATAAGACAACCCAGCTGAAAGTACATAGTATCATTTGTAGAGTGAAGGTACTTTGCTGACTTGCTTCAGAAATCCCTGGGATCTGCAGGCATAATTGAAAAAGGGGGATGTAGTCATGTGGCTTAGAGGTAAGAGTGCCTGCCTTGGAAGCATGAGGTTCTGGGTTCACTCTCCCGCCCTGCCTTCCAGTGGCACCGTGATCATGAATCCCCATACTGCCCCCACAAAGTACGTGATCTCCATTGCAACACAAGCATGTCACCCCCAGTAAGCACTGTGACCAGAGTGTGCAAACACACAACAGCTGTAGTATGTGATCCCAGCAAGCAATACAGCCAAGTATGCAGGCACCGTAAGCAAGCATTTGCAACCCCTGTTCAGCTCAACAAAAATGAAGGAAAGGGGAGTTGTGTTTTGTTGGGGTTTTTTGTTGGTTTTTTTGGTTTTGTGTTACAGAGACAGGGATGAGACTATGGAAGCAAAAAGGACAGCACAGCTATTTTATTATTTATTTTGTTTGTTTGGTTTGGGGGTCTCACATGATGATGCTCAGTATTTACTGGTGGCTCTGCACTCAGGGATCACTCCTGTTGGGCTCTGGGGACCATATGGGATGCTGGAGATTGAACCTGGATTGGCCATGTGCCCAGCAAGCTCCCTACCCACTGTGCTATCGCTCTGGCCCTGAACTAATTTTTGATAATTCCACTCACCATTTTGTTATAACAAGCAATATAAAATCAATTCTTTTGTGTCTGCCAAGGGGTCAGGCTTAGGGGGTTGGCACAAGACTGGGAATAGTGGTAGAGGGATTGGTGTTGGAACACTGAATGCCCGAAACAGCTGTATTATGAAAAACTTTGTAAACCACAGTGTTTAAATCAATTTTAAAAATAAAAAGGATTAAAAATTTAAATTTAAAAATTAAAATTTAAAAATTAATTAAAAATTTAAAAAAAGGATTAAAAATGAAAAGGATCAATTAAAAAAAAAAGAGGATGGAATTTTAGATTAGGGCTAACCAGAAGGGAAGTAGAGGGTGGGGGATATCTAAATAGTTGAGTAATCTGCCTGGGTAATCACTTCAAAACAAGAGGAAGTCACTGCAGGATGAAGATGGACTGTGACTTAGCAGAGGAGGTGGGAGCAGCTATTCTGCCCCTTCCCTGTTAGGAGGGAAGCATAGATGGAATGGTTTAATTTACATCAAGGAATTGAAGGAGCCATTTGCTGAATACAGTCTAGCAAATGTAAGAAGTGTTTTATTTTTTCATGATAAAAAATATCTTTTATTCAAAATTAAAATTCATCACTATCAAAACATCTCAGAGCAGACAACATGGTAGTTCACGAGCATCCTAAAGGAGCTATCATTATCAGAATCACAGATATTTAGTAAATGTAGCAGTCATGATCTAAAACAGAAGAATTACTTCTAACCTTTTTCAAATAATAGCAGCATTAACTAAGAATGAAACTACAGCGTAATATAGTGTGTTGTAAAGGGTAATAATATCACTGCAGTTTGTAAAAACCATTAAACTGTTCACTTTTAATGGGTGGCATATTGTTTAGTTTCTTCATTTTCATTTGTAAAAAGTGGTTTTTTCACCTGTTTCAACCTTGAAAGAGTTTCACTTGTTTGTGTACTACGTATTGAATTGTAACTAATGATCAGTGTAAAACATCTTTATTTACCCTTCTTCCACTAACTTAATTTCCATCTTAAAATTAAGATTTATCCTTTTACTTCTATAATAGATTGAAAAGGTGAATATTTGGTTTATTCTAGTTAGAAGAAAAACATGAAAAGTTAAGGAATGGCATGGCTCAGCAGATTGCTTACGAAATACAACTTGAGCAACAAAGCGAGGAGGAGTTTCAGAAGAGGAGTTTTCCTGACCCAGTTACAGACTGTAAGCCCCCACCTCCCGCGCAGGAGTTCCAGACAGCTCGTCTCTTCCTTTCACATTTTGGATTTTTGTCATTAGAAGCCCTGAAGGTACTCTAAAAAATGTTTATGAGTAGATTTGTTCAGTTGATGATAGCTAAAGCATTTTGATAGGACTAGAAGGAATTAAAAACTCATATTTTAAAAACTTTAAAATTTCACTGCTTGCTACTAAGTGAAATTCCATGTGCGATAAATTACAGTATGCACCTTGAGAGAGCTTATCCCATGAAACCATGAATAGAAACTGATTTGTTTACTTTGAAATGTTGTTGTTTGGTGTAACCACCTTGATAATTGGACTTAACTGTCTTCTGGCAATTTACTACAATTTATACATCATATTGTATTTTTATGTTTGTTTGTTTGTTTGTTTGTTTTGGAGGAGTGGTGTTTGGGCCACATCTGGTGGTGTTCAGGGCTTATTCCTGGTTCTGTGCTCAGGGATTACTCGTTGGGGGTCTCTAGGGACCATATGGGATGCTGGGGATTAAATCTAGGTCGGCCACCTGCAAGACAAGCACCCTACCCACGATACTGTCATTTCGGCCCCAACATTTTTATGTTTCAAAGCTGATTTCTTTCCTTAAAATTCATGAACCACTCTCAGCTAGCTTCACACTTTTCTCCTTGGCCTTCAAAGAATTGAAGAGAATTCAGACCATGCTATGGATTAGGCTTTGCTTAAAGGAAATGTTATAACTGGTTTGATCTACTGTCTAGACCACTAAAAATTTTATCGTATCAGTAATAAGACTAGTTTGCGTTTTCAACATTTGTGTATTCCCTAGAATAGCACTTTTCATTTTCTTCAAGAACTTTTCCGTTTGCATTCACACATGGGTAACTGGCGCAAGAAGCCTAGACTTTGGTGCCAGACCCTATAATACAGCAGGTTAGGCACATGCCTTTCCCCAACCATACCAGGGTGTATCCCTGGCTTCCCATATTACCCCTTGAGCCCCTCCCGGATCTTGTTATGATCCTGGAGTACAGAGCCAGTAACACACACACACACACACACACCTGGATTACAGAGCCAGTACACACACACACACACACACCATACCAGGGTGTATCCCTGGCTCCCCATATTACCCCTTGAGCCCCTCCTGGATCTTGTTATGATCCTGGAGTACAGAGCCAGTAACACACACACACACACACACACACACACACACACACACACACCTGGATTACAGAGCCAGTACACACACACACACACACACACCATACCAGGGTGTATCCCTGGCTCCCCATATTGCCCCTTGAGCCCCTCCCGGATCTTGTTATGATCCTGGAGTACAGAACCAGTACACACACACACACACACACACACACACACACACACACACACACACCCCATACCAGGGTGTATCCCTGGCTCCCCATATTACCCCTTGGGCCCCTCCCGGATCTTGTTATGATCCTGGAGTACAGAGCCAGTGTGCGCGCGCACACACACACACACACACACACACACACCACGCACACCCCCCCCACCCCCCCCACCCCCCCTAGCTTTCAACTTAATCTCCTCTTTCAACTTGCCTTTCTTACTAACTTTAATCCTTTCTACCTTTTGATACAAAGTGAAACATTCCACTCTTGGTTTCAGTTGGAGATGTCAGAGGTACTTAATAGGTTTTTAATATTACTCTTATTTTAGTAGTGTTTCTCCAACAAAGGAGACCACGGGAGAGGGAGAGACAAAACAACTTGTCTGTAGAGCTGTCAGTACATTTATTAAGTTTGCCATTTTAGAGGGGTGCTGTTCATGGCACCACAAACCAAATTTGACAGAAATTAAATGAGTGTATGTGGAGAAAATATGCAGGCAGACTTGATTGATGCAGGGTTGCCACCTCCTTTCAGTTTGTAAAAAGAAAAAAGTAAAAAATACATAGTGTAAAGGAGGGTGCAGTACAAGGCAGGCCTATGATTAAGAGGTAGCAGCCGTTGGGTTAGCAGTAATTGAATTCAAGTTAGACACATAAGAGAATCTTTAAATTGTTTAATGAAAGTTAAGATTGCCTCACAGAAAATACATATATTGAATGACAAAAATTCAGTTTCAGTAGTTATTTGGTTGAAATGTGTTGCAAAAATACTCCATTTCCAACTGTGATACTGACAGAAGTTGATCTAATGAAGTATATAGATGACCAAAAAGAAAATGCTTTCAGAAGTTAAGAGATTTAGGGACTGGAGATACAGTATAGCAGGTAGGGTGCTTGCCTTCTGTGCAATAAACCCAGGTCCAATACCCTCCACCACCCTGAGCCCTGCCAGGAGTGATCCTGAGCACAAAGTAGTAAGCCTTAAATATTGCTGGGTGTGGCCGAAAAGCAAAAACACAAAACAAAAAATTCAGACATTTAAAATATATGCATATTCATTTCATTTTTCATTTCATCATCCTGTTAATCGTCGATTGCCTCGAGCAGGCCCCAGTAACGTCTCTTTCATCCTAGCCCTGAGATTATATTCAGGGCTCTTTAGGAGAATGAGACCCATCATTGTTACTGGTATTTGGCATATTTGGTAGGCCACGGGGAGTTTGCCAGACTCTGCCCTGTGGGCAGGCTACATTCGACAGCCTGCAAGTTTGTCCAAAATATAATATGCATATTATATTCCTAAATTAGATGATCACAATAAACTGATAAAGTAGTGCTTAATAAAAAGGGCGCAGGGGCAGGAGACTGCACTGGTCTCTGAGTCTTGGCTGTTGATGGGATTACACGGCAGCAGGGGGCCAGGTGGTGGGTGTGACCCCCGCCTATTGGAATTTGGAAGATCTGGGTGGAGGATTTGCTCGATTTGCTCGAGCGGGGCCCAGTAACGTCTCCATTGGAGACTTTGTTGTTACTGTATCTGGCATATCGAATACTCTCGGTAGCTTGCCGGGCTCTCCGAGAGGGGCGGAGGAATCGAACTCGGGTCGGCCATGTTGGCCGGAGGATGCTCAACTCCAATCAGAGTAGGCTTGGAGATCTCGGCCCCGGAACCCGCGTGGCTTTGTCCCTCTGCCAGTACCTTCACGTGTGCGGAGAGTGGTCTCAGCATGGTGGTGGCTGGTCCTGGAGGTCTTTGGCTGCCAGAGCCCTGGTCGGGGCGGGGAGGAAAGCTCAACCCGCTCCCCTCCAAGGGACCCCGGCGAGGAACAGCCAGGCGCAGGGGGAACAGCCAGGGGCAGGGAACACCCCCTTGCACCGTGTAATCCCATCAACGGCCAAGACTCAGAGACTATAAAATCCAGCTCCCGGAACCGCGCAGCCGCATTTGCGGCCACGCGACATCTTATCAGGACATCTTTTTATGACATCTTATTATCTCATTCCTACTTTGGACAAACTTGCAGGCTATCGAATGTAGCCTGCCCACAGGGCAGAGTCTGGCAAACTCCCCGTGGTGTACCAAATATGCCAAATACCAGTAACAATGATGGGTCTCATTCTCCTAAAGAGCCTTGAATATAATCTCAGGGCTAGGATGAAAGAGACGTTACTGGGGCCTGCTCGAGGCAATCGACGAATAACAGGATGATGAATGAATGAATGAATGAATGAAATAAAAAGGGTATGAAGCCTTTGCTTGAATAGATGCCTTGCATACTGTAGAATTATAGATTCCCAGAAAAACCTGAAGACCAGAATTTTTTGTATATTTGTTTCCATTTGATTTTGTGTAGAATCTGATCTGAATTGATGCAAAGGTATATATAGTCTTCATTTCCCTAAGCATACTCTTTTGTTTTACTGATGAGCATTCTCTTTTGTTTTACTGAAGAAAGCTTGATCTCTCTGATAGATGGTATGATTTCTCTTCTTGCTAGGAATGTTATATAGCAGAAAAGTCCAGACCTGCCATCCTTGTTTGCCATCTCTGGGGACACTCCAAAAAATATCATGGATGAAAAACCTTGTTGGGCAAAATTACAGGTTCAGAAAAGATAAGCGATTAGGGGAAGTAATAAAGCGTGAAAACTGAAATTCAAGACATTGGTCCTGAGTGATAGATAGTACAGCGAGTAGGGCATTTGCTTTGCATATGGCCAACCCAGGTTCGATCCCTGGCATCCCATATGGTCCTCTGGCACTGCCAGGAGTAATTCCTGAGTGCAGAGGTAGGAATAACCCCTGTGCATCTTTGGGTGTGACCCAAAAAGCTAAAAACAAACAAAAAATTTCAAGACATTGAGAACAGTTTTAGGTTTGCAAGATGATTGAACAGAAAGTACATTCCTTTAGTTTCTCTCCTGCCTTTAAGGGTTTCCCCTATACTTAGATATTTCCCCAACTGCTGATATCTTGCACTAAAGTGGTGCATTTGTTACAACTAATGACTCAGAAAATAATTATTTGAAATCCATCGTTTACATTGAAATTCACTCTGTTGTACAACTTTATGGGTTTGGGTTTTTTTTTCTTTTTTTTTTTCTTTTTGGGTCACATTCGGCAATGCTCAGAAGTTACTCTGCACTCAGGAATTGCTCCTGATGGTGCTCAGAGGACCATGTGGAATGCTGGGAATCGAACCCAGGTCAGCTACGTGCAAGGCAAATGCCCTACCCGCTGTACTATCACTCCAACTCCCAACTTTATGGGTTCTAACAGATATATAATACATGTCCATCATTATACAGGTGGTTTTTGTGACTTAATGCATTTATTTTTATTATTGAATGATACTTTATCATGAGTATATTGGAGTTTGTGAATCCTTTCCCCTTTAGAAATACATTCAAGTTGTTTCTGAGTTTTAGCAGTTATATATAAAACATTGATATAAACATTTTTGCAAAGATCTTTGTATTGTAGCTTTTAATTAATTTAGGTGAAAACAGACCAGAGATTTAGCTGATAAAACTGTTTTGTTTTGCTACATTTGTGAGGCCTTGGGTTCAGTTCCTGGAACCATACACATACACTGACCAATTTGGGTGAATATCAAGGTGTAAAATTTCTGTGTTAGTTGGTAGTATTATGTTTAGCTTTGCAAGACTGCCAAACTTTTCTATACTAGTGTTCCAGTTTGCGTTTTTGTCGTGCAGTGAATGGGATGGGTGGGGGGAGTAAAATTTTTTCTTACTTACAATACAGGGAAAATAGGACCCACAGTTATGCACATAATACCATAATTGTCTTTAACCAAAAAAGTCAGATATGCATGAATGTATAATAAGTTGCTTAAAATTAAATACTGTGCTAATGTTTGTCACTTTATAAGTTTTTTCTTAATTTTTATTAAACTATAAGTATTTCTTATCATTTCTCCTTTGGCGATAGGAACCTGCAAACAGTCGACTACCTCCTCACCTCATTGCACTGGACTCCACTATCCCTGGGTTCTTCGATGATGTTGGCTATCTGGATCTTCTGCCATGTCGGCCCTTTGACACCGTTTTTATTTTCTATATGAAGCCAGGTCAGAAAACAAACCAAGAGGTATGAGTTCTGATTTGATGGGGGAGAGGTTTAATTTTTTTATTCAAGACTTGTGTTTATACATGATAGGAAACAAGTTATACTTGATACTTAAAGATTTATGAATTGATTCAAGAAAAGAAATGATGGAAAATTGATGGTTGGAGCCCCAGATCTCTTTGGAGGGGGGTAAAGGGGACTTCCAAAAAAATGCTGAAGAGTCCCAAGAACCTCACCCATGATTCTAGTTCTTTTTTTAATTGGGGGTTGGGCATACCCCGTGGTGCTCAGGGTTTATTCCTGGTTCCGTGGTCAGGAATAACTCCTGGTGGACCCTGGGGACTATATGGGGTGCTGGGGATTGAACCTGGGTCATCTACATGCAAGGTAAGTGCCTTACCCACTGCTGTACTATCGCTCTGGCCCCTCACCCATAATTTTTATTTTTTTGAATAAGTTGTTCTCATTGGAGAATGAAAAAGAGGAATATGTGCTTAAGAGAGAGAATATGGGCTTCTCCAGAGTGGACAAAAAGCAAGCAAAGAAACAAGACAGACAAACAAGATATGCATTCACAGGAAAACACGGGCTTGAGCAAGCTTCTCTCATGAGTCTTTTATTTATTTTTTATGTAGGAGTACTGCTATTTATTCAGCCACTGATTAGCTGATTGAATTGGGCATGAACTCCACCTAACTTTTTATCTTTTTTATAATTTTATTTATTAAATCACCGTGAGAGCAGTTACAAAGCTTTCGGGTTTAAGTCTCAGTCATACACCTGTACTTTCACCAGTGCCCATTCTCCACCACCAAAAACCCCAGTATTCTCGTATCCCACACCCTCCTCCTACCTGTGAGGCAGATGATTTCCACATTACTCTCTCTACTTTGATTATATTCAGTGCTTTGACACCAGGCCCACAATTATTATTTGGGATTTTACCCCAACACTCAGATTTGCTGAAAAGGCAACAGCAGACAATTTCTTTTCTATTGCTGGGTAAGAATAACATATGATGTCGCGTGGCTGCAGTAGTGGCCGCGTGATTTTGAAATTTTGAAATTTTAACACTTAAATCTGGAGGGATTTCTGCCAAAACCTGCTGGGTTCCGAGATTTGTTCCTGAGTCTCTGGGATCATGGCCATTAAGCAGCTTGATCAGGAGCCAGAAAGGCCATTCATGTGTGGCGACTCGGGGTCTCATTGGGACGGGAAGGAAAGGGCCGGCTCCACCCCCATCCCATGAGGCTCTGTGTGTCTCGTCACTGAGGGCCCAAACCTGACTCCCCAGTGGCCTCTGGATCTCTCATGATTCTTGAGCAGGGTTCAGCGCAAGCACCAAGGATGTCATGGTGCTCAGGCTTTGTGGTAGTAGGGGCCTCCAAGGTTGCACCCAGCAGTGCTCTGGTGACTGTGTGGTGCCAAGAATTAAACCTGGGTTGCCTAGCATGTACAGCAGTACTATATCCAGGCCCTCTGGGTCTTTTTGACTCAAAGAAATGCGATTTAGGAAGAGCCACACAGGTCTGTCTTCCCCTTAGGGAATTCACATTCATAAAGACAGAAACAGGAGGTTAGCCACTAGACCTGATTACTTGGAAAGAAAAGAACAGTAGCTGTAAAGTTTACTGAATATTTATATTCCTATTGCTCAGTGCATCAAAGTTTAAAAGTGTATAACTGTATTCATGAGAAGCTCAACTCCCAATTAATTTCACAAATAATTTTAGTTGAGACATGCAAAATGGACAATGGGGGAAATAACTAGAGGTCAAGGGTAAACAGAAGACTAAGGAAGACACAGTTGGATACACTTAACATAGAGTAGGAGAAGGGTGAAGAAAAATGGGTGAGAATGGAAAGAAGAGCAAATGGAGAGCAGATTAAAAGTTTCCCGTGGAAATGAGTAGTTGAAGTATAAAAGAGGTGCTCGGTTACCAGGAACTGGCCAAAGGAAAATCTGTAAAGTACAGTGTTCAGGATGTAAGACACTATCACTATATACCTTGTAGTTTTGCATTAATTAATCAAATCGACTCAAATTAAGAAATTTAGGGCTGGGGGAGCTGGAATGATAGCACAGGAGGTGGGCCCTTTGCCTTGCACACAGCCGATTGTGGCTCAATCCCCAGCATCCCATATGGTCCTGGGAGCACCGCCAAGAGTGATTTGTGAGCACAGAGTCAGAAGTAACCCCTGGGCTAGAGCAATAGTACAGCAGGTAGGGCATTTGCCTTACACACGGCCAACCTGGGTTTGATATTTGGCACCCCGTATGATCCTCCAGTCCAGCAAATGTGATCCTGAGCACAGAGCCAGGAGTAAGCCATGAACATCACTGAGTGTGACACCCTCTTCCAAAAAAAAAAATCTGTCTGGTCTTATCAGGGACCAGAGAGATATGTCAGGGGGTTCTCAGGCACTTGATTTGCCTGTGTGTGATCCCAGTTTGATCCCTGAAATCATATGGATGCAGGGTATGACCTTAATCCTCCCCCTCCTCCTGCAGAGTAAAAGTTTTACTTCTGAATAGATTTCAGTTGAAAGAAAACTGACAGAGTAGTATTACACTCAAGAATGTGAAGGTCATGACCAGGTCCAAAACTCAAAAGGCTAGAGCACACATTTGACATTTGGAAGCTGTGGTTTCAAACCATGATCTCCCAGTCAACCAGGTATGGCTCAAAAACACCCCTCCCCCCCCAGAAAAAAAGGAAAGTAAAAGAATCTGAAGGGATATGGGTGAACCCAATAGATACGCATCTCTACAGACCATTCTGTGTTTAAAAGATGGTGGCCTAGCAGTGAGGCACAATGGATTAAAAAATAAAAGAGAACATTCCATATTTTGACTTTAGTAGGTCCAGGTGTCTTGGTGAGCATGTTATAACCTATATCTGTGCTCTATGGCTCACCGTCATTGACAGGGGGGTGGTGGGGGGAACTTTTAAAAAGTGATTCTGGGGTTGGAGACAGCATGTAGGACACTTTTTCTCACAATGTGGCCCACTCGGGTTCTGTCCCTGACACCCCATATATTCCCCCTAGCCTGCCAGGAGTAAGCTCTGAGCATCACCAGATACGACCCTCCAAAAAGCAAACCAAAAAAAAATAAAGGTGATTCTGGATCCTGTAGATTCTGCAGGTTCTGCAGAATCCTGCAGATTCTGATGTAGAAGGTGTGGAGTGGACTAAGAGAATTATGTTTAAGAAATTCCATACGTTATTTTAATTCAGCATCCTCAGTACATACTTACATTTTTTAATTTGTAGAGAAATTTCTCAAGTGTCTTCCCTTACTATAGTGTTTCCAACAGCAAAACTATTGCTGTTTTTGGCCAAATTATTCTTTGTTGTGGCGGTTTTCCTGAAAGTAGGGCATTTAGCAGTCTTTTACCAGAGGGACCCCAGCATTTGTGACAGCAGAATGTCTCCAGACATTGCCAAATGTCCCTAGGGGGTGAGACCACTCCTGTGAAAACAACTGCTGTCAACAAGGGGTTTTCGTAAAGCCAATTAAAAAAATTAAGTTATTATTCAAATTATTAAATGAGATACTTAATAAATAAGGGGAACACCTTCTGTTTATCTTTTTTCTTCTGGAATGACCACATTTAGTTTTTTAGATTAAGAAAACATTCTTGTGCTCATTTGTTGATCGTGCCTAACTTTTATTGCGTTTATAATAGTTTTCTATTTATAACATTTGTCAGGGTTTTTGATTAAGCAGTCATTAATGTTTCTCACTATCCAGATGGTAAGCGCCATCAAGGCAAGGACATGGTTTCTGGTTCATTAACTGCTTTGCTAGGAGGGCGCTAAGGGCTTTATTTGCATGATCTCATTTAATCTTCACAGCCTTCATTATTTCCACTTAGAGATGAAGAACTTGAAACAGAGAGATTAAGTGACTTGACCAAGGCTCAACTGAAAATTGGACCCAATCTGTCTTAACTACAAAGCATGCATTTTAGATTATTCTGAGTTTAGACTGGATTTGTCATACACTTCAAAAGTGAATTTTTATGAGATTTATTTTTATATGCTTTTTCGTGCCATTCATTATAGCTGATGATTGTATGTATTTCAGATTTTAAAGAATGTGGAGTCTTCCAGAAATGTCCAGCCACATTTTCTAGAATTTTTGCTTTCCCTTGGCTGGTCAGTAGACGTTGGCAAACACCCTGGCTGGACTGGGCATGTTTCTACCAGTTGGTCTATCAATAGTTGCAATGATGGTGAAGGACCTGAGCAAGGTAAAACTCAGTGCTATTTTTCTTCTTAAGTTTGTAGACTATTTTTTAAAAAAATAAATGAAATAAAACAGATTCTTTTCCACCCAGGAGATCACTTAATATTGCGTAGGGACTGGAGAGATAGTACAATGGTAAGGCATGTGCCTTGCATGCATCTGCCCGGATTTGATCCCTGGCACCCGATGCGGCCCCGCAAGCTTGCCAGGAGTGATTCCTGAGTGCAGCTGGGTGTGATCCAGAAAAAAAACAAAGAAAAATAATAATTGTTTTATAGGGAGGGGGTGGTACAAAAAAAAGTTTTATATTTTTACAGTCATTTTCTGTATATGGGAAAAATATATGTACATCTAATATAATTTATCATATTAATATATAAACTCATGTATTAAATGCATATGTATCTAGAAAACCTATAGTTAATTTAAAATTAATAACTTTTAACGAGGCTGTTAAGATTCCTTTATATAATGAGTATACAAATTCAGTTTTTCTATAAATAAAAATATAAAGAATATTAATAATTCTAATAGTGGATCTATTTTATTGATTCATTAATCTCTAATCCATTATCTATAATCTTTTCATCTTTGTGGCTATCATTAATGGTATGCATCTTAGGATATTATACTTTGTGGTAAATAGCTATCTATGAGAGATTCATGGTCATTTCTGCACATCTTCTTAAAAGTGTAATTAAGATAACAAGTTCCAGAACAAGTATTAGTTTAAAGTTAAGACTTGTTCCCTTGACTAATGCTCTTTGCTCCAAGAGTTCCTGAAGTCTTTGGCAAGTTGATATTACCTCTCTGCAGTGGGTAATGACTGTGTCTAATGCTTTGAATTATTAAATGAAAATAATCTTGTCTCAGTAAGATTATACTTGTTCAAGGTTTTTAATCAAACACAGTCACTTGTGATATAGTTCCTTGTTATATATCATAAGCGACTAAGTGAATGAAGTCATTTGTTGTTTCATGTTAATGAAAAATCCCAGTTTAGTGTACATTTTTATTGTCATTTTATATGGACAGCTGTTGTTTATCTCTGTGGAGTTTTCTTTTAGCTCTGTTCACCATGTTTTGGCATGGTCCCCAACCTGGCTTTTCCTAATGTAAAAAAGGCAGTTCCAGAATGCATGGCTTATCAGTGAACTACATCCCTTGCCTAGTTTTGTAAATAAAGTTACTGGACTGAGACCACACTCTGAATTACGTATTGTCTGTGGTTGCTTTCATGCAGTAATGGCAGAACGGAGTAATAGTGGTAGAAATCGTATGGTAGTCTGTTCCTCAGCAACACTATGTGTCTGCCAATCTGTTAGGCAAAATTTTTTTTAATTTTAATTGAATTTAAGTATCTTCATATATGTTTTTTGAAAATTTTTATTCTGTCCACTTTTTGTCAGGTGGTTGGTCTTTTTTGTATTACTATTAGGAGTTTGTGTTCATTTTAATTGAGAACCATACTAATGTGGGAGTTGCTTTAACTCAGTCTTTTCTTGGGCATGGGCATGGGGATGGGGACCCTCCCAAGGGTGCTGTTCTTCGTCATGAGGGCCCCACTAGCCCTTCCTGGCCTTCCAGCCAAGGGCAGGTGCTTGAGGCTGTGATGCTGCTCAGGCCCTGTGATGCTGGGCCCAGACACGCACCCGAATACGGCTGTACTGGACCTTTGCCCCAGTTAATTCAGTCTGAACAAAACATTAAACACTACCAGCTTGGTGTGGATGCTGTTACTAAAGACGTCTGTACGTTCTTAAACTAAACTGCTGACTGCTGGGGAAAGTGGAATGGAGTCAGAGCTGAGGGAAGGTCACGAGATACCAGACAGGATTGCTTTGAAAATGAGAGCACGCACAGATGCCTGGCACAGCTGCCTCCAGAGGGGCGGCAGTGCCATCTGAGCGCTACCTTTCCAGAACTGCTTCCGAAGCAATCTCATACACAATCAGGGCAGAAGGGCTAATGAGAGGTAGTCTGATTTAGAGTAGTTTCCCAGTTACCGAAATCAAGATTTTTATGATTTAAAATGAGTATAAAGACTTTTATTAAGCATTTATAGTTTGCTTTCATCTTTTTTTTTTTTTGTGGGGTCCCAGAGAGTTTAGGCATGGCTGGTAGTGCTCAGGGATGGGGCTTGCATTGGGGCCTGTACCTGGTGTGCTCGGGCCCTATCATCAGGGGTCAACCCTGACCTGCTGACCTGGAAAGCATCCATGCTCACCGTGTAAACTATCCTCAGCCTGTCTATTTTATTCTTCTAACATACTACTAATTGGATCTATTGGAAATGCACTGTTGATCTCTTTATTAGTCAGTCGCTATTTCATGAAGCAGGATGATACTGTTATCATTTTTTGAATAGTAATCATTTTTCTTATTCCTAGAAGAAGTGGTTTCCTCTGAAGATGTTGGAGCTAGCATTTTCAACGGTCAGAAGAAGGTGCTGTATTATGCTGATGCCCTTACGGAAATAGCTTTTGTTGTTCCTTCTCCTGTGGAGTCCTTAAGTAAGAACTTTTTTTTTTAATATAATGCTTTCAGATCTGACTTTGTATTTATTGATTTGGGTAATATTATTACATTGGAAGAGATTCTGGAGTCATCTAATGCATTCTTTTGTTTCTGAGACAAATAGCTTTTATTATTTTATTTTTAAAATTGAATCACCATTAGGTACACATTTAAAAAGTTGTTCATGATTGGTATTCAGTCATAGAATGTCATAGAATGTTTCAGTACCCATCTCTTCACCTGTGTACATTTCTCATCACCAGTGTCCCCAGTTTCCCTTCTGCCACCACCCGCAACCCCTGCCCACCCTGCCTCTATATAGGGGGCAGACACTTTCCTTCTCTCTCTCTTTCTCTCCCTCCCTCCCTCCCTCCCTCTCTTCCCCTCTCTCTCTCTTTCTCCCTCTCCCTCTCCCTCTCCTCCTCTCTCCTTTTCTCCCTCTCCCTCCCTCTCCCTCCCTCTCCCTCCCTCTCCCTCCCTCTCCCTCCCTCTCCCTCCCTCTCCCTCCCTCTCTCCCTCTCCTCCCTCTCCCCCTTCCTCCCTCCTTCCCTCTCCCTACCTCCCTGGGCATTATGGTTTGCAGTACAGATACTGATCAGTTATTATGTACATCCCTTTACCTACTTTCTGCATGCAGTTCTTGTCCAGAGTGATGATTTCCAACTATCATTATTATAATGGTCCCTTCTCTATTCTAACTGTCCTCTCCTTGCCCCTCCACTTATGGCAAGTTTCCATCCGTGGACAAGTCCTTCTGGCCCTTGTTTCTACTGTCCGTGGATATTAGTCTCGTATTACCCTTTTTTTGGTACAGTAACTTTTATTTATTTATTTTATTAGTGAGACACCATGAAGTACAGTTGTAGACTTACAAATTTTTGTGCTGCTTGGGTTTCAATTATACAATGATCAAATACCCATCCCTCCACCAGTGCCCATCCTCCACCACCACGGATCCCAGTATCCCTCCCACCCCCCTTCCCCCCCATTCCACTCTGCCTCTGTGGCAGGGCATTCCCTTTTGTTCTCTCTCTCCTATTGGGTGCTGTGATCTGCAAAAGAGGCATTGAGTGGCAATCATGTTTGGTCTATAGTCTACTTTCAGCATGCTTCTCCCATCCTGGGAGGATCCTCCCAACACCCTTTATTTGGTGCTCCCTTCTCTATATGAGCTCCCTTTTCCCCTAGCATGTGTGGCTGCCTTCCAAGCCATGGAGCAAAATTCCTGGTACTAATCTCGGCCACTCTTGGGTGGTGGTCTCCCATTTTGTTACTCTATGTTCCCCAAATGAGTGCAGTCTTTCTATGTCTGTCCCTCTCTTTCTGACTCATTTCTCTTAGCATGATACTTTCCATGTAGTACCACTTGTATGTAAATTTCATGACCTCATCTTTTTTAATAGCTACATAGTACTCCATTGTGTAGATGGACCAAAGTTTCTTTAACCAGTCATCTGTTCTCAGTTACTCAGGTTTTTTCCAGATTCTGGCTTTTGTAAACAGCTATTGCAGTGAACAAACAAGTACAGATGTCATTTCAACTATACTTTTTTGCCTCTCTGGGATATATTCCCAGGAGTGGTATTGATGGGTCAAATGGGAGCTCAATTTCTGATTTTTTGAGAATCGTCCATACTGTTTTCCAAAAGGGCTGAACCATTCGGCATTCCCCCCAGCAATGAAGGCGGGTCCCTTTCTCGCCACATCCACGCCAACACCGGTTGCTTTTGTTCTTTTGGATGTGGGCAACCCCACTAATAATCTTTAAATAGTAAAGCAATCCCACTTTAACTCATTTTTTAAATCTTTCTTTTAACTCACTCATCATATTAAAGCCCTGTTTTCCAATTTATTCATCTTTTTTTCTTTTTGTGGGGACTGGAAGGAAATCTCCCAAGCAGTGCTTAGGGGAGCTTTGGGGCTTCACCGGTGATTTCTGACCAACTGCGCATGTGGTTTGATGTGCGGGCCTGAGAATGTGGTTCTGCTCAAACCCTAAAGCAGCCAGAATTGCACAGGGCCACCTGGTGGGGTGGGGAGCTCAGCCATGTCCACTAGTGTTTGGGGCCTCCAGTGCTACACATGCTTGAGGGAGTATATGCCAGGGACCCAGCTGGGGCTGGCGACATGCAAGGCATGCACCTTCACCCATGGACTATCATTCTGGGCATCCTCCTCCCCTTTAAAAAAAGTAATGATTATGAGTGAGCTGGCACCTAATCCCATTTCCACGGGAAGCAGGAAGTCCAGAGTCCTGCATTGTCAGGTTCTGCTGGCATCCTTTGGCTCACCATCTGGAAATAGAAACGTCAGCCGCCTAGAAAAGATGATGCCTGTGCTTCCTCATCTCAGGAGTAATCACTGCTACCCAACCGGGACCTGTGGCTTCATTTTCCCAGGAGCTTCGCTTCTTGTTAGTTACACGTTTGTTTGACCAGGTAGTAAGTGCCAAGCTCGCCCATGTTCATTGAGATCATGGTGGGATGGGGTGATCCACATTAGACTTTCCCTTTCCGGATTTGGCTTCTCAGGCGTCTTACCTTGGCAACTTCCCCGCATTTATATGCTGACTCTTGACTTCCTGCCGTGATCCTCTTCCCTGTCTCATCCTCTGGAGTCAGTTGTGTCCTTGATGAAATGGGAGTGGTCTCTCATGCTCTGTGTCAATCAGTGTCCTAGCAGCTGTTTGTCTTCTCATGCTGCCGTCCTTCTAGAAACTAGACCGTCTCTGTCCTCTCCGGACTGGGTCCCTGCTGGCTGTCTGGGGCCCAGCCTGTTTACACCAGTTCAGATCAGAAAGGAAAGTGACCTTCCCCTGTACGGTGGTTTTTTTTCCCCATGATTGGGTCTTCACTTCCTATTATGAAATGTGGGGTCTTATTGTTTCTTTGTGGGGTTTTTTTGTTTGTTTTGTTTGTTTGTTTTTTGGTCACACCCGTTGATGCTCAGAAATTACTCCTGGCTCTGCACTCAGGAATTACTCCTGGTGGAGCTTGGGGAACCATACGGGATGCCGGGGATCAAACCCGAGTTGGCAAACGCCTTACCCGCTCTGGTCCCCCTGTCATGAAATGTGACCCATATAAGTTGCCCCTACTCCATTTCAGCTTCCTCGTTGTACCTGAGATTTTTCTTTGTTTCTTTTTACTGTAACTCTGCATTTGTCTCTGTTTGTCTTTATCTCTGTTTTTCACTAAATTGCTTCTTAATCACAGGCCTAGGTCCTTTGTAGTTTTTGAGTATCCTGGTGCTGCTACTTGATGCTGTACTATATGTTTAAATATGTAATCAAAATAAATCAGTGAATAATAGGTGGCTTTTATTGTATTATATAAATGAAAAGTCTAATAGTTTCTAACTCAGTTATCCTGTAAAGCCAGAACTAATAAACAGGCTAAATTTAGACCTCTAAGGACAGTTTCTACCATTTTTTGAAGGGTTCTAAATAAAGAGTATGCAGCAGAGTCCTCTAAAATCAACCTGAAATATAAATTTCTTGATTTTCAATAGAAAAACTTTGCCGGACCTTGCTCTAGAAAAAGAACAACAAATCTTAACCGATTTAAGATTATTAGCATAATTCAACATTTCTGTTGCAAAGACTAGTATGTGTTGTAATTGATTTTCATTTCTCTCTGTTCCATAGCTGATTCGTTAGAAAGCAATATCTCAGACCAAGATAGTGATTCAAATATGGATCTTATGCCTGGAATTCTGAAACAGCCAACCTTGACACTTGAGCTTTTCCCTAATCACACAGACAATCTTAATTCTTCACAGAGGGTAAGTCATTTAGTTAATACAGCTCCAAAGTTGTATTGGGTAATGGGGGTACCTGGGAGCTCATGCTTGAAAAAATTTTTTTTTGCCTGGAGTCATACCAGGCAGCAGTGCTCAGTGGTTACTCCTGGCTCTGGGTCAGATTTCACTCGTGGCAGGCTAGGGGGCTATATTGGATGCCGGAGATCAGACCCAGGTTGGCTGCATCCAAGGCAAGCACCTTACCCACTGCACTATCGCTCTGGCCCCTCGTGCTTGAAATTTAAATTTTTTTACTTTAGTCCACAGATTAATTAAAACAATGCTGATTCAGTAGTTAACTTAAAATAAGTCAAAATTTCATGGTTGATTTTAGTTGTTGCTACTGCTGTGGTTTCAGTGTTAGGGTCGCATTTGTTGTGGCAGATTATATACTTCAGTGGCACGGGATCACAGCTAGTGATGTGGGGTGGTGCTGGGGATCACACTCAAGGCCTCACACTGAACACTAAATCATATCTCTGAATCCCCTCATATTTCTTTTCCAGCTTTTAACAATCAAATAGTTCATTTTAAGAAAGGCTTTGTTGTTTTCCTTGATTTAATCATTCTGGTACAATGCTCTGTGTGTGCGTGTGTGTGTGTGTGTGTGTGTGTGTGTGTTGTGTGTTACTTCCTACCCTTGCCTATTCTTTCTTAGGCCTTGCTTTTTTGTTTTATTGGAATTTATTTAGAAAGATGTGAGGGGAGAGAGAGGGAGAAGTACATGATTGTTTGAGAGAGAACACAGGCTTCTCCAGAGTGGAAATAAGCAAGCTTCAAGACAAGCAAGTGAGATACGTGTTCAAGGAAGAACATGGGCTTGAAGAGCAAGCTCTTAAGTGTTTTATATTGTTTTTTAAATCCAACTGAAGAGATTACCCTTTCTTGTCAATAAGTCACCCGTTTTTCCCACAGTAATTTCTTTTGACTTGATACTCATGTAACTGGGCAGATTAAATACATACCTGTAAGATTGGATAGAATCATTAAGCCAGTTTCTTTTTTTCTCTTCTTTTTTCCTCTTCTACTCTTTTGCTTTTCTGTGTCTCTTGTAGCTCAGTCCCAGTTCCAGAATGAAGAAGCTGCCTCAGGGTCGGCCTGTGCCTCCCCTTGGACCTGAGACAAGAGTTTCTGTGGTCTGGGTGGAACGCTATGATGATATAGGTACTGTGCGTGGCTTTGTTTGTAAATAAAATTGTAGCAGAGTCCCTGGGGTGCTGAACGTCTTGTACTACTCTGTTAGGCAGAGGCCCTCCTGGTACTGCCTCACAGTTGTGAAGATTGGATGAGATGAATAGATGCAGAAAAGAGCCTTGAACTCCGCATAGTATTGAATTGTGATTTGTTGCCAGGGGTCCCAGTGCGTCCTCCAGAACCTACCCCAGAAAAAAGAGAATCACTTCTCTCACCCTTCTCTCACCTCCCCTACTGTCTATCCTAGAAGTTCCCAAACAGGTTGGTTTGGCCTACCATCTTTTTTTTTTGGGGTGGGAGAACCCCACTTCCAAAAACTGTCTTCTTTAAAGAGAACAAACCAAAAACGTTGTCCCCCACCCCCACAGACACACCCATGGCACTGGAGACTACTACCCCCCTCCCCTGTCCCTAGATCGGCTCGGGGCCGCATCCCATTCCCCAAGGGTGGGGAATCACCCACTTCAGGAAACACTGCTCGGGAGCAAAGGTTGGTTTGTCCTTAGGTCTACTGCTGTAAGTTTCTCATGATTTTTAAGTAAACAACCTAAGAACATTAGAAATATGTATTGTCCCCAAGTCTCATCCAGCTCAGGGTTTGCTGGAAACTTGGATGGGTGTATTCCAAACCAAACCCTGAAAGATCACAGATCAGATTCTCGAAAACTCTCTGCTCTTAAGAGAACTTAGTGAAATGTCTTTTTCTTTTTCTTTTAGTTTTGAAACCACATCTAGCAGTGCTCAGGGGCTACCTCTGAAAATAGGTCTTAATGGATACCTTTCTTTTTAACTTGAGAGGAATAATTTTTCATATATGAAAATAGCACAATCCATCAGTGTGCTACCTTCTTGAAGCTCGATCAGGGAATCAGGATTTCTATCATTTATTTGGGAACTCTGAGGAAATATTAATGGCAATGTCGTTCCCTTCCAGAAAACTTTCCCCTATCGGACCTGATGACAGAGATCAGTACCGGTGTGGAAACTACTGCAAATAGTAGCACTTCTTTGAGGTACACTGTTTATTTGCGTGACATTTAGCAATCGGTATTCAAGCTTAGACCTGTCTGATGTATTATGTTCATTGTAGCTTGGTGATTGGGGTATCTTGGGTTTGGGGGGGGGGATGTGGGGTGGATGTTGTTTGTTTGTTATACTTTTTAAATTTTTTATGGGGTCACACCCAACAATGCCCAAGGGTCACTTCTCACTCTGTATTCAGGAATTAACTCCTGTCAGTGCTTGGGGACCCATATTGGGTGCCAGGGATCAAACCCAGGTCAGCTACATGCAAGGCAAACGCCCTATTCCTGTACTATCTCTCCAGCCCCTGTTTTTGTTTTCGGATTTGGGGGCCATATTTATCAATGCTTAGGAGCTACTCATGCTCTGTATTAGGAGGTCACTGCCATGAAAAGCTAAGGATTAAACCAGGGTCGACCATGTGCAAGGCAAGCACCTGAACCCTTCTACTGAACCCTTATACGATCTCCCCAGCCTTTGTTAATTAAGTATAGATTAACAAAGCACAAAGACCGGACTGGAGAGCTAGTTTAACAGGCAGGACACTTGCCTCGAAAGCAGCCAGCCAAGTTCAGTCCCAGGCATCCCATCACACCACCAGAAGTAAGCCCTGAGCACCGCCGTGTGTGGCCCAACAACAGAATGAAAGTTATAGAGCATCACTTAGGAGAAAAAGAAATCCCTTTTCTTCTTTCCTTCCCCTTACCGCTGTTGCAGTGATGACAGGTGGCTGCACTTGATTGGTTGTCATGCTTGAATATTTTGTTTTGGTCACACTCATGTAGTTGTGCTCCCGCACTCTCTGGGTATAGTGCTCACCGGGCGTTGCGGTGGTGCTCACTTGCTTGTCGGGGTCACTGCTTGCCATGTGCTCACACACCTACGGTTGCTGCTCCCAGGTTGCCACGTCTGCGGGAGTGCTCTGTACAGCCTCCAGCCTGCTTCTTGTCACAGAGCTGTCCCTCAGACCCCTGCAAGGATTCTTACGTGATAGGATTACTGATTTATGTTTATTTGCAGCAAGAGAAGTAGTAGAAAGGTGTTAGACAAGTATCATGTAGGGTATGATAAAAGTCCCAGTATTAGGTCATTCCTCCGCCCCTCTCGGAGAGCCCGGCAAGCTACCGAGAGTATTCGATATGCCAAACACAGTAACAACAAAGTCTCCAATGGAGACGTTACTGGACCCGCTCGAGCAAATCGACGATCAACGGGAGGGCCTTTACCTTTACCTATTAGGTCAAAATAACAAAGCTCCATTAACATATGTAGATAGGTAGAATTAAAATACACTAATCATATGAACTATTTAATGAGAAAATACCTCCCAGTTAAATGTAATGCAGATTTCATGTTAAGATTTCTATTTTAGTTGCCTTTGCATAAGAAGTACACAAAGAACGTGTTTCCATGAACAGTAACTGCGTATCTATATAGACTTCATAGTTTCAAGGATTTTTGCTTGTTTTCTTTCAGTTTAAACAAATACGTTAAGATAAGCCACAGAGGAAGAGTTGCCATCTCATTTTACAAATGAGATAAAATGTGCTCATACATGTCGCTCCTCAGAGTCCTCCTTCCAGTCCATGAAGGGGACGGGGATTTGCACCCGGCCCTCTCACCCAGCTGCTGTCATACCTTTCACATAGTACTGAACAGTCCTTGGTGTGCTGACCTGGAGTAGCTTCCTTCTGTTTAGTACGCGCTCGGTCATACTGCATGTAAGGTGGATTCATTCTTGTTCGGGGGTCACATCTTGCCGTGCTCCCGGCTAGTCCCAGCTCTCTGTTCATTTTTGTGCTGTCCGGCCCAGGTGAATTTATTCTAACATTGTTAGATTAATGCTAAAAAAAGAAGTCATTAAAGATAAGTTAGCCAATTCTGTATGTTTGGAGAGGGGTGGCAGAGTGGTGGATTTGGGCCCACCCCCTCAGCTGTGCTAGCCATTGTGGTGGAGTTTCCTGCACTCTCGCCCTACCTACTTTTGTTCCCTGTAGGAGGAAGTAACCAAGTGAAAATTCTATAGTTGGTTGCTAGATTGATAACTCAGAGCCAAATTAGATTTGTCTGGTCTTTCCTTTCATCTTAAGCCCTCTGTGACTTTGGGGGGTAGTGAATTAGCCGCTTTGTTATTAGCTCAGAAAGACTGATCCCATGGAGTTATAGAGATAGTGCAGTGGGCAGGGCTCTTGCCTTGCATTCGATCCCCCGAGCACAGAGCCAGAAGTAAGTCTCGAGCACAACTGATTGTGACCCCAAAACTGGGATGGTGGGGGAAGATCCTGTGGTGGGGTGGGTTTTTACGATCAGGTACTGTCCGGGAGTAGGGGGCAGCAACATGGGCCCTCGAGAAAGGCTTGTGAGCAGACTCGCACCCGGGCTCTATTCTGATCATTGTCTGACAGCAAATCCACTTCGGTATTCCGCTACTCCTGGAAACTGCTACTCCTGTTTGGGTGCTGGGGCTAAAGAGAGCTTTCTTTCTTATCGTAGATCTACCACTCTTGAAAAAGAAGTTCCTGTTATCTTCATCCATCCTTTAAACACTGGATTGTTCCGGATAAAAATTCAAGGAGCCACTGGAAAATTTAATATGGTCATCCCTCTCGTGGATGGGATGGTAGTCAGCAGGCGAGCCCTTGGTAAGGTCTTCGTGTGTGTCTTTATGTGAAGGGTCAGGGTTTCCCTCTCTCTCTCTGAAGGTATTAGTTATGACAAAAATAAAGGAGAAGAAATGGCGGGTTTACCTATTAGGTCCCTCATTTGAAGAACAGAGGGGGTCTCTAGTGGTGCTTGGGTATTGGGGTGGGGAGAGTACCTAGCAGCGTGATGGTTCGGTGCAGTGCCTGGGGGCCTCCAGCGCAGTGCATCAGCGCTGAGCTGGGGCGTATGCGTCAGTCCTTAGCATGATCTGGCCCTCATCATGGGTTTCTTCATGTGGCCCTCATCATGGGTTTCTTTTGGCACTGATCTCTAGAGGTAGGAAATTTTCCACAAACTACTTTGAGTATGCAGAGAATAGTTTGCCTGAGCACTGTTCATTCATCTTTCTGACTGGGAACCCCTCTGTTTTCCAGGGTTTTTGGTGAGACAAACTGTGATTAATATCTGTAGAAGAAAGAGACTGGAAAGTGATTCTTACAGCCCACCACATGTCCGCCGGAAACAGAAAATCACCGACATCGTCAACAAGTACCGGAACAAACAGTTGGAGCCAGAATTTTATACTTCACTTTTTCAGGAGGTCGGACTCAAGAAATGCAGTTCTTAGGCCACTGTTCACCTCGGACTGTTGGACTTATTTGGGGCTATAATATCAAAGCAAAACAATTTGATAGGTGATCACTGTAAAAATAAAAGCAAATCACTCCCCAAGAGCTCACTGTTTAATCTCCAGAATAGAAGAAACACATCATCAATCCATTTGACAGAAGCCTCTTGGCTGTCTAGTGAAATGGGCTCTCAGACACAATCATCCTCATGCTGGTAATGATGATAGACATTTTAGCCATAAACTTTATTTTAAATGACAATTTTAGTTAAATATAAGCCTTTTGAGAAGAAAGGCTTTTATGCATCTCAGTTAAACATATGCATTGATAGAATCAAATTTGCAAATTAGAAGTTGAAGATAGTTTTTTACCTCAGTTTTTAGGAGGTTGTGTTCAAAATTAAAATCTGTCTCAGAATCAGACATGCCATTTAAAGGCCCATGTTCATAGCATGGGGGAGAAGGAAAGAAATCTGCTCACTGTTAGGGCCCTTTTCCTTCCAGCTAGCAAGGTGAGAGAAAAGAACATAAATGTTTCTTGCTCGGTTTGAGTATGAAAAAAAGTCTAACCGTACAATATTTTATGTTTTTCTCTCCATGTTTCAAAAAATGATCATTCTCAGAAGTGCACAGATCTGTCTGAATGCCTCGGTTTTGGGGTACCCGGGAAAAGATCCAAATTGTAGGCGTGGCCTGCCTTTAATGGAGATAAAAATGGAATTTCGAGTGTAAAGGCTGTAAGAGGGCAGTGATGACCCCACTCTTCCATTACTGTCTGGCTTGGTAACATAAATGACAGGTTAAATGTCTGTTAACTTCTCAGTAATTTGTTGGCTGAATAATCAGAAATGTAGATACACAAGGGTTAAAAATTGTTTGGGTTTTTTTCCCACTGTCTCTTACTTCAGGACCAAGCAGGAAACAGTAGCATATTTCTGCAGGATTGTAATTTGGGGTTCAGGTAGTAGTCTCTCAGTGCTACTCATTTAGATCTCTCCCAAGAGTGACTGGATTCCATCCGATGGACATAACGTTAGTGACCACCGCCTTGTGTGGCTGCTGTTCCAGCTGGTTAGGATTGTTGTTTCCTGGACTTTGCCAGCTGAAGGCACAACAAATCCCTCCCGGGGCTTTGAAATCATTTCTGTTACCTCGCTGCTACTTTTCTGCCAGGGGTAAAAATTTTGAGGTGTCCAGACCCAGGAGATCCTCACAAGGATTCCTGTTACAATGCTAGAGTGTACACTGCTCATTTCTCCTACTCTTATGTGCTTTCTTCTTTACTAAGTGATTTATGTTTAGGAAATAGGTGACAACACTTAAAGTCCAAAGAGGTGATCACAGATGTAGCCAGGATGTCTTCCCACTTGAACCCTAATGTCAGTAGATTCTGTAAGTCAAGGTTGTAGTGGTTGATTTGGTTTGGTGTTTTGGTAGTTTAATTAGAGGGGTTGGGGTAGAATAGGACCTAATTCCCTGTGCAGATATTTCTGTTCCAGAAGTCTGTATTTTGTCATCTGCGAGCAAGAAGTGTGGGCATAGCACTGCTCTTGGTTTGAAATTTGCTGTATCCTTTTGTTCGTGTTTGTTTTAAGCTCAGGTAAAGGTAGCTTCCTCCTATGACTCCAGTTTCCATTCAGGGTATAATGTTATTCAATAATTGATTTTTTTTTCAATCTGGGCAATAAATTAATGTTTCCAGATGGTAGCATGGGGGGAGGGAGAAACATGATAAAGGTTAACAAAGCGTTACTGTATATTTCAGTAATTCAGCATGTACAGGGTAAGGTTTTACAACTTCGATAGAATTTTCAACTTGACATTTCAAGGGCAAAATGGTCCCTTGTTCTAGTGGAAATGAACAATAGAGGCTATAAATTCATATGCAACTTATAACATTCCAGAGGTTAAAAATAACTGATGTAGGTGTACTTCCTTCACGTGGTTCTTTAGATAAGATTGTTCTCTTGGTATAGTTTTGCTGTCAGAATGCACGGTGGGTGCATATTGGGGCCAGGCTTGCTGCGGGATCTGAATGGCTTCGGCGAGTGGACAGCTCTGTTGGATGCAGCCTGTGAGCTGGAGCGCTCTTCCTCAGAAGGCGGATGGATTCCAGAAGTGCAGCCCGAGGGCAGGAAGCTCCAGTGTGTACCGTGCTGACAGAAAGTGGGGTACATGACTTCCTCAGGTGCTGGTTGCTTCTGCTCAAAACTAACTTCTCCTAAATGTGATGAAACTCCTAGGACCTTTCATGAGTGTGGGTTTGAGTTCTGGTCACTAGGTTCACCCAGCTGCCTTTGTGAAAAGTTACCGAGCAGAATAATGCCAGAGGACCATTTCAGTCCCCAGGAATACCCACCACCACCCCCTCCCCCCGCTAGTAAATAGGTGAACACACATTCGTAGCCTTTGGAAGCCACAACCGGTCTGGTCAGCTTACACAGTTCAGTTGCTACGTGTGACAGGTGCTCCGGGGTGAATGAATGTGGCATTTAGTGACAAAGTGTGACCCAAGGGACAGAGGCCGGTTGCCTCTCCTGGCCCTCTCTCACATTTGGGGAACAGGGGCCTCCGTCCTTTCCTTTCTTAGAAGCCTGAGAATTGCGAGGAGGAATTTTGCTTTTATGGCCCTTGTTCATCCAGCTCTCCTTTCTGTCCTGTTTCCTCCTGCGTTTCTTCCCTTTTGTCCATTGACCTTTCGAGAAGAAAAGCTGGGAGTGAGAGGAGGCGTCCCGTCCTGCCCTGGCCATTCCCGAGCACCCGCACGCACCATGCTGTCCTCCACTCGCAGGCTCTTGTGGGCAGGTGGCCCGCCCTCCTCGGGACTCACTTACAAACCATACCTACACCTCGGCTCGCAACGCCGCTTGCCCCTAGGTTGTGTGTGTGTGAGCGGCCTCTCTTGAAGGGTCGCATTTACAGATACCGGAGAATCTATTTGTAGGGCTCTGCAGACTGATTTTCAGAGAGGCAGAGCGTCTCCCACAGAACTCATTTCTATTAGAAGGTGAAACTTTACCCAGAGTGGGAACCAACCTAGCTAACGACGTCGGGTGGTAGATGAGAGAGACGGAGGTGACGTGACACTCCTGCGCGCTGGAGTTCTCCCTGCGGTTCAGACCCAGTCAGGTGATATCTTCCTACAGATATGTTTACATGAAGCAGGAAGTTCAGTTCCCTGGTCTGTTGGAAGGATTCCCATGACAGCCTCTTTTCCGGAGAGAGATTGGAGGTGAGCCTGCCGCTCGGTGTGGAATCAAGTTGGGGATCTCGGTAGCTAAAGAAGCCATGTACTGTATAGTGTTTTTCTCAGAGTATCAACTCACGTTCTTCAGATGCTTTTCTTTTTTTTTAATGGTGAGGGAAAAGGTATCATTTGGGATTCCACAGTGCCTTGCATCCAGTAGGCGCCCAATAAATATTTGTTGAAGCAAACCCAAGTTTCCCAAGTCCTTGTCTCTTGCAATGACCAAGAACATCTTTCTTCTCCGAAGGGCTTGGCAGTTGTGGCTAAAAAATACACAGTATCATTATTTGCTTGAAATCATATATACAGTTTGTATGAATTTCGGTATGTTGCCAAGACATGATCTTTTTCTTATTGTATTTTCTGTAAATATTTCTGGCACTGAACTGTAAAGGCGAAATGTAAATAGGAAGGTGTCCTGTGTCCCCGCGCCGCCTGTGTTTTCTTGCCGGTTAGGGAAGAGGCCCAGAGGTTTGTTTGTATTTATGCCGACCCTTTGTCCAGAAGAAAACCATGGAATATTGAATGTAATACATTTAGTCAATTAAATTTTAAGGAGATTCTTATCTAACCATGTTGTGTGTGTGTGTATTTGTAGTTACAGGCTGGGGGTTTGATTTCTTCATGGGTGCCCCTTATTGGCTCCTGGGGGCGTGTGTCCACTCTACCATGGCCAAGCCCTCCTTTTTTGGGGGGGTGGGGGGGCTTTTTGGGTCTCACTGGCAATCCTCAAAGGTTAGTCCTAGCTCTGCACTCAGGAATCACTCCTGGCGGTGCTCGGGGGAACATATGGGATGCCAGGGCCCGAACCCTGTACTGTCGCTCTGGCCCCCAGCCCTCCTAATTTAGAACTGGCTTTTCACCCTGCCCTGGTTGAATTTCATGGAAGACTCAACAGCCAAGTGAATTTTCAGAGAAAAGACGCCGATCTCTGTAGAGCAGAAGCATTGGGGGCCCACAGGCGCCCCCTGCAGGGCCCAGCAGGGAGCCATGGCTCACTCTGGAGAGCATGGATAAGCGGGCTGTGCTCTGGGCTGCAGGAAGTATGGGAAAAGAAGCAAATGAGATCATCTGCCTGTCACCCCCCCCCCACCAAGCATGGTGTAACACAGGACCCGAAAGGCACCTCGGACCAGATGCATGGTCCTCATCATCAGACCTGCTGCCTGTTAGCACCCCGAGCCTCCGTTGCTCAGAGTGAGGGTAGGAATTGGCTTTTTCCCTAAGGACCCTCCTGGCGCCGCCTCTTACCTCTTGGGGGCTCACACTTAGGCCTCAGCCTGGCTGGAATCCCCCTTTGGGGTAGGAAGAGCCTCCAGCTAGCCTCAGGACCCAGCATGCGGAGGTTTTCGACCGCCTGCACGAATAGCGGGTAAGGTGGGAGAGGTAAGAATGGCATCTGGGGGAGGGAGGGAGAGGGCAGTGGGTAGGGCCTTACACAGCCCACCAGATTCGATCCTGGCACCCGTGTGCTCCTCTGAACCACGCCGGGGGTGGTCCCTCAGCATAGCCAGGAGTGCCACCTCCCCCCCAAAAAAAGAAGATTGGCTTTTGGGGCTCACAGAAGAACAACGCCTAAGCCTGCCAAGCCCCTCTCGGAAGACCTTACTAAGCAGATACAGCAGTGTCAGGTTAATAGTCACATGCTGAAGGCATAGCTGTGACAGAGCAGAAAGTTTAAAAGTCAGCCCGGGACCCACTCAGGCCTGGCCAGCTTGTTTGCCTTTTTTTTTTTTTTCAGACATTTAGGAAAGCTTTATTGGCACTAGGCCAATGACTTTCAAACGGACAGACTCCTGCTTTCTGCTACTCTGCTTCATTTAGCCAAAGAGTTTTAAGATTCAATTTTTTAAAAATTGGGGGAGGGGTTGCAGTGCTCAGGGGCTACTCCTGGCTCTGTGCTCAGAGGTCACTGTGTTGGGGGTGGTGCTGGTGGTGGTGGACAACAGGGGACCCTGGCAGTGCTGGGAATTGAACCAGAGTTAGCCATGTGTAAGGCAAACTCCTCTCTGGCCCCTTAAAAATATTTTTGTTCTGAAGAGAGACCAAAAAAAAAAAAAAAAACCTTTGTTGGAAAGTCTAAAAAAAAAATTTTTTTTTGTTCTTGTTTTGGGACCACACCCAAAACAAGTGCTCAGGGATCACTCCTGGTGGGGCTCGGGACCAGATGAGACACTGGTGATCAAACGCACGTCAGCCACGTGCAAGGCAAGTGCCCTTCCCATTGTATTTTCTCTTTGCCCCTGATGAAACTTTTATTTGGGAGTGGGGGGAAGGTGTACACCGCCAGTGCCTAGGGCTTGCTCTGGGCTCTGCACTCAGGAATCACTCTGGTGATGCTCTGGGGACTATATAAGGTGCCGGGGATCAAAGCAAGTACCTGACCCATTGTGCTGTCTCTCAGGCCCCCAGATGAAACATTTCTAAATAGAAGAATTCACATACAGATCTGGATTTTTTTTTTTCAATTTATTTTTGCTTTCGGGGGAAAGTCTGACTGCAGCCCTGGCGCTTTCAGGCTTGAGGAACAGTGAGTAACTGTAGCCTCTACTCTGGCACGCCAAGCTGCATCTGCTTTGCCTAGGGTCCCACTGAGCCCAGAGTGGGCGAGATGGGCCCTGGGAAGCCCAGCCCAGCACGTGGGGGTCTGGAGCAGTGCAGAGGGAGTGCAGGTGTTTGCCTTGTGGCAGCTCCGAGCAGAGGAGATGGTCTCACGCGCCCCGAGAGAAACCACCACCCCTGCCTGCCTACAAGCCTGGGCTTTTGCTCCCAGTCGAGCTCCTTGCCAGCCTGTTCATCCAAAATAGCTCCCTCCACCCCAAGGGCACGGTGACTTCCTTGTCAGGCCACCAGCTCAGTCCCAATTGGACTGAGAGCAGCATGGCCCTGTCCGCCCAGTCCCCTGGGCAGCCCTGCAGGCCCCGACCAGGCTGGCCACCCGGAGCCCCGCCGCCATGAGGTACCCCCTGGTCCCGCTGGTGAACGACCTCACCTTCTCCTTCCTAGCCTTGTGGCTCTGCCTGCCCGTGAGCCTACTGCTCTTCCTGCTGATCGTCTGGTTCTGCTTCCTGCTCAGCCAAGGTGAGCGCACAGGTGGGGCCTCACGGTGGGCTCAGGGCAGACAGGATTGATCTGGAAGCGAGAGGGCCGTGACTGGTCCCCCTGCAGCCGTGGGCACCCCTCAGGGCCACTGCAGAAGCACGAGGGGCTGGGGACAGTGGGAGGAGGTGGTCCCTCTGGGTAGAGCAGGCACAGCCCCCGTGGACAGGACAGTTGCCATCACTGCTTCTTATCCAGTGCTTCCGTGTGATCAGCCCCTGCTCAGACAGAGCCGGGGGTGGGGGGCCCTCAGGTGCCCCGGCCAGGCACGGTTCCCCATAGGCCACGCCAGGCCAGGCCCGGGGTCCCCTGGGCCCGGGGTCCCCAAGGCCGGGCTGAGGCAGCAGGAGGCATGAGGGGGATGCTGGCCTGAGACAAGAGGGACGCTGCTCCCCACCCCCCACTCGACGCACCTCTTCCTGGGGACCTCTGACTCCCCCCACTTCTCATCAGCGGCCCCAGGACCTTTGGCCAGCTGGGCAGGGAGGGCGCCAAGCACACTGCCAGCTCTGGTCAGAGGGCATGGAGACCGGGTGAGCAGGTCACTCCTTGACCTACGTAATGATATGGCTGGGGGGAGGGGGGTGGTCATGGTGCCATCCCTGGACTTCCTGGTGAGAGCTAGAAAGTTCTTTAGCTTCCAGAAGCTTTTCCTGTTCCCAGGGTGGCACCGCCCTGTGGCCTGGGTGTTGGCTGTCGAAGCTGGACCCTGAATAGTTCCTAACAACACTGACCTTTTGGGGAGAACCCCACAAAGTCAGCCACCTTGGGCAGCAGAGGAAATGGAGGCTGAGAGGTCACTTGCCCAGCGATGCCCACCTGCCCAGGACTCCCAAGGGCTCCTGTTGGCTATCACGACCGGACTCTGCTACTGCCCGGATGCTGGGGGATGCTGGGAAGTGCTCTCGGAAAGTGTCTCATCCCCTGAGAGGAGACAGTGAGGGATGCTGACCTCGGGGTGTGAAGACTCACCTGGCACTGGCGCCTCTGTGACTCAGTCTCTGTGTTGTGAAGGTTGGAGGGAGTGCAGGGGCTTCCCTGGCAAGGGCGTCCCCCCACCAAAACACTCGGGACACAGCTGTGTTCAAAGGACAACAGCCGTGTCCAGAATGAGCAGTCCCCCGCACTGCGCGTGGGGTTTTCAGTCCAAATGCCGCCCATGACTTGTCCTGCCGTAGTTTGTCCTCCCAAGGCAGAGGCGAGCATGCTCGCATTCCAGGAGGAAGTCGGGGGCGCAGCATTCCTGATCTCCTACTCCTGGTCTGCACCCCGGGTCGCCCCTGCGGCTGCCTCCTCTGCCCCCAGAGGAGCGACTTGAGTACTGTAGGAGACAGTTTTCCCTCCTGCAGCCCCTCTCCTCTGTGTCCTTGTATTTCTCAGCGGAGCCACGGGGGTAGGTGCGTGCTCCCCTTCACCCCGTTATGAGGAGGATGTTCTTGTGTTTCAAATGGATGCTACCTTTATATTTCTCCACAGCTCACTTGTAATTCTTTTATCATTTTTTTTTTGGAGGGGGCAAGGGGTAGAGGAAGTCTGAGCCACCCCTGGGGGTATTTGGGGCTATTCCTGGCTCAGTGACTGGTACCGGGGATTGAACCTGGGTGTGTGGCACAAAGCCAAATGCCTCACGCCCTGTACTGCCTCTTCAGCCCCTGGTTTATGATACTCCACAGGCATCCTGCCCTCAATTTAGCAGCTCTGCCACAGGCCACTGGCTGGAGAGTGTCTCACACTCGATCCCTTCTTCCAGGAGGGACACACGTTTCATTTCGCAGGGTTTGTCAGGTTCTGTGTGTCATCAGGAAGCAGCGCTGTGAGAATTGTGCCTTTACGCTCAGCTGCTTCACAAAGGAGCTGATGGACAGTTCAGGACTGGGGCAGTGTCTCTACAGCACCCCCTGCTGGCCAGGCCCTGCTCAGGCTCCGTGCTGCCGTGGCCGGCCTCCCGCACGTTAATGTACTGTGTCTTCCTAGTGCAGGGTTTGTGGCAGCCCTGCGGTGAGCACATCTCTGGGCATCATTTTCCCAGCAGGAGCATCCCTGGGTCTCTCTAAGCCCTTCAGTTTGGCACAGGTGCTGCTTGTTTTGGCATGGAGAGCAGTAGAGGGCATCACTTATAATATTTTGATCACGTTTGGGTTTTTTGTTTGTTTTTTTGTTTGGTTGGTTGTTTTTTTTTTTTTTTTTTTTTTTGCTTTTTGGGTCACACCGGCGATGCACAGGGGTTACTTCTGGCCTTGCATTCAGGAATTACTTCTGGCGGTGCTTGCATAGGGGATGCTGGGAATCAAACCCGGGTCGACCACGTGCAAGGCAAACACCCTACCCGCTGTGCTATCGCTCCAGCCCTCTGATCATGTTTTTACATGTTGGAAAACTAGCATGTGCACATTTGGATAACTAGCATGTGGCGCATTGTCGGGGAGCTCAGACCATAGGGCCTGAGGGGACCATCCGGCCGCGTCTCAAGGGCCATCAGCACACCTTCAGATCTATCCTTCACTAGCAGATGGACCGGGCTAACCTCACTGGGTCCCCCGCGCTGTTCCAGGCCTGTCCCTATCTCCCAGCTGTCCCATAGAGCCCGGGGTTCTCCTTGGGGACAGCACCCCCAGAGGCCCTGTTCCCTACCTCCACAGATTCCGAGGAAAATGACAGAGAGTTCCGCTTCAACTGGGAGGCCTGGAGGAAAGGCTGGGAGGAGATGTTCCGCGGCCAGGAGGAGGAGAGGCAGGCCTGGTGAGCACAACGGCCAGGTAAGGGCCGGGGCAGGGCCGGGGGCCACCTCGGGGCCTGCCCAAAGCCAGTAGGGCATTCTGAGCTGGCTCCCTCCACCTGCCCCTGCCACCGCTGAGAGCTTCATCACCAAGGCTGCCTCCTCTCTTTTGGGTTTTGGGCCACACCTGATCGTGCTCAGGGCTTACACTTGGCTCCGCACTCCGGGATCCCTCCTGATGGGACCTGGGGCCATATGAGGTGCCTGGGATCAAACCTGGGTCACCCACATGCAAGGCCACCACCCTCCCTGCTGTACTGTCACTCTGGCCCCCAGGCCACCCTTGTTACCGCTCTGACCTCGACTCCCCTCCCCCCATGTTCCTTACTCCTGGCACTGAACTGTCCTCCCCAGACAGCCAGGTAGCACCCACCCCCGACGCCCTGCTGAAGTCTGGTCACTTTTCTGCAGGACACCCCCCTGTATACCCTTTAACACCGCGGTCCCTCTTCCACGGCACGGTCCCCTTCCCTGGCACAGGATGTGCTTTCTTTGGTGCGGGGGGAGGGGCGGGGGGGGAGGAGGTCACACCGGCTATGCACTGGGGTTACTCCTGGATTTGCACTCAGGAATTACTCCTGGCAGTGCTCTGGGGACCATAAGGGATGCTGGGAATTGAACCCGGGTCGAACCCGGGTCGGCCACATGCAAAGCAAACTCCCTACCTGCTGTGCTATGGCTCCAGCCCCAGGCTGTCCTTTTGTGGCAGCATTCACTGCCTTCTCTGTGCTCTCTGTCCCACACTGGTGGGACATCCAATAGCACAGCTCCGTCTACACAGCAGTGCCCCCTCCGTGCCTCCCACGCCTCTTCCTTCTGAGCCTTCTGAGCCTCTTCCTTTTGCAGCCTGACTTCCCATCCGGAACTGAACCCTCTTTCAACTGTTATAGTGAGGTCACAGCTGACAGGACTTAGGGCGCTGCCAAGGCCACACCTGGCAGTGTTTGGGGGGGCCATGCTGTGCTGGAGAGGGAGCCCTGGGGCCCCTCATGCGCTCAGTTCTGTCTGTCCCTGGAGCCCATGTTAGAATGAGTCTTTTTATTTTTTTAAATGATTTTGAAATTTATTTGTTTTGCTTTTTGGGTCACACCCAGCCATGCTCAAGGGTCACTCCTGGCTCTGCACTCAGGAACTACTTCCGGCAGTGCTCCGGGGACCTTATGGGATGCCAGGGATCGAACCCGGGTTGGTGGCTTGCAAGGCAAATGCCCTCCCCGCTGTTCTATCGCTCTGACCCTAGAATGAATCTTGATTCTTCCTGTGTCCCAGCATAGCAAGGGGGTGGCCTGCGCAAACACCTTTCCCGCCTTCACCCCCCAGGCCCCATATTCAGAAGCTTCACAAAAGCCTGGTGCTGACAGGCTATCCGGCCACTGCTTTCAAATTCTTCATCAGTTTTTGCCTTTTTTATTGTTTTGTTTCTTTCTGGACTGGGCAGTGCTCAGGGGGCTGTCCCCAGCTCTGGGTTTGGGGGTCGTTCCTGGCAGTGTTCAGGGAACCGTGTGGTGCAGAGACGGTCGCGGAGGCTCCGCATGTGAAGCCCAGGCTTGCCCCACGGGTCCCTCTCAGGCCCTTCACATATGTTGGACGAAGCTGCTGCCGGGCCCATTCCCACGGCCCCACAGGAGACGCAGCCTCTCCCGGGAGTAGGGGGAGATGCTCCGAGTCTTCTCCAGAGTGATGCCCTGTTTCTGTCAAGCCCCCGCCCGCCCATCGCACCTCCCTGCCTGTCTCCCTGCAGCCCACTGTGACCCTCTACCAGCTTCCCGCCTGCTTCCAGCTTCATTTCCCGGAAGTCGGAGGCGCTGCAACAATGACCAAGGTGGACAGGAAGAGGACTCTGGAGAAACATATGCTCCCCAGAAACCCCCAGATCATCTCCTCCACCGATGGACACCCCCAGGTCTCCAGGGAACCGAACACCATCTCCCAGGCCCCGGGTGACCCGTGGCTGTGATGATCTATGTTGGCCTGGGGAGAAGTGGCCGAGGGCCCTCACCCCAAGGAGGCCTCGCAATGGCGCTGGGCTACTCGACCCGGGTTTCCAGAACCAAGGGGACCCTGACCAGCCTGCTGGCCTGACTACGTCCGCACTCACAGGACTGTGCCTAGGTCACCCCATCCCTTTGGGAACCCCAGGCTCTTTCCCCTGTCCCCATCCTTGCCAAGGGATGGGGGTCGTCCTCTGAACTTCCACTCTCAGATTCCAAACTCAAGCACAATCCGCTTTCGGGCTGATTTAACCACAAATTTCTGTTCTATAAAGCACCTCTGAGCATCTGACATGTGCGTGTGTTGCGTGTGTGTGTGTGTGTGTGTGTGTGTGTGTGTGTGTGTTGTGAGGCTCAGAGAGATCAAACAACTGTCCAAAGCCACACAGCCTGGAAGTAACCTGCTCTTCTGACCCTTCCCTGAGACGGATTTCTCAAGGCGCACAGAGACAGCCCTGGCTCTGCCCGCAAGGAGGCAGCGAAGGGCTGTGCTTTGTGGGCAGAGGCCCTTCAGGGATGTCTGTTAGACCCCCTTTGAGCCCTGATAATTGGCATCTCCCAGGTGCCAATTCCAGTGGATTTAGCCAGAATGGCAAATAGGATACACGTGGGAGATGTGTGACACCCTAAATCCCAAGGCCCCTTCCCTTCCCTGGCACATGGTTCCCCCCTGCTCCCTGCTTTCATCTATCCAACCCTACCCGCCTGGGCCACCACAATCCTGTAGCATACCCTGCCTGGCTTGGGGCAGCAGAAATGCTTTGTCTCCCAGCTCTGGAGCCGGAAGTGAAACATCAAGGTGCTGGCGGGCAGGGCCAGGCCTGGCTCTGCAGTGAGGCGTCCCTCTCTCCTCGGCCAGCACCTCAGCCGCGTGCCCACCTCCATCCACACAGCCTCTGCCCTTTGCCCAGAACATTGCATCTGTGCTCTGGGCCCAAAGAGCCCCTTCTCAGTGGGAACCTGGCCCGGGATCCAGCTGCCTCTCATTTTATTTATTTAGTGAAGCAAGGTGGTTTTATTGAACAGAATTCAGAAAGACGTGGGAAGAGTGAAAGAGAGGAATGCATGTTCAGAACGTGGGCTTCTCCAGAGTGGAGAGCGCAAGCAAGGAAACAGGCAAACCAGCAAAACACGTGTTCAAGAGAGAACACAGAAGACAGGAGCGATAGTACAGCAGGTAAGGCGTTTGCCTTGCACGCAGCTGACCCGGGTTCAATCCCCAACATCCCATATGGTCCCCTGAGCACCTCCAGGAGTAATTCCTGAATGCAGAGCCAGGAGTAACCCCTGAGCATCGCTGGGTGTGACCCAAAAAGCAAAAAAAAAAAAGAGAGAGAGAGAGAGAACACAGGCTGAACAAGCCTCAAGTTGCATTTTAACATGGTTGAGGACCACCCCCCCCCAACACACACACACACACACACACACACACACACACACACACACACACACACTTCTAAGTGAGGTTCTATTCTAAGGTCCTGGAATGGGCACTGCCATATCCTCATGAGAAATGAATGCAGTTCCACCTGTAAAGCTCGGAGCACAGTGCTCGGCCAGCACTTTGTAAAGGTCCATGAATGGCTGTGGTCAGAGAAACCAAACTGGGGGCTGGACAGATAGTCCAGCATGTAGGGCAGTTGCCTTGCATGTAGCCAACCCAGGTTCAATCTCTGGCACCCTAGATGGTCCACTGAGTACTGCCAGAGTAATCCCTGAGCAGAGTCAGGAGTAAGCTCTGAGCATCATCCCATGTGACCCCCCCTCAGCATCCCCTAAGAAAACCAAAATAAAATAAAGAAGATAAAAACAAATAGGTTGAGTTCCTGGGAAGGAGGGGGTGACAGCATGTTTCAGGCAGTGTCAGGGCTTGGCATATAGATTCTCACTGAATCCTCACAACCACTCACCAAGAAAGGCAAGGTTTTCACTTCAAGGAGGCTTCTTCTATGACTCAGAGTGGTTAAGAAACTTGCCTGAAGACACACAGCCTCAGTGGCAGAGGTGAGGGTCCAGCCCAGGCTCACAAAGCTGCATCATACAGGGTAGGGCAGCGCCAGAGTGGGGAGTGGAACTGGTCAGGGGGAGTGAGGATGGACCAGGTCCCTGACATGCAGGCCAGGGGACTTTGGGGATCTGAAGGGCTCCAGCGAATCTGAACACAGTGAGTAGGTGGTCTGGATTGCCGGTTCCTGGGGAGGTGCTGGCTGCTGCCAGGTCTGAGTCATTGCAGCCGAACCGGCCCGGCCGATACTCGGGGGCTGGGACATGACCCCGCCAGGGCTGAGGAATGTTGCTCAGAGCAGAACATGCCTCGCTTCATTCCTGCTCAGACTCTGCAGGAAGCTGAGAGGAGGCACTTCCTCAAGGCCGCGTCGAGGCTCGCTCTTCCCGCGGGCTTTCTCTCACAAGGTGCCTGCACCAAGCCAGGATTTCTCCTTGGTTAGAAAACTAGGCGAGAATATCTATAATAGTCCGGCATGGACTCATTGACTCGGTACTGACTTCCTCACTCACTGGAACACTTATCCGTTAGCCGTCCCTCATTCATTCTTTTTTTGGGGGTGGGGGGTTTCAGACCAGGCAATGCACAGGGGTTCCTCCCGGCTCTACACTCAGGAATTACTCCTGGCGGTGCTCGGGGGACCATATGGGATGCTGGGAGGTCGAACCTGGGTCAGCCACATGCAAGGCAAACGCCCTACCCACTGTGCTATCGCTCCAGCCCCTTTTGTTTTTGTTTTTGGTTTTCTTATTTTTTTTTTTGCCTCGTTCATTCTTGACCCATGTTTCACTGATAGTTCAGTCACTCACATTCACATGTCCATGGACACTACACATTTATTCTATCCACTCTCTGTCCAGCCAACCATCCCACACCTGTTCTCATCCAACCACCCAACATCCGTTCATCCATCCACACCCATTCATCTGTCCATCCATCACTCACCCATTGACCTTCCAACCACCCAGCCATGCGTCTATCCAGTACCTAATCCAGTACCTATTTCTACACCATCCATGCTCCTATCCACTGGTCCTTTTATAATTTTTTTATTAGGCTCCATCCTGTGTTCCACACAAAGCTTCATTTCTACCCACTTTTCCCTCCTACCTTTGCTGTTGGCGGGGGTCGTCTGCGCCATGGGGACCCTCAGGAGCTTTGCCTCTTGGTGGTATGGTTCTATCATTCCCTCCCGAGGAAAGACTCGAGAAAAATGAACCGTTGTTCACATGCTCAGCCCAGCCTGCATGTGGTTGCCGCGAGGGCCCCAGGGACACGGGACATTGGTCCTGAGGCCCCCTCCAGCTGACTGGCCGTGCCTGGCCCTGACACAGGGGCTCTCAAGCAATAGGGCTGGTTTTGAGGACCCATTTCTGTTTCCCTCAGGCTAGCACAGGTCGTGGGGACCCGTGACTCGAGCCCCCTTCTGAGGCTCGAGAGGGAGGGTCACTGAGGGTCTTAGACATGGGGTAGGGAAGGCAGGCAGGGGGAGACCTTAGCCTTCTGCCCTGGTCCCTCACATACTTGGGGAGCCCAGAGAAAAGGCCCTTTGGGGTCCCACGTGCCCCGCTTACATCTTTGCAGATGCCCTTCTGGGCACTGCCCCTCAGGAAGCCCCTCAGGTCAGGGGCCTGCTCCTCTTCCTCAGCTGCTATCTCTGCTCCATTCAGGGGCCGTCAGAATTGGCCGATAAGATAAAGTAACCCCCTTTTAAAGATGAGCAGGTGAAGTACCTCACCTCCTCCCCTTCACATTCCAGCCACGTCAGGTCCCAGGGGGGCCCTTCTGGACCCCCCCCCACACACACTCACACTTCTCTCCTGTCCCCCAAGTCCTCCCCTTTCTACACCCTCACACTCTGGCTCCAGCTCTGCGAACATTCCCAAGCCCCCGAGCCAGCTTCAGAGGGAAGCTGAGGACCCAGCAAGTGTGAGTGTGTATGTGGGGGGGAGGGGAGCAGGGGGCTGGAATGCCCCGAGGTGCCAGGGCCGCTTTTCTCACCCAGAGTGGCAGGGTGATCTAGTATCATTTTAGAACCCATGAGGGCAGTTGATAATGATGGCAGTGCCAGGGTAAACGCAAAAGAGTCTTTAGGGATCGATTTAAAGGTGTTGTTTCCCTTTGGTCATTGGATGGTGTAGGTAGCAAGACCTGGAGAGAGGGGAGAGAGAGTGAGAGAGACAGAGACAGAGACAGAGACAGAGACAGAGAGAATTGTCTGCAAGAAAAAGAACATGTGAGAGAAATGGTATGAGAGAATGTATATGGGAGAGTGTGTGTATGTGCCAAAAAGGGTAAAAAGGAGAATGTGTGTACTAGAGAATATGTGAGAGGGGCTGAAGTGATAGCACAGCGGGTAGGGCATTTGCCTTGCACGCGGCCAACTCGGGTTCGATTCCCAGCATCCCATATGGTCCCCTGAGCATCGCCAGGAGCGATTTCTGAGTGCAGAACCAGGAGTAACCCCTGAGCATCACTGGGTATGACCCAAAACACACACACACACACACACACGCACACACACACACACACACACACACACAAAGAGAGAATTGTGAGAAATGATGTGAGAGAATGTGTTTGTGAGTGTGTGAGAAAGTTTGAGGGAGAGAGTGTATGTGAGTATGAGTGTGTGTGTGTGTGTGTGTGTGTGTGTGTGTGTGTGTGTGTGTGCACCTAGGTATGCTGGAGGTTGCCCTGGCCGAGCCAGCCCCACCCAGAGGAGGCTGGACACTGTCCGTGTGGGGGTGTCGGGGAACTGGGTGTGCCAGGCCTGCTGCCGCCTTCCCTAACGCATTGTGCACTGAGTCAGCTGCTGAGTGGGGCGCAGATGCCAGCCATGGCAGAGCCGGCCCTTCTCCCTGCCGCCCCGATGGAGGGGCTAGCCCTGATGGCCCTGGCCGCTCCGTGCCCTCGGATCCCACGCGCCCGCATCGCCAGGCGCTGTGCCCAGCACTGGGTGGACCTGGGCTGCAGGTAGGGCATCCTGGAGGGGCTGGGGGGGGGGTCTCAGGCCAGGCCTGAGGGGCAGCAAAGAGAGGAGCCCCAGTGGGCATGGGTGGGGTCACAGACGGTTGATTTCCATGCTCACCCGTCCCACCCATTCCAGGCGGGCAGGGGGCGCTCAAGGGCCCTTTGAATGGCCAACGGTGAGAGGGGGAGGGGTCCAGTTTCTGCTCCGTGGACCCCAATCCCACTCCCGAGTCATGCCCAAGGCAGCTCTATGCTGCACTCCTTTTTTAATTTTTATTATTATTATCATTTTTTTTTTGCTTTTTGGGTCACACCTGGCGACGCTCAGGGGTTACTCCTGGCTCTGTGCTCAGGAATTACTCCTTGTGGTGCTGGGAGGACCCTATGCGATGTCAGGGATCGAACCTGGGTTGGCTGTGTGCAAGGCAAGTGCCCTACCCACTGTGCTATCGCTCTGACCCCTTACGCTGGACTCTTAGAGTGAGGAGCCCCCTCCAACGCGTTTCTCCCCTTCCTTCACTTGTAGCATTATATGGGGCCGAGAGGTCTCTGTGGGTCAGTGGGCTGCAGGTCGCATGGTGAGATCAGTGTCACTCCTCCTTCCTGCTCAGCTGTCCCTGCCAGCCAGACCACCAGGCCGTCCAGATCCCACCTTGCAGATCCAGATCCCACCTGGCCCCGTGCACTGCTCTAGAGACAGACAAAGACGCCTCTTCCCGAGAACGTCCTGATGCTTGGCATCTACCTGGGGGGGATTTTTTGTCACCTCCCAGCCCTGGTGGTCTCTGTTGACCCCATGGGGTCACGTGCTAAGCTTCCTTTGCTCTCTGAATTCTGTGCTCCAGAATTCCATGCTTCAGTGTCTAACTCAGAGTCCGTGTTTGCAAGTGTCCCTGGTTCCTCTGAGCCAGCACTTGACACGAGGCAATGTGGACAGTTCCAGCATCTAAGCAGCAGTGCGGTCAGCATCTCTGGTGACCCGGCCCTGGGGGGCGAGGGGTTCGCCACAGCAACAAGTGGAACTGAGGCTTGTTGCAGTCAAGGCACATTGCAGTCTGCCAGCTCCCGCCCTGGCAACTCTGAAGGCGTTGCTGCCCTGAAACACCCCTGCGCACGCTCATGGCCGCGTCAGGACCCAGGGCTGATGGGGGTCTGCGTGTGGGGCAAATTCCAACTAGAGGTGCCAGGGATCCTGACCCCCGGGCGTGAGTCCGTAGAGCCCCCGGTTCAGGAACCACCTCGAGACTCAGGAAAGGGGAAACTGGCAAGGCCTTTCATTCATGCGACGCAGCAAAAATGTAGTCAAGACTTTTAAAATTTCTCTTCCCTAACATCTATCTTGGTGGCGCTGGGGGACCATATTGCAGGGCGGGGATCAAATCGGGCAGGACTGAAACCTCCACTCTCTCAGGCCCCAATGATGGTTTTTAAGTCTTGGGAAACTAGTCAGACTATTTCATCTGCCTAAATGTCTTATATCCCCTGTTACATTTTGTCCATCAAAATTAATATAGATTATGTGATCCATAACTAGTTTAAAGTCAGCATTACAATGACTTTTAAAAAACAATATTGTGGCAGAGAGAGAGGGAGACAGAGAGAGAAAGAGAGAAGGAGACAGAGTGAGAGAGAGAGAGACAGAGGGATGAAGCAACAGAGAGAGCAAGAGAGAGAAGAGCAAGAGAGTGGGAGAGCAAGCGAGAGAGGCACAGAGAGAGAGAGAGAGAGAGAGAGAGAGAGAGAGAGAGAGAGAGAGAGCGCATAGCAAGCAGGAGTTTGTCTTGCATGCAGCCAACCAGGTTTGATTCCAAACACCCCATATGCCCACTGAGTTTCACCGGGCGTGATCCCTGAGTGCAGAGTCAGAAGGAAGTCCTGAGCACTGCTGGGATGACTGGGGGTGGGGGGCATGTGGAAAGAAAGAAAAGAAAAAAGAACTCCCCCCCAGAAGATAATAACCCCATTGCTCTCACTTCTGTTTGCAACTCCATCTTCTGCCCTGGGACGGCTGCACACCCAGCCCAGGTTCCTCACCCCAGGCACGCCCTCTCCCTGCTCACTCCTCCATGGGTCTGTCAATGTTCCAGTCTCCAGTGTGACCATATGGTCCCAGTTACCAGCTGTGAGTCTCTCCTGTTCTCCCAAGTGATCGCTGCAGGCCTGGCCCAATGAAGTGTTCAGTGACCAAATGGCTCCCGCCACGGCCTGGGGTCCCAGGGTGGAACCTCCACCAAGGGAGGAAGGGCACAGAGTTTGGTCCCCCATTGGGATCTTAGCCACAGTGACCCCGGGAGGTGCCTTGATAACCCTCCTGTGAGCCCCCTCACACCTGCTCCCACATAGAACTTTTTCTGTGAGTTCACGATTGCTGGAGAAAGTGCAAGCACAGCTAGTGGGGTCTATCCAGTCCATAAGGATAGTCACAGTGACCAGTTGAGACTATATCCTCCGGTGATAAGCTTCACACATTTGTATTTCTGCACTTGTGTATTAAAAGTATGGTCTGGGGGCTGGAGCGATAGCACAGCAGGTAGGGTGTTTGCCTTACACGCGGCAGACCCGGGTTCAATTTCCAGCATCCCATACGGTCCCCTGAGCACTGCCAGAACTGGTTCCTAAGTCCAGAGCCAGGAGAAACCCCTGAGCATTGCTGGGTATGACCCAAAAAGCTAAAAAAAAAAAAGTATGATCTGATCCATGTCCCATTATACAGATATGCCTAAATTGGAGTACAGCACCAGGAGCATTTGGTAAAGGCTGTATGTCATGGGGGAACACAGAGCTCTATCCTGCTCTCTCCCTCCCCTGCTTCCTCTCCCCAGGGTCACCCACAACAGCGTGGTGCTGCATTCCAGAGGTCTCACTCCGCCTGGTGATCTTGCCTGGCATGTGGGGTGGTGCCATGATCAGATCAAAGACTCACGGGCAAGGCAGGTGCCCTACAGCTGAGCCCCATACCTGGCCCCCGGCCCCCACATTACTCTCTTGAATGTTGCATGATATTTCACTTCAGTGGGGCGGGGGGTGGATTTGAACCACACCCAGAGGTGCTCAGGGATCACTCCTGTGGTGCTCATATGAGCCACACACAAGGGCAAGAGCGCTACCCACTGGACTCTCTCTCCATCCCCACATGATATTTCGCTTTACAGCTGACCTGAACTTTGTTAACTAGCTTTCTTCCCTCCACCCTCCCTTTCCCTGATGCTGTTGTTGTGTCTACTGGGGGTCACACAAACTTTGTTGTGACACTGGGTATCCCATATGGCGCCCAGGATCATGCTTGGCACACATGAGATGGTGCCTGGGATTGAACCCACAGCCTCCCAATTGCAAGATGCTCTTCCACTGAGCCACCCTTGGCTCCAGACCAGCCACTGGAAAGGTTTCTAGCCCGTTTCCCTTCTTCCATCATAACCACACCGCATTGTTCTTGGGCCTCTATCTTCGTGTGAGTATCCGGAGGGTCAGTGTCCACAACAGACTTTACTCTGTGTGTACTGGAACTCTGGAAAATGTGTCCGAGATGGTGCCCAGGCCCAGAGCCTCACGGGCAGCACCAGCGCGAGCCTTGGCGCTCTCCACGGCTCGCCGTGCTGGTTCCCTGGAGTCTGGGATCATCCTCTCTCGTTTCAGCTCCTCTGGGCTCCGGCCTCACGCCTCTCTCACAAGCTCCGTGTCTGGCTCGCAAGGCCAGTGCAGAGAGGCAGGAGGGCCCAAGCCTGGTGCCGCTATCAGATTGACCCATCCATCAGTGCTTACGCTAAGTGACGCTGGTGTGGAGGAGGCCACTTTTACAAAGTTCACTTTGGTCTCCCCTTGCTCCTGGGTCTCTCCGAGAGATTCTCTTGAGACTGAAGCAGTCATCGAGGCCCTAGCCAAACAGGGCATTCAAACTCAATACATCAGGATCCTACGTGAGCTGTATTACGGATTCACTGCCAGGATCTCCGAAGAGTCTGAGGCCAATCTGTCCCAAGGCCATGGACCTTTCAGATGTCCCCCAATAGGTCACCGACCCCTTAATGTATGGAGCTGAGGAATCTGAGGACAGCCCAAGGTGCCAGTTCTGGATCTCAGGAGAAACTGCCCCTTCTCTCGAGTCTCAGTTTCCTCTCCGGTGTCCAGCCATGGCCTCGCAGCTGTACCAGGAGCATGAAATGAAGCAAATACTCCTGAAGGGTGGAGCCCTGGCCAGTGCCCAGGGAGTGCCCACGGGGAGTGCCCACACGGGCCCCACAGTGCAGAGGTCAAAGGGGCAGCTGGTGCTGGTTCTCTCCCATTCACCCCTCCTCCAGCGGGAAGAGCTAAGTGGGAACCCTGCGCTGCCCACACGCCCCCCTCGGCGGTTGGCATCGCCACTGCCCTTCTCGGCTGCTGCCCCCTCCCACATCTGTCCAGTCCTCCACCCAAGGTTGCCAGCTGGACTGCTCACCAACCCGCAGGCGGGACCCTTCTCCTGGGGTCTTTGTCCTCTCGTGCCTCCCACACAGGCAGAGGGGGCAAGGGTTCTGCCAGGCAAGGGGGTCTCCACCTCAGAGACTCCCTCGGGAACCCCCCACCCCACCCCACCCCAGCTGATAGAGTCCTGGTGACGTTTGCCCGTCTGAATGAGGAGATAGATGGTTTATTCGGTGTCTTTCCATAGCGAGCATTTGCATTTTATCTCAGTGGCCCATAATTCATATCTGCTGTCAGTCTGCTGGGCTTTATTGGGGCAGGGGGCGGGTGGAGATGTGTGTATTTTTCCCTCATCACTCTTAGGAACTCTAGGGAATAACCCAATCATCTCCTGCAAATATTTCCTTCCCGCTGATCCGTGCTTTTTTTTGTGTTCAGAGCCTTTTGCTCTAGAGAAGTTTTTCGTTCCAGTGTTTTCAGTTATGGTTTCTGGATTTTATTTTGCCTAGGGAGAGCTTCCAACCCCTCCGTCTTTCCGCCCAAACCCTAAGGCAGACGTCTGTAAAACCCCACAAATTCCCTTAGACTCACAGGGTCATCATGGGCCTCCCTCCCAGGAGTTTGCAAATCTCTGTCCCTCTCTGGGGTCCCCTGGCTATTTCCCCCACTTCTCAAGTTTTGGCTCTAAGCCTCGGGGAACCTCAGAATCTCTCTGAAAGGCCTCACGAGGAGGAGGAGGCCTTTGCTTCAGACCATCCTGGACCCCTTGGACAGGCTCTTTGGGGAAGTTGCTCTTTTGTTCGAAAGAAAATGGAACCCACAGACGATTAAACAGGGAGGTTGGAGGCCAGAGAGGTAGTAGCAGGGTTAAGGCACTTGCCTTGCATGTGGCTGACCCTGGTTCAAGTCCTGCCACCACATGATTCCCTGAGCGCAATCCAGGGAGACCCAAAAATCTAAAAATAAATAAGTTTCTGGGGTTGAAATGATAGATAGTACAGTAGGTAGGGAGCTTCCTTGCACACAGCCCACCTCAGTTTCATCCTCAGCATCCTGTATGGTTCCCTGAACACTGCCAGGAGCAATTTCTGAGTGCAGAGCCAGGAGTAGCCCCTGAGTATCACGGGGGGGGGGTGGCCCCAAAACAAAAAATAAAAGTGGGTTCGAGGGATAGTACAGCAGGCAGGACAGTTGCCTTGCACAGGGCTGACCTGGTTTCATTCCGGTATGTTCCTCCCAACCCCCCAGGAGTGACCCCTGAGCACAGAGCCAGGAGTAAGCCCTGAGCACCGCTGGGTGCAGTCCCCCAAACAAAAACAACAACAAAAGTTAGAAGAGAAAGACAAAACTGTGGAGCTTTAAACCAGGCCTGGAGGCCTCATCATCGTGGGCCCCCGGTGGTCCCAATTCTCTATGCTGAGTGGCCCCCTCAGACTGGGGAGACCTCCCCACATGGGGAGTCTCAGGCTGAGCGCCAGAGAGTCTTGGGGACCCCAGGACCATGTCACGCAGAAGCTAGCGGGGAACCACACCCTCACCCCCACGGAGCCGGCTCTGCCAGGGTTCTCGCCCTGTCTGCATAGTTTAGAAGCCACCCCTGGCGGTGCTGGGGGCCAGTCCCAGCTCTGTGCTCAGGGTTCATTCTCCAGCAGTGCTCGGGAGCCCTCGAGTTCGACCCCAGACCCCGGTTCTATAGGGAGAGAGTACCCAGCCCCTGGGCTCCTGCAGCCCTCTTGCCCTCGGAGCCCTGGCCTGGCCTCCCCCCACCCCACACTCCCATTTCTCTGCTTCTCTTGGAAGATGGGCTTCTCCAGCCCTGCCATGTCACCAGGGTCCCCCGGTTCTCACACCTGACTGAGCCCCCTCGACCTCAACACCTGGGAGCCTCTGATTGGCTTGTTCGTGGCTCTGACCTCTGATTGGCTTGTTAGTGGTTCTGGCCTCTGATTGGCCTGTTCGTGGCTCTGGTCTGTGGGACGTGGGTCCACTTAGATCCAGCGGGACGCGGGAGGTCTGAAATAGGTGCTCGCCAATTATAATCCCAACAAGTGGAGCCCTTGGCAGGAGACTGGGGCGTGGGTGGGGTCACCGGGATGGGAAGCCCAGGCGGGTGAGACCCCTGTGTGTGGGCAGCGCTGGGCCTCATCCCTGCCTCCCCCCACTTACAGCTCCAGCCCCGGCCCTGCCAGCAGGCAGCAGCCCCCGCAGTGCGCAGAGAGCTTGCCCATGGACAGCTTCTGGAAGGAGGTGGAGCGGATTCGGCAGAGACATGAGCCAGGAGAGGAGAGCCCAGCAGGCAGCGGGGGTGAAGCTCGTCTCCTGGAGGGTGAGCGGCCCTGGGGGTACTGTGGAAAGAGGGAAGGGTCCGGAACCCACCAGCGCTCGCCTGAGTGAGAACAACAAGTTCTCTGAATCTCTCCCCTGGACATCCGCCTGTCCTCTGGCAGCCCTGAGACCGATCCGTGAGGGCCCAGAGATAGTACAGGACGCAGGCACCCACCTGGTTTCATCTCTGACCCTTGGACTCACAGTGTCATCATGGGTTTCCCTCCCAGGAGTTTGCAAATCTCTCTCCCTCTCTAAGGTCCCTGGCTGTTCCTGCCTCACCTCCCCTACTCCCCAAGCTGGTTTCGGCTCTAAGCCTTGGGGGAACCAGAAGGGAGGGGGTGAGCCCACTGCTGTGTTCCAAGATCGGGGCAGCCAGAGGCTTCTTGCCCTCACTGTGTCTACAGAACTAGTGCTCACTCTCCATCCCGAGTAAGAGCAGGGTTGAGAGTCCTCAGCCTCGTGCTCAGAGGTCAGGGTGCTCCTTGGGACTGGGCAAGTGACTCAGTGTGTTTCTTGTTTTGTTGGCAGAGGGAGAGGCCGAATCCCAGTGGCTGCGTGACACTGGCCTGTCGGGCCTCCTCGGTGGCCAAAGCATGGAGGGTGACCACCAGGAACTCTTGTCGACCCTGACCCAAACCCAGGTGGCCGCTGTGCGACGCCGACTGGATATCTACGCCCGCTCTGCCCGTAGGCGACACAAGGCCCCCGTCAGAGATGTCAGGGACATCTTCGGGGCCTTTGACTCAAGGGTGAGTACAGAACACCAGGGCCCCTGCAGCTGGGGCCTTTGTGATGTTACATGGTGAGTGATGTGGCTCTGTGTGTGTGCGCGCGTGCGTGTGTGTGAGTGCATGTGAGGGCATGTCCACGCATGGGTATCATATGCCTATGTGTGTGTCATGCATATGCACGAATGTGTATGCCCATGTGTATGTGTGTGCATCCACCTGTGTGGGTATATGCGTGAATGTGTGCATGAGTGTGCGTGCACATGTGTGTATGTGCATGTGCATGTGTATCTATGTGTGTGCACATGTGTGCATGCATGTGCATGTGTATGTGCATCTGTTCATCTGAGCGTGCCTGTGTGTGCACATGTGTATGTGTGAGTACGTGTGTGCATGTGCGTGTGCTTGTGTGTGTGCATGCCCGTGTGTATGTATATGTGTGTGCACACACCTATGCGTGCACCTGTGCATGTGTGTGTGTACGTGTGCATGTGCTGTGTGTTTCGTCTGCCTCCTGTGGTGTTTCAGCATAACAAACCACCTCCTGTCCCCATTCCCACAGCAGGACCCTCCGGAGAGTGCCACCTCCTGTCTGAAGGGGCCCCGACTCAATTCCCAGCCTCCCACGTCTCCCCCAGGTGAGCCATCCTCCTCACTCCCCAGGTCCTCGTCTGTTCTTAAAGTGAGAGAATCCAGTGGCCCCTGGGCCCCTGCCTGCCCGAGGCCAGTAGGAAGGAGTTCTGAGGGGATCCGCTGGGCCCTGGTTTTCCCACAAAGCCTACGAACCTGAGTTGGAGAATCACTTCCGGGGCCTGAGTCCTAAGCTCCTAGACTTGCTCCTGAGGCTTGAAACTGGAGCCTGGGAAGCCGTTCCTTGCCCCTGCCCTTCCTTTTGAGGTGTTGTGGCAGTGATGGGGTGATACATGCTAGGTTGGTGCTCCCCCACGCGGCTGTGCCATCCCTCGTGTTTTCAGTAGAGGTGTTCTCATGCAGTCACTGTTGGGGACGCACTCCCGGGTACAGTGCTCACATACACCAGGCCACGTGCCGGGGCTCAGACGTGGCTGCAGCACTGAGGGTTCAAGTGACAGCCACCACGATGCCCATGAATGACAGCTGGGCTCCAGCTCATGGCCTCATGCTGACAAGGCAGGTGCGCCTAGCCACTGGGCCTCGGAGCAGAGGACCAAGTTCTTATTCTAAGAACCAGCTCGGGGTCAACCCAAGACATTTCCGGAGCCGGCTCCCTGGTCCTGACCCTCTCTGCTCCGTTTCCCTGCAGCTGCAGCAGAGCCCGAGGACCCCCACGCGCAGGGCCCAGCCGGGAGCCAGGAAGCATTCTGCACGGACTTGGCCTACTCGGAGCAGGCCGCTCGGCTGCTGCACAGGGGCCGCTGGGCCCCTGCTGGCCTCTGTGCCTGGGGCCGGGGCTCCCTGCCGGTGAGCACACACACACGCACACATATGCACACACATACACGGGTGCACACAGCCCACACACCTGTACGCACACACATGCACACACATATAAGTGCACACATAGCCCTTCACACACATGTGCACACACATGCACATAGATACGTGTTGTACACAGATCCCTGTGTTTGCACACACATTCACTCACATACGTGCATAAATATATGTGTATGCGCACACACCCATGCACATGAAGACATATGAGCACACACAAACGCACGCACAATCACACATGCGTGCTTGCACCCCCAAACACGCACGGCCTGGTAAGGGCCCCCTGGCCGCTGGCAGGACCTTCTTACTCCTTCTCTGTTGCATCATCCTCCTGCGGAGCCTGTCAGGGTCCTGGGCCAGGGCCCCAGTCCAGGGCCTCGCGGTGTCTCCAAGGGTGCTCTGTTGGAAACTGGTTGTGTTTTGCTTCACTGCTGCTGGAGGGCAAATGTGTGTGCAAGGCAGGCGCCTGCGTGTGTGTGTGTGTGTGTGTGTGTGTGTGTGTGTGTGTGTGTGTGTGAGCTGCCCCTGGACCCTTTCCTGGATGCTCGGAAAGTCCTTCCTCCCCCTCAGACGGTTCCTCGCCCTGTGGGCTGTTTAGTCATCAGCTAGTTATCAGCTTCTCTGTCTTCTTCTCCCCCTGCTCAGTTCCTTCCAAATGAGGGTGCCATCACTTCTGTCTGGTTTGGGTGTTTGTCTTGAGACTGAGAGAAGTGGCATGCATTTACTCTGGACTGGACAGCTTGAGGTCTGCTCCCAGCCTGAGGTCTCATGCACCTCCATCACCCCTGCTCTCCCCCATCCCCTGTCTGCTCCCAGATGCTCCTGACCGCCCCCCCCCATCCTGCCCAGTTGGGCCACTCTCCTCGGCCAGCTCCCACTGCTCCTGAAGGGAGAGGGTCCTCGCTACTGCAGTCTGGCGTGGTGGACACCCAGGGAAACAGTCCACCAAGGGCCTCAGCCCAGCGCTCTCCATTTCTGCAGGATTACACTTAACCTCACCCGGGAGATGCGGCCACAGCCCCCCACTCTCAGACACGCCTACCAGCCCAGCACCTTCCCAGGGGACTGACCACTGCACTCTGCTCTGAGGAAATATGTCTGTCCCTGTGGGCTCCTCACTGACTCAGTTTCCCTTAAACTTTCATGCTGAATCATTTCATTTGGGGTAGGGGAAGGATTTGGACCACACTCTGGTGCTCAGGGGCCATTCCTGGCTCTGGAGGAACTCTTAGTGGTGCTTGGGGGGACCCTATGTGGTACCGGGTCGAACCAAGGCCCAAGTGGCCTCATGCAAGGCAAGGCAAGCACTTTACCTCCTGTCCTATCTCTCCGATCCCCCAAATAATTTTAGAATTAGCAGAGATTGCAAAAGTAGAGCAGAGTTTCCGCGTCCCTTTCACCTCGTTCTCCCATGCCGTCTTGCATAAGCATAAAACAGCAAATAGACATTTAGGTCGGGACTTCCTGTTTCTACGGCCTCTGAGGTAATTCATGTTCGGCATTCTCTTCTAACCTCGATGATTTGAATTCCTCCAGTAAACTGTGAGTGATGAGAATAGTAATAGAGGTATCCTACATTGAGATTTAATGTAGGTCAGGCCGTGAGACCCAGTACTGAATGGAGATCATTTGCTTTCATCCTGTGATGTAGGCAGCAGTTGTCCATAAATACACTAAAAGTGTGTAGTCACTGGGTCAGAGAGATACCGCAGACGGCTGACCACACGCTTTGTTGTGGTTGTTTTTAAGTTTTTAAATGGAATCACTGTGAGATAGCCCATTACAAAGCTGTTCATGATTGGGTTTCACGCACGCAGTGTTCCAACACCCATCCCTCCACCGGGATACATTTTCCAGCATCAATGTTCCCCATTTCTTTGCCCCCACCCCCAACTCCTCCCCCACCTCCCAGCCTATCTCTATGGCAGACACTTTTCTTCTTTCCCTCCCTCCCTTCCTCTCTTCCCCCCCCTCTCTCTCTCTCTCCCTCTCTCTCTTTCTCTCTCTCTTTCCTTTTGGGCTTTGTGGTTTGCAATACAGAGACTGAAGGGCTATCAGGTATATTCTTTTACCTACTTTTAATTTTCAGTTCTTGGGGCTGGAGCGATAGCACAGCGGGTAGGGCATTTTCCTTGCATACAACCGATCAGGGTTTGATTCCCAGCATCCCATATGGTCTCCCGAGCACAGCCAGGAGTAATTCCTGAGTGAAGAGCCAGGAATAACCCCTGTGCATCACCGGGTGTGACCCAAAAAGCAAAAAAAAAAATTAATTCTCAGTCCTTATCCAGCATGATCATTTCCAATTATTATTGTCATACTGGTCCTTTCTTGTCTTATGTCCCCTTTGCCCCTCCACACACTTGTGGTAGATTCCAACCATTGACCAGCTGACCACACACTTTACATGTGTGTGGTCTGAATACTACCCCCGACACTGGGAGTGACCCTGAGCACTGAGTTGGGAGCAGCCCCTAAGTGCTGATAGGTGTGGTCCCTCAAAAACAAAAAAATAGTGATCATTATAGTTACTGAACCCTTATCTGGTGAGGTCTGATGTGCAGCCCCTGACCTAGTCTATCCGACAGCCCGCGACGCAGCTGCTGTTACTCTCCACACAGAGATGGGGACACAGAAAAGGCGAAGCATCAGCTCAAACTCACAGGTCCATTCGGGGTTCAAAGCCTCTGTGGGACTCCATAGCCCATCAGTGTCCAGGCTCTCCCACAGCCAGACATTCATGGCATTGAGTCGTTCCGGCCCTCTTAAACGTCCCTCACTGGGGTGTCACCTGGGCTCGAAGTCCAGACAGGACAATCCTCTATTCTGTTCTCAGGAATGCCCAGACCTGCGTGTTTATTCCCACTCTGACCTCTAGGTGACGCTGTAGAGCACCCTTAAATAAATTTTAATTTATTCACTGTGGTTTACAACACATTTCTTTGTAGAGTTTCCTGCATGAAATATTCCTCCACCAGCGACCGTGCTGCCCCCCACCATTTTCCCAGTGCGAGAGAGAGAGAGAGAGAGAGAGAGAGAGAGAGAGAGAGAGAGAGAGAGTACACTGGCGCCTGGTTTGTCCCTTGCTGGTGGCCAGTCCTAGTTTGATCTCCTCAACCCTGGATGGACCCCGAGTCGCAGCATGTGTGATCCCTAAGTTCAGAGCACCTTTAGTTTTCAGTTTTTATTTGGTTCTTCAAGGTGAGAAAAGGGTCATGGGAACGTGAGTGGCGCTACCAAGGCGAGAGATAGAGGAGGTGAAGGAAAGTGAGAGAATAATGGAGGTATGGTGGGGGGGCCTTCCACCAAGACAAGCCAAACTGCTCACTTTTGTCCCAAACAGATATTTATGAGGGGGAAAAAGCTGTCTGCTCATGAGCGGAAACTGGAGGAAGATGCAAAGAGGAAAAATGCAATTCAGATACAGGCTCTATTAATTTTTCTTTTGAGGAAGACAGGGATACTTCCTTTCTTTTTCTTTTTCTTACATTTTCTGAGGGGGGTGCACACCCGGCTATGCTCAGGGCTTGCAGTTGGCTCTGTGCTCAGGGGTCACTCCTGGCAGTGCTCAGGGAACCATATGGGGTGCTGGGGATCAAACCTGGGTCAGCCATGTTCAAGCAAGTGCTCTGCCAACTGTAGGATCGCTGAGACCTTGAGGCTCTGCTGGAATGCAGGGATTCCACTGTGTAGGCCCCTGACCCCATTAACAGCATCAAGCCTAGGGAGATGAAGGTGGGGAACGGAGTCATAGTCCAGCAAATATGGTGTTGGCCTCGCATGCAGCCAACCTGGATTCGATCCCCAGCATCCCATGTGGTTGCCCAAGCAAAAAACAAAACCTAGGTCAGTGGGCCCTCCCCAACGCCTGTCCGGTCCTTCTGCTGGGTAATCTGAGGCTCAGAGGGGAGCTTCTGTCGGCTGTCCCTGCAGGGAGCACTCCGACTGACCTCAGCCCATGCTTATGTGGGGAGAGAGTCAAGGTCTCTTCAACAAAGGCCCCTGCAGGGGCTTTGAACCTTCACCCCTGATTCCTCCTCTAGGAGTTTCGGGTCCCCAAAGGCCGGCTGGGCTTGACGAGGATCGGAGACTTGTGCTCGCAGGATATGCAGAAGGTCCCTGCACTGGCGCTCATTGAGCTCACGGCCCTCTGTGACGTCCTGGGCTTGGATTTGAAGAGGAACAAGGCCACCAAGCGCAAGACCACAGGTGGGCATACACGTCCACCACCCTGTGGTTACGGTCCTGGCTCTCTCCCGGGACGTGGGGTGTGGTGGGGGAACCTTCCACCAGGGCGAGCCAAGCTCCTTGCTTTCATCCCTGACAGATATTTATGCAGGGGGAAATGGAAACTGGAGGAAAATGCAAAGAGGGAAAATGCAATTCAGATATAGGCTATTAATTTTTAGTAGATTAGTTTGTTTTTTAGGGAAGAAAGGGATATTTCCTTTTTGTTTGTTTGTTTGTTTGTTTGATTTTGGGGCTGGAGTGATAGCACAGCGGTAGGGCGTTTGCCTTGCAGGCAGCCAGCCTGACTGAGCCAAGTTCGATTTCTCCGTCCCTCTCGGAGAGCCTAGCAAGCTACCAAGAGTATCTCTCCCGCACAGCAAAGCCTGGCAAACTCCCTGTGATGTATTCAATATGCCAAACACAATAACAACAAGTCTCAAAATGGAGACGTTACTGGGCCCACTCGAGCAAATCGGTGAACAACGGGAGGCCAGTGCTACAGTGTCTGTTTTGGGACCACACCTGCCTATGACCAGGGCTTGCTGCTGCCTCTGTGCTCAGGGGTCACTCCTGGCAGTGTTCAGGGAACCATATGGGATGCTGGGGATCGAACTTGGGTCAGCCTCGTGCAAGGCAAGTGCTCTGCCAACTGGACCATCATGCTGACCCAGGGATACTTTCTTTTAAGAGATGTTTTAGAATTACGGGCATTTTCCAGTTATTGCATTGTTCCAAACAACATAACGCTACATAATAAGCAGCTCCCCAGACCCATGACCCAGAATGATGGTGCCTCTCTCTGGTACATTAGCGGGTAGTTGGGTTGGTTGACTGCCCTGGGCTGGGCTGGCTCCAAGCTGTTGGCCGTTCCCGCTCTCTTGGCCCAGCTTTCCTTGTCCTGTGCCCAGCAGGGCATCTGATCTTGTTCTTAGGATGGTGGAAGCACAGAAGGATGAACTCACACACACAGAGCACTGCCGCCTCTATCTGCCTCGAGGAGGCTCTGTTCCCTTAGCCAACACCAACATGGGGCTGTAGGGTGCAGGGAAGTGCAACCCTTTCTCCAGTAGGAAGAACTGAAAGTCCACATGGCCGGAGTGTGCCTGCGAGGAGGGGAAGTGAGCCTGGAATGATGGGGTTAGTTACCACAACTATTCCATGTGCTTTGGAAACATGATTTTCAGTCGGGGGCCTGTTCTCCTCCTCACAGATAAGCCCTAATTCATTTCCATTAACCATTTTTAAAATTAACTATTTCCCTTATCAAACGTTTATTATTTCTATATTTCCCCCCGTCGTAGGTCAACCACTTGCTGCCCCTACAACTTTGAAAGAATCTTAGATAATTTAAAACGGATTTTCTGGGCCATGGGCTGGAGCACAGCTTTGCATGCAGGAGCCCTGGGTTTGAGCCGCAGCACCCTGCTCCCCTGGGAATCATTAGGAGGAACTGCAAGCACTGAACCAGGAGTAGCCCCTGACACTGCTGGGTTCAGCCCCCAAACAAGGCAGACAAACAATATAAGCACCTATTAAGGTCCCGATCTTTCGGGCCCTTTAGTCACGTGTGAGTGTTCCTTACTGCAAGAACATCATTCTCACACAGGGAAAAGTTTTGCTTTCTGTTCATGTTTGTTTGTTTGTTTGTTTGTTTCTCGTTGGGTTTGGGCTTGGGGGGCCACACCTGACTGTGCGCAGGGCTGACTCCTGGCTCTGCACTCAGCATCACTCCCTGTGGACCTCGGGGGACCATACAGGATGTTGGGATCGAACCTTGATGGGCCATATGAGAGACAAGTGCCTTAAACCCCTGTGCTGTCTCTCCAGCCCGTTTTGGGCTTTGTTTTTTGGTCTCTCTCACCCCAGACCACTCCCAGTGACACCCAGCAGTGCAACATTGTTGGGGCTATCCCAGCAGGACTCGGGTGCAGGAATTGAACTCAGGGGGCTGGAGCAAAAAAAAGGGGTTAGGGGACTGGAGCAGTAGTATAGCAGGTAGGGCGTTTGCTTGCACGCGGCCAGTCCAGGTTCAATCCCCAGCATCCCATATGGTCCCTTGAGCACCACCAGGGATAATTCCTGAGTGCAAACCCAGGAGTAATCCTGTGCATCGCCAGGTGTGACACAAAAAGCAAAAACAAAAACAACAACAACAATAAAAATGAGGCCAGGAAGGACCAGGATAGGGATTCCCAGGGCGGGTGGGGAAGGAAATCCCGGTGTGCTGGGTGCGTCATCTTGTAGGGAGAGCCCACCGGTCCTTCTAGGTTCTGAGCCGGCCCTTCTGCTGTTTGTCTCCCCCAGAAACAGGCCTCTTTGGGGTGCCCCTCGACAACCTGCTGCAGGCCGACCGCAGGGCCCTGCCCAGCACCCAGGTGCCTCTGCTGCTCCAGGCCGTAAGTCGCCGCAGCTGGGCTGCCTGGCTTGGGACAGGGGGTGGGCTCTGGGCTCACCTTCCCGCCCTGCCCTGGGCAGCTGGGAGGCGGGATGAATTTCAGAAGCACCCCTGAGCCTCTCCGAGGGGGTTCTAGTGACAGCCTTCCTCGCGGGAAGGATTCAATGAGAAAAGTCCTAGGAGCTCTCTGAGCTCTGGGGCTCCGAGACGGTCGGTCACTCGCTCAGTCACCAGTCATCATTCTTTCTGGGGGACTCTTTGGGGGAGTCCCTGCACATCTCTCCAACCCATTTCCCTGGGACACAGACACACCTGTCTGGGCTGCGCTTCTTAGTGGTTCCAGCTTCAACATTGGTTCTTTTATTTATTTATTTATTTTTTGGTCACACCCGGTGATGCTCAGGGGCTACTCCTGGCTCTGCACTCAGGAATTACTCCTGGCAATGCTCAGGGGACCATATGGGATGCTGGGAAGCGAACCCAGGTCAGCCACATGCAAGTCAAATGCCCTACCCGCTGTGTTATCGCTCCAGCCCACATCGGTTCTTTTCATCTTTTCAAAATTCCCTCCTTCCCCTCCTTCCTCCATCATGGTTGTTGGTGTTGGTTGACCGGGTGCCAGATCAGACGACCGGTGCGCTGTGTGTGCCTAGGCTTGCACACATGTTCAGTGGACTGTCATGTTCACGCACATGCTCCCCAGAACCCGCATGACCTGGTTATGGCACTTGTACATAATGTGGGCTCTGGGCTCCCCTTCCTGCCCTACCCTGGGCAGTTGGGCGACTGGAGTGAATTTCTTTTACTTTTTTTTAAATTCCAGTTTATTATTTATTTTTTTCTTTCTTTCTTTTTAATTGAATCACCGTGAGATACAGTTGCAAAGCTTTCACAATTGAGATTCAGCCATACAGTGATCGAACACCCATCCCTCCCCCAGTGCACATTTTCCACCACCAACGTATCCAGTATCCTCCTCCTCCCCCACCATCCCAGCCCTCACTCTGCCTCTATGACAGACAATCTCCCCAATACACTCTCTCTATTTTTGGACATTTATGTTTTGCTCCAATTTCCCCACCACCATTCAAGCCTGCCTGCCAGGGGCGGACGCTAGATCATTTTCCATTGCTCATTTTGAATGTCACGAGAGCTCACATGGCTGCAAAAGCGGCCACGTGCTTCTGGAGTTCTAGTTTGTAAATGGTTGGGTTCCACAGACATCTCTGTAAGGCAGTAATTCATTTTGGGATTCAATTGGGAGTCTCTGGACTAGGGATTCCAGGGTTCAAGGAACTCGCTGGGAACTGCTCCCCTTGAGGGGTGCTTACAGGTGCCACCTGGCCATGAGGCAGCCAGACATCACCTGCAGGGCGGGGATCACAGTGCTTCCAGCATCACTCTGGGCACATGTGGGGTGCCAGGGACTTGGACCTGTGACCGCATGGTGGCAGGTGCTGTTCCTCCCGGTGCACATTGGTTCCTTTCCCCCCTAGCTGCTGTCCTGTCTGGAGGAGAGAGGGCTGGACGTGGAGGGCATCCTCAGGGTGCCCGGCTCCCAGGCCAGGGTCAAGGTGGGTTGTCAGCGCTGCCTTTCTTGTTCCGTAAGCCGGGAGACTGTCCAGCTCTTGGCTTGCCAAGGATCCCTTTGGCCTCTGGGTGGGGAATGCCAGGAGGTTTGCCAGGGCGGGGGTGGCACAGGGGTTGAGAGTCCTGCAGTCAGCACTTGCCGGGCATTGCCCAGGCCTTGCCTTAACCCCTCGGGTTAACCTGCATCTCCCCTCTCCCAGAACTCAGCTTCATTGCCCCCATTTTTTTTGGGAGGTAGAAACCAACCCGCTTTATAAGACTTGGTGTCCCCACTGGCGTCTCTGCTCGGGCGTGGGTGCAAGCTGGGCAGACAGGTGGCGAGCGAGACCCCTTCCTCGCCTTCTCCCGGGCCCCACAGCCCTCTGGACGCCTGTCTGCCCGATAACCGCTTCCCAAAAAAATACTCTGCAGAGAGGCTCGCTAGATAGGGCGAGGCACTGCAGTGGGGAAACTGAGGCCCAGAGCACAAATAGAGCAGCTTCTCATTGGTGCCTCCCTCCAGGGGCTGGAACAGAGGCTGGAGCGAGAGTTCTACTCCGGCCTTTTCTGCTGGGACCAGGTTCATCTCAATGACATGTCGGATTTGCTGAAAAGGTTCATCCGGGAGCTGCCGGCGCCTCTGCTCACTGCCGAGTACCTGCCGGCCTTCGCCGTGGTGTCCAGTGAGTCGCTCGGTCCTCTACATGGGGGAGGCGGTGGGGGGGGGCACCCCCGGCCTTGGCAGAGAGGGGAAGTGGCAGCAAGACAGTGGTTTCCTGGAGATCTCAAGTGGACGGGGAGTACACACGCATGCATGCTTGGACATGTGTGCATGCCTACATACGTGCATGCATGGGGACCGTGCACATGCGTACATGAGTATAGGCATACATTGCACGAGCCCTGTGTATCGTATGTACGTGGATGGACATGAGTGTATGTATATATGGTTGTCCACGAATGTGCCTTCTGTGCTGACAGACAACTGTGGATGTGTGTGTCATGTCTTCTACATGTATGTGCTGGGTGCATGTACACATGCGTGCCTTCTGTGCGGGGGAGACGTGCAGGGTGAGGTTTTCGCCCCAAAGCCCGCCTGCGCACACACAATTTCCTCCCGTCACACCGTGCTGGGGGCTTGGGCTTGCCACGTTCTCCTTGCCCGGGTTTCAGCTATGGTGCTTCCCAGGGTGTCACGTGAGGCTGTGGTGCCCGTGACGGAGGCACTGGTGGGTGCTGCCATCCTCAGTTGTGCTGCTCGCGAGGAGGGGTTGCCACAGTGACACTGTGCTTGGCCTGTGGCTGCCGCCCTCATGCATCTTTCTTGGTGGCAGTGCTTGCCGGGGTGCTTATGGGGCCACACCTGGTGCCGGGGATCCCCGGAGAGAGCTGCCAGGGTTATGAGAGGGGCACGGGGGACAGGGCTCGTGGCCTCCCTCTGGCAGGGCAGATGCGTTCGTTAGCCCCCGAGGAAGGGTCTTCTGTGGCTCCTGAGCTTTTTTTTTTTGCTTTTTTTTTTCTGGGGGATCACACCCAGCGATGCTCAGGGGTTATTCCTGGCTCTGCACTCAGGAATTACTCCTGGCAGTGCTCAGGGGACCATATGGGATCCTGGGTATCGAACCCAGGTCGGCCATGTACGAGGCAAACACGCTACCTGCTGTGCTATTACTCTGCCCCAGTCCTGGGCTTTCTGGCTCTGGGCACGCTCCTTTCCAGAAAGGAGCCTCCAGCGGGTCCCTGTGCCCCAGCTGACCGCGGCCTCTTCTTCCCGCAGACATCCCCCACCTGAAACAGCGCCTGCAAGCTCTCCACCTGCTCATCCTCATCCTCCCTGAACCCAACAGAAATGCCCTGAAGGTAAAGGTGGCCCCGAAACGCTCCCCCCTCACCTCGGCCCATGCTTGCATTGAGAGCAATGTGCGCTTTCATTCATTCATTCATTTATTCAGCAGCTCTGCCAGATGCTGGGCTGCAGGGAGTGCCCACGTGACGGGCATCTTTCCTGAGACGTTTGCTCTTACGGAAGCAGGGTCCCCCTAGAAGGAAGTCGTGCTTACCTAGTAGATGCAGCTGACCTCGATGTAGGCAATGCTAAGAGGTGTCTTGGGGAAAATGCTTTGTGTCCATCTAAGAGGGAAGCATGAGGTTTATGAGCTGAGGCAAAGATTCTTTCTTCCTACAAGACTTCTCAGAGCCTTTCCTTTATCAGAGTTTTATCAATCTCCAAGTGGGCCAAGAGTATGGCCTGTACTTCTTCTTCTTCTTCTTTTTTTTTTTTTTTTTTTTGCTTTTTGGGTGACACCCAGTGATGCTCAGAAGTTACTCCTGGCTCTGCATCCAGGAATCACTCCTGGCAGGCGGTACTTGGAGAACCATATGGGGTGCAGGGGATCAAACCCGGGTTGGCCGCATGCAAGGCAAACGCCCTATCCACTGTGCTATCACTCCGGCCTTTGGCCTGTACTTCCTAACCCAGCCTATCGTGGGCCCTTTCTGAGGTGGAAAGCTCACTGTGGCACAAGTGTCCTGTGGGGACCCTCTGGGAAATGTCTGTAGCAGCCCCGCGTGTGTGGTGGTGGGGGTGTTAAGACGTGGGTGGGCACAGCCTTCACTCGGCTCCTTGGACCTTCTGGCTCTCTCTGGGCCAAACCCAAGATGTACCTGGGGGGTGAGGCTGTGAGGAAGTCCCGGGGCTACTGGAGTACTTTTCTGATGTGGACCTGAGAGGCCCAAGGAAGAGTGTGTGACCAGAGAGTATTGAACCCAACGGTACTTTGTTCCTTGATCCTCAGCCTGGAGGGATGAGTTTGCACCCTTTTCTGTAATAGAATGGTAATAGCATGTGTGTGATTGTTTTGGTATTGTAAGTGCAAACACGTAAGAATTCAGAGTAGAAGAGGTGCACTTGGAAGGTGCTTAATATATGTTCTCCCTCCTCTGTTTCTCCTTCCCTACCTTTCCATCTATGCACCCATCCACACACCATCCACCCACCCACCAACCTCCCATCCATATGCCATCTACTCACCTATCTATCCGCCCATCCATAAACTATCTACCCATCTACCTATCCTTCCATCTGTTCATCCACACATCCACACACCATTCACCCATCCATCCACCCATCCACACTTCATCCATCTATCCACCCATTCATCCATCCACCCATTGATTCATCCACCCATCCACACTTCATCCATCCATTTATCCACCAATTGATCCATCCACCCATCCATCTACCCATTGATTCATCCACCCATCCACACTTCATCCATCCATCCATCTATCCACCCATTGATCCATTAACCCATCCATCCACTCATTCATCCAACCATCAACACACCTCCACCCACCCACCATGCATCCACACATCATCCCTCCCTCCCTCCCTCCCTCCCTCCCTCCCTCATCCATCCATCCACCCACCCACTCACCCTCTCCCTTCTCCTCTTCTTTTTTTTATCTTCTCTGGATATGTGGCTCTGGTTGCATTCTCCAAGCCACAGCTTCCTTCTCTGCAAAGGAGGGGAGGGGGTGGCTTGGAGCGGTCATGAGGATGGAACGTGAGCTTTTTACAGCGGAGTCAGGCCCACATAGGGCCCTTCTTGCATGGGAGCTGTTGCCTCCCCCTTCCTCCATGGTCTCTGCTTCCCTTTTCTTTCTTTTGAATTTGGGACAGACCCAGAGGCCAGACTCCGAAAAAGACAAGTTATTGTGGGCCTCACTGGGAAGAAACCCATGTCCCAGGGTTCTCCAGGGGCCGCTGGAGGCAGGCTTGGATGTCCCCAGCATCCTGAGAGTGGGCAGGAGAGGACGCTGACGGCACTTTGCCGAGTCAGGCCACAGGAGGGCTGATGGGAACATCCGGCACCAGCACCCTGCTCAGTCCCTGGGGCCTCCAGGAGTCCCCATGCGGCCCAGCAGAGTGGCACTCGGACTAGCACAGTTTGAGGGAGAGTCTGTGCCATTCCCCAGGCGCTCCTGGAATTCCTCAGAAAGGTGGTGGCCCATGAGAAGAGCAACAAGATGTCACTGTGGAACGTCTCCACGGTGATGGCCCCCAGCCTCTTCTTGCACCAGGGCCGGACCCCCAAGCTCCCCAAGGGCAACGAGAAGCAACTGGCAGAAGGGGCAGCCGAGGTAGTGCAGATGATGATACACTACCAGGACCTGCTCTGGACGGTGAGTGCTGTGGGCAGCCCTGCGGACATGCGCACTGCCCATCCATGCTTGCGTGGGGGGGGGGGTCCACCGCCGAGGCTGCGGGCAGGCATACTGTCCACCAGGTGGCAGGCGCAGCTCATTCTCCTCAGGGTTGCCTCTGAGGCTGCGGCCATACAAGTGGATTGTGGGCTCTGTTCTTTTGAACCCCCAGTTTTGACTTTTCTAGAACCTCAACTTCATCCACATCTGTAGGGAGGCCACACCCAGGAATGCTCAGGTGTAACGCCTGACTCTACTCAGGACTCACTCCTGGCGGTCTTGGGGAACCCTATGAGGTGCCAGGGATCGAACCCAGGTCAGCCATGTGCAAGGCAAACTCCCCAGCCGCTGGCCTAGCTATCCCTCCAGAGCCCTCTTCCAGTGTCTTCTTCACCTCTTTCACATCCAAAAGATGTCGCCTCCTTCTGTCTGCTGCCCCCACACTGTCAGCCCCTTGTCATCCGATCTACCACAGGTCCTGGGTGTTCTCTGAGTTCCCACAAAGGTTTCTTTTATGTGGGAACCAGAGCGATAGTACAGCGGGTAGGGCATTCGCCTTGCACATGGCCGACCTGAATTCAGTCTCTGGCATCCCATATGGTCCCTTGAGATTTCCTGGAGTGATCCCTGAGTACAGAGTCAAGAAAAGACCCTGAGCATCACCGGGTGTGGCCCCCTGTCACTGTCACTGTCCTCCCGTTGTTCATCGATTTTGCTCGAGCAGGCCCAGTAACATTGTGAGACTTGTTACTGTGTTTGGCATATCGAATACACCACGGGTAGCTTGCCAGGCTTTGCCGTGCAGGCGAGACACTCTCCATAGCTTGCCAGGCTCTCTGAGAGGGGTGGAGGAATTGAACTCAGGTCAGCCATGTCGACTGCGTGCAAGGCAAACGCCCTACCCGCTGTGCTATCGCTCCAGCCCGTGGCCCCCAAATTAAAAAAAAAAAATAACAAATTCTTTCACCTCAAGAGATTTGATGCTGTAAAAGCCCTTCCTTCAAGGTTCAGGGACACGGAACTTGCCTGTTTTGCTGCGCCCGCCATGTACTGTGCCCTCAATAACCATGTACCATGCTCTAAGGTGAGGGCAGGGAGAGGGAGAGCCTTTGGTGAAATGGCCACGCAAGGCCTGCTGGAGACCGAGGCGCAGCAGGGTCCTGGGAGAACTATTCTGTGGTAGCTGACCACTCACTTTGCTGAGAAATCTATCCATCTCTCCACTCATCCACTAACCAACCATCCATCCATTCTTCCTTCTCTCCATCCATCCATACTTCTTTCCTTCCTTCATGCCATCCTTCCATCCATCCACCCATCTACCCACGCAGCCATGTATGCAGTCATCTACCCACCACCCCTCCGCCAGTCCTTCCTTCCTTCTTTCCTTCCTTCCATTGGCCCAGCTGCCCATCCATTCTCCCATCCTTCCCTCTACTCTTTCTTCCACCCACCTACCCCCAGTCCACAAACCCATCTACCTAGCCATTCACGCACTCCACTCCTCCATCCGTCCACTATTTTTTTTCTCTCCACCCTCCCTGCTTCTCGCTGTTTCCATCGACAGTCATTTAGACATATTCTTTCCATTTTAGGGGGCAGTTCCCAGCTCCCCCCACCCCCATGTCCAGTCTCACCTTCACTCCCTAAACCCTCCCAAGCTGTTTCTCCAAACCCTTCACTCCTCTGCGTTTGGCTTGTGTGGTTCAGTCCGCCTGGAATTTCCTCCCCTCTCTGGGAAGAGCACCAACCTGGCACCCTCTGCTCCTTCACATCTGGCCCATGGCATCTTCCCAGACTCCGTTCTTCCTCGTGCCCTTTTCGCTTTTGGGGTGCGCACTACTAAGCCCAGCTGTGACAGTACGGACGTAGATGTTCCAATAGAACTTCCCACTACGCTTCCCCATGGCTCATCTCTTGCCGGGAGCCCCGGGGGCTGATAAATTGATGAGAACAGAATGGAACTGGAATCTGCCAGGCCATGTGTTGGGGTCTCCCCTCTTGGCTGGGTCCCCATTCCACGGGGCCCTGTGGGTTGATCAGGGACCTCTGTGGGAACTTCCAGTTATGGGAGCTTAGGGCTCCCAGCCTTCGCCCATTCCTGAGTACTCTGGGGTCCCCGAGAACCCAGGCGAGTCCCCAGACCCCAGCTGTCTTACAGCAACGATCCTGTAGCCGCTTTCTGGGGTTCTGTGTGTGTGTGTGTGTGTGTGTGTGTGTGTGTGTGTGTGTGTTGGGTCCACTCTCCTCTGCTTCCAGGGCGCTCTGATCCCTAACCCAGATTAGGGGCTAGATGGACCCTTCACGTCTCCAGTTGAACCCCATGTAGTTGCAGCCCTGGGAAAGGGGTGACATACATGGCCTAGGAGTGCCCCCTGGGTCCCTGTTATAAGACTCCACTCCTCCCGGCCAGGTCGCCTCTTTCCTAGTGGCCCAGGTCCGAAAATTGAACGACAGCAGCAGCCGGCGCCCCCAGCTCTGCGACGGGGGTCTCAAGACCTGGCTGCGAAGGCTGCACGCGGACCGGGACCAGACAGGGAACGACCTGGACCCCGAAGCGGTGAGGGTCGGGCTGGGCGCGGGCGGCAAAACCGCGCTGCCGATTGTGGCCACCGGGTGGCGCCCAGGCCCCACAGCCTGGAGCGAGAATCCCGGGAGCAGAGTATCTGTATGGCTGGACTGAGCCAGGAGCATCCCTGGCACCGCGAAGAGGCGTTCAGGGCCCGATTTTCTGACAGTCCCTGTGTGTCTGGCCCCGGAAAAGTGCCGCTGTGTGGGGTGTGCGGTGATTGGGACCAGAGGGGGTAGTAGAAGGGAAGGACTCCCTAGTGCTCCCTGGAGGAGCCCTGATGGGGCTCTTGGCTAATGGGAGGGTCCGGAACCCTGATCCATGTGCCCGGACGTTGTGTGGGATGACAGTCTCTACAGAAACCTGCACATACGCTCTCCTGCCAGGCATGTGGTGGGCGCCGGGTGCTGGGGTGGGGTGGGGTGGGGTGGGGTGGGGTGGGGTGGGGAGGGGGTGCTGCTGAGTATCTCCATGCTTGCATGCATCTTGACATGGTCTGAGTGTGGTATGTGTGTGCAGCTTGTGTTTCCCTGGCGTGGCACTGCTGCAATCGTGTATGCACACGTGTCTGTGCAAGCACATTGGAATTCCAGACCCTCTCAGGTGCGCCTGAATATATGTCAAAGTGTGTCTGCCCTTGACTCCCTCCAGATTCCCAAAGTGGCAAAGGTCCGGGTGGCCTGGCCCAGCAACGACCTCCTCACGGTACCCCTGACCCCCAGTATCAGAGTAGCCCACGTGCTCAAGCAGTTCGCAGAGGAAACTCCTCCGAAGCCCCGGGGTCCAAAAAGGAGCAAGGACGTGGCCTGCCCCCTGCCACGGTAAGGGACACAAACCAGTGGGGTCAGCGCCTCATAGTCAGGTGCTGAGGGGAGCTTGACAGAGCAGTGCAATGGCCTTTGGCCATTTTCTGCTTGTTTGGGGTGGTCAGAACATGGTTTTCCAACCTTCGGAGGGCCCCTCAGTGATTAGTGATTATTGAGTATTGATAAGAGGCAGCAGTAATTGATTCCTTCATTTATTTAACTGCCACCTAATGAGTGCCTCGCATAGATGGGTCCTGCTAGTCACATGAAAAAGGACAGACAGAGGGGTTGGAGCGATAGCACAGCGGGTAGGGTGTTTGCCTTGCACGTGGCCGACCCGGGTTCAATTCCCAGCATCCCATATGGTCCCCTGAGCACCGCCAGGGGTAATTCCTGAGCGCAGAGCCAGGAGTAACCTCTGTGCATCGCCGGGTGTGATCCAAAAAAGAAAAAAAAAAAAAGGACAGGCAGAGCTCTGGCACATATGTAGTGGGAGGGTAAAGCTGGTCCCCTGTGTAGTGTACAGTGTGGAGGGAGGCTGTGCAAAGGACCTGAGGCAGCAAGGCCCTCGTGGGTTTTGGTGTCGCCCAGAAGAGCTCAGCAGGTCTTCTCTCTGCCATGCAGCTGCCCACCCTCGAAGCCAGGCTGCGCACTGCTCTATGAAGTCGGAGGGAACATCGGTGAGTTCCCAGTGGGGATCAGCTCTGAGCCCAGGCCCCCAGGAGGGGCTCACGGGCTCCTACAGGCCCAGACCCCTTGACGGGCCCGTCCCCCATGAAACCTAGTGGACTCCCACCCTGAGGTGAAGGGTCAGCCGTGACTGACTGTCAGGGTCTCTTCCTGGAGTTGGAGGCCTGGCCAGGTGTGCCTCAGCACAGGCCCCGCCGGGATGCCCTACGGAGCACGCAGGTGCGCCCAGCCCCAGCTCTGCAGGAGCAAGGCCAGCACCCTAGAAGGCTGCTCAGCTGCAGGGCTGGGGCTGGGATTCCACAGGTCTAAGCTCCTAGGGGATGCTGCGGGTTTGGGGGTGCGGGGACCTCGCGTTGTGAAGCACAGGCCCAGGAGCAGAGGAGGAGGCTTCAGGCCTTCAGGGATGCTCCTTACTAGGAGGGTGAGGGAGTGAGATGTGTGTGCGTGTGTGGGGCGGGGGGAAGGGGGGGCGGGTTTTGCCTGATGTAATCCACCAGGGGGCGCCAGAGCCCTTCCCTTGGAGGCCGGCGGGCCGGGGGCGGGACCTAGCTGTCAGTCATCGCCGGGGGCGGGACTTCCCCTCCATCCCGGCACGGCCTGGACCGCCCGTGAGGTCAGTGCCCCCAGAAGCGGACAGCTGGGATCCAGAGCTGTCCGGGTCACCAGCTGCGGGGAGAGCGGGGTGCACTGGCCCAGGAGGGCCTCCCTTCACCTCCTTCACCCCTTCTTCCGCAGGGGAGCGTCGCCTGGACCCAGATGCCTTCCTCTTAGATCTGTACCGCACCAACCCCCACGGCCAGTGGGTCATTAGGCAGAGCCCCACCTAAGCCGGAAGCAGCCCCGAGGCCGCCCCCATGTCCCTGAGCCTTGAGGAGGAAGCTCTGCCGGAGTTGGGGAGGCTCGTTCTGCAAGAATTCAGAACCAAACCCCACTCTCAGGTCCATTCCGGGCTGGGCCTGACCCCTGCCGCAGGACAGAGACACCCAATCCCACCCCACCCCCGCCCAGCACTCTCCACTGGCAACAACGCAGGGGGTACTTGGATCCCAGCTGGTTTCTGTCCCCATTCCTGCCCCAGTGGCCTGCACTGGACAGTAGGACATGCCTGGGAACCCACCAGGAGTGCCCTCTGGTCTCCAGTGCTGTAGGCTGAGCCCGCCTAAGAGTACAGAAGAGGAGGCGGCTTGTGGGGGATGAGGGGACACTGTATCACCCAGTCTTGCCATTTTGTAACATTATTTAAATTCTGTTCCAGCGTGAAAGGTGCATGAGAGATGTCATTTCCACTTGATTCTTTGCCCCAGCCCAACCCTCATGCGTGGTGAACCCAGAGGGGGCTGGAACACCTCTCATCCATGGGAAACTAGCCCAGGAGGTCTGGTGCACCTCCAACATGCACCCCCAGAGGCTGGGAGAGTTTGGGAGGGGAGGAGGAAGCTCAGCACAAGTTCCTGATGAAGCGGGGGCTACAGGACCTAGGACCCCCACGGGCATCCCTCATCTGATCATTCAGACACTGAATTTTACTGAGCACCTGCAGTTTTCGGGTCTTTGACTCCGTGCTCAGGAATATCTCTTTTCTTTTTCTTTTTGGGTCACACCCGGCGGCGCACAGGGGTTTCTTCTGGCTCTGTACTCAGGAATTACTCCTGGCGGTGCTCAGGGAACCATATGGGATGCTGGGAATCGAACCCGGGTCAGCCGTGTGCAAGGCAAATGCCCTACCTGCTGTGCTATCGCTCCAGCCCCTCAGGAATATCTCTTAGGGGTGCTCAGGGAAACCTCTTGTGGTACCGGGGATCGAACCTGGTCCAGCGCCCGCCCCGCTGTCCTCTCTCTCCAGCCCAGTCTTACAAGTGTTGTCTTTACAGTTAATGCCGGGTCTTGCTTTGCCTTTGCCCAGAAGCAGGGCTGAAACTCAGGTGCTGGGAATGATGGTGATTGGAAGAGCAAGGCAATAGGGAGGGGGCGGCCACCCCTAAGGCTGCATCACCCAGCAAGTTCCCCAGTGAACAAGGGGGAGCTCAGGGAAGCAGTGGGCCCCACCCCCCAAGCTCTGAAGGACAGATGGAATCTCCTCCCCTGCCTGACCTGTGACACCCTGAGTGTTCTTCCTCCTTCACCCCCCCCCCACCCCCCCCCAGCACACCTGCCTGCAACCTGCTTTTCACCCCACTGCTGGGCTTGTAGTCCACGCTTTGCACCAGAACTAGCTGCCCACTGCCGCATGGGACAGTTCCTTTAGCACCAGCGCCCAGCCCTGGTGTCCTCCCGGCCAGAGGCCCTCTCCGACCACCTGCTTCTCATCAGTCTCTCACATCACTTTGCTCCTCATTCTTAAGACCAGAAATGAGTCTTATTTGTTTTCCAGTGTATTTGCAGGAAGAGTGGCAGCCCCTAGGGGTTCGTGCCCAGCAGTGCTGGGGAGGCTGTGCAGTGTTGGGTATGAGCCTTTCCGGGACCCGCACAGGGCAGGCCGGCACCGCAGCGCACCCAGCCCCCCCCCGCCCCCGTCCCACATCTCTCCTGTCACACCCAGAGGGTGGTGGTCGTGCAGGTTCTCATTCTCCCGTGTGAGTATCCTGGTACCCACCAGGGCACCACCCAGTGTAGCCAGAATGGGCTGCGGCATCGACCCGCCTGGTCCAATGGGTCAAGGATCACTGGGAGTGGCCCCCTGGCTTCTTGATTATTGCTCAGGAACCCCCCACCCCCACCCCGAGATAACAGTACCTTGCAGATGCTCAGGAAAAGTGTATTGAATGCTTGCCTTGTACGCAGCTGACCAGGGTTCAATCTCTGGCACCACAGAGTCCCCTGATCCTGCAGGAACACCCCCACGCACTGAGTCAGGGGTAGCTAGCCCTTGAGCACCAAGGGGTGTGGCCCAGAAATCAACAAAAATGTGCTGTATGAAGGGCTAGAGAGATAGTACAGCGGGTAGCATGTTTGCCTTGCACACGGCTGGGCAGAATTCGATCCCCAGCACCCTATATTGTCTCCTGAGCACTGTCAGGAGCCAGGAGCAACCCCTGAGCATTGCCAGAAGTGACTCCAGAGTGCAGATCCAGGAATCAGCCCTGTGCACCACTGGGTGTTGCCCTTCTTTCCCGCTGTATCCTGGACTCTGCCCTCCTCGGCTGCCCATGTAGACAGGTCAAGGCACCCAAGTCCCTCAACACTGGGGTGTTCAGTGTCTCCCTAGGATGCCCCGTACTCTCCACCAGCTCCCCATGGTGCCCGTGGGCCCAGGGTATGTGACTGGAGGAGCACTGTCCTCTGGCCCAGGCAGCAGGGCCCGGCCGGGATCCCTGTTTAATCACCTGTCACGTGGCTCATCCATCTTCTGCGCTATCCGGGGGCACATCTTTCCTCACCCCGACGTGTCACAGTGATTGATGACCCACACCAGCCCCACTGGGTTAGCTCAGCACCGAGTGGGCGCTCGGCGGCTCAGGGCTCTGGCAGCGGGGCTAGCGTGGGTGGGACCCATGTTCTCTTACAAAGCCTCAGAAGTGACCAGACTCTGTCCTCCTCAGATCCATATTTTGTTTGTTTGTTTGTTTTTTGCTTTTTTGGGTCACACCCGGTGATGCCCAGGGGTTACTCCTGGCTCATGCACTCAGGAATTACTCCTGCTGATGCTCGGGGGACCATAAGGGGTGATGGGAATCAAACCCGGGTCGGCTGCGTGCAAGGCAAACGCCCTACCCGCTCTGCTATCACTTCAGCCCCTCAAATCCATATTTTGAAACCCTCGCTGACGCAGTGAGGAGGGCTGTACTGGGGAGAGGGTCTTCCTGCCACCAAAAATGTCAAAGGGGGTCAGGAGCCTGGGGTGCTGTCCCCACAGGAGTGGGGTTCTGTTTTATCCCCAGAGGTGCCCCCCAATATTGGGGGTGGGGAAAGTCACGGAAGAAGTGTTGAAAGAGGTTTCTGAGGGAGGAAGCAGATGAACCCCCAAGGCCTGGGATGGTCTGAGGGCTCTGGGGTGTTCCTCACACTCCTGGGGCTTTTCCGTCATGCCCAGCTCCACCCTCTTCACTCAGACTCCTCCCCACACCCCTATAATCGCTGGTGGGACCCCTCAGCTTCCTGAGCACTATTGGGAGACACACCCCCAAAATTCTAGTTTTTCACAGGGCGGGATAACTAATACAGGAACCTAGGTGCTCTTGCCTAGCACGTGGCCGACCCCAGTTCGAATCCTCGGCACCTCAGAGGGTCTCCTGAGCACCATTAAGGGTCTTTCCTGAGCACAGAGCTGGGAATAGCCTTTGAGCACCCCTGGACGTGACCCCAAATAAACATGGACAGAGTTGAAGCAAGGACGCTGGACTGGGCAGAAAGGCTGGCTGGCTGCTGCAAGGCCACGGTGCGTTAGCCTGGGGTCGGCTCAGCGCCCAGTGCCCGAAGCAGTGCTGCAAGAGTCTGTTGCTAGGACAGCAGGGATTGGAATCATGTCACTTCCATTTATGACAGGGAAGAAGACGAGATGGTTAGCCTGAGCCACTTCCATGGGGATATGTTGTTGTATTTATTTATTTATTTATTTATTTATTTATTTCTCTTCTGGGAGCTGGGTTTTATAGTCTCTGGGTCTTGGCCGTTGAAGGGATGACACGGCGCCAGGGGGCCAGTTGGTGAGTGTGACCCCTGCCTACTGAAATTTGGAGGATCTGGGTGGAGAATGCTCAGCCCCGATCCGAGCAGGCTTGGAGATCTCAGCCCCAGGACCCGCATGCCTTTGTTCCTCTGCTGGTACCTTCATGCATGTGGAGAGTGGTCTCAGCATGGTTGTGGCTGGTTCTGGAGGTCTTCGGCTGCCGGAGCCCTGGTCGGAGTGGGAAGGGAAACTCAACCCGCTCCCCTCCAAGGGGCCCCGGCGAGGACAGCCAGGCATGGGGGCAGGAGACTCTGCGCTGTTCAAGATCTCCAAGCCTGCTTGGGTCGGGGCTGAGCATCCTCCACCCAGATCCTCCAAATTCCAGTAGGCAGGGGTCACACCCACCAACTGGCCCCCTGGCTCCATGTAATCCCATCAACGGCCAAGACCCAGAGACTATAAAACCCAGCTCCCGGGCGTGCAACATCTTAACTATCTCATTCCTACTTTGGACAACCTGGCAGGCTACCAAATGTAAGCTGCCCACACGGCAGAGTCTGGCGAACTCCCCGTGGCGTACCCAATATGCCAAATACCAGTAACAATGATGGGTCTCATTCTCCTAACTCTGAAAGAGCCTTGAATATGGCACTTTTTTAAAAAATCTCAGGGCTAGGACGAAGGAGACGTTACTGGGGCCTGCTCCAGGCAATCGACGAACAACAGGATGGTCATGGTCATGATATTTATTTATGTATGTATTTATTTTTATTGAGATAGACCATTACAAAGCTGTACATGATTGGGTTTCAGTCATACAATGTTCCAATGCCCATCCCTCCACCCGTGTAAATTTCCTAGCACCAATGTTGCCAGTTTCCCCCCCTCCCTCACTCCCAACTTCACCCCCCTCTAACTGCCTCTATAGCGGGTATCCCTCTTCTCTCTCTCTCTCTCTTTCTCTCTCTCTCTTTCTCTCTCTTCTTCTCTCCTACATTTCCTACCACCAGTGTCCCCAGTTTCCCTCCCATCAACCCCCACCAATCTTCCTCTATGGCAGGCATTTTTCTTTTCTCTCTCTCTCTCTCTCTTTCTCTCTCTCTCTCTCTCTCTCTCTCTCTCTCCCTCTCCTTTTGTGCACTATGGTTTGCAATACAGGTGCTATTTGTCATCATGTTTGTTCAGGGAGTTCAGTATTTTTATCGGGAAGGTAGGGCTAGT